CTGTGTCTCACTTAGCAAGAAAATGTGCTAAATTGATTTGAAGATGTTGAAAATTCAAAAATAATACTTGCCAAGTTATTCGATTCTTTTCTTGGTTACTTTTCTTGAGATACAAAATTTTGAATTTCATTTCTTGAAAATAAAGCTAAAATCTAAAATCAAGAAGAATCTTTTTGTCAAATAACTATTAACCGGGAGTGGGACAAATGCTTTTTAGAGCTTTTTTAAAACACGAAAAAAGGTGCGCTAATGGGCAAGGTGCGGAAAAAAAGGTCGCATTTGTCCCACTCCCCTATTAACCATTAAGATTTTATTTAGCCTTTTCCCATTACTCTCGAAATTTGTCCCATCCAAATAGCACTTTCTTCCTCATTTCATCTTGCTTAAAAAGAGATTGTACAATTTGTTTTTGGGATGAATTTTTCTCGACGACGAATCCTCAAAGAGTGAAATCCTCAAAACGGGCATTCTTCGAGGAAATTGAGTGACCCTTTTGAAGAAATGTAAAGAAGAAAGAAATCGTGAAAATTGGATTCGATACGGGAAAAAAGAAATGATGATGATGAAGGGGAAAACGAGGGATTTGAGAAGGGGAAAGAAGAAGAAAAGAAGTAGAATCACACTTCAATTCAATGTCATTACGATTAGCTTTTTACAAATGATTGCAGCTGTTTAAGGTGTTGTTGGTGTTGAAGTGTTAAACAAAGTTATGACAAGATATCAATAACAAAAATTGGCAAAAGGATTCAGAAATTCGCTAGGTTTACATTACAGAAAAAGTTTAGGTCCAAAAAGCACTAGATCTGTATTTTAATGCCTTTTCTTTATCAAGAATTGATTTTTTGACACGTTTACCTCATTTTGATATGCTAATGATCTGAAAAATATGCTAATTCGAAAAGCCTAGACGAAATTCCCTTGTATAATTATCATTCAGGGTAGTACTGTATATCTAATACGGTAGGTAGTACGTGTAAAGTATTAGGTTGGCAACTAAATAATGGCCCTCGCCCTTTTTTGATAAAATCTTTTAATCTTTGCGTTTAATCTACCCTCGCTTGTTGTTAATTGAATATTACTGAATTTCTGGTGCATTATTATACGTTTTTTACTTTCCTTGATTTGATACTTTTCAAATAATTTTGTTTAGAAATGGAAGATCTCAAATATCGAATGCGTGTCTGTCTCTGGTACGACTACAAACAAGACAAAACAGCTGCCGAATCCCACAGAGATTTATTGCGAGTTTTTGGTGATGAAGCTCTTTCCGAAACACAATGTAAGAGATGGTATCGACGGTTCAAGGAAGGGGATGAAAGTCTTGAAGATGAGCCTCGCCAAGGACGACCCGAACTTCTGCAGAACGATATTTTGGAGCAGCTTTAAGGAGGATCCAAGTCAAACATCACGCGAGCTAGGGGTCGATTGGGCTTTTCGCATACTGCAATCGAAAAGCGACTTCATGCATTGGGGAAAAGTAACCGCAGTGGAAAGTGGATTCCGCATGAATTGAGCGAAGAAAATAAGGCTACTCGTGTTATCACTGCTGGAATACTCTAAAACTTGCGAAAGGAGCTTCTTGGTTCCATTGTCACTTCTGATGAAAAATGGTCTTTTATGATAATCGAACGCGAAAACGACAGTGGCTTAGCACAAACGAAGACCCAAAACCAACTCCGAAGCCGGATATTCCTCAAAGAAAACTCTCCTCTGTGTGTGGTGGGTTCTCGTGGGTTGGTGCATTTCGAGGTTCTCAAAAAGCCGGCAAACGGTTAATTCAGAACTCTATTCGTCTCAACTACATCGTGTAGATCAAGCAATTCGCTCTCAAGGACTCGAACCCTCTTCAATTCATTTTCTCCATGATAACGCAAAACCACACACTGCAAAACTTACAATGGAGAAAATCGAGGAGTTGGGCTGGAATGTTCTTCCTCATGCGCCATACAGCCCGGATATGGGGCCTAGTGATTACCATCTTTTTCGATCGATGCAACACTTTCTAGCCGAGAAAAAGTTCAATGACCTTGACGAAGTCCGAATTTCAGTGCAGAAGTTCTTTGACGATCAACCAGAAGAATTTTTCAAGAGAGGAATCCAGTTGCTCCGTCAAAAGTGGAAAGAAGTAATAAAGAATGACGGAGAATACCTTTTGGATTGATGTTGATATTTGTTCATCTTGTTAATAAATTTTTTGTTTTTACTGAAAAGGGCCATTATTTAGTTGCCAACCTGATAGTATGGTAATTAGTAATGTAAACTAAGTACAGGTTTGAGAGATAACAAAGATGAAAGTAACTCCAGGGACATAGTCATATTGGCATATTGTTCAGGTCATTAGCATATCAATAACCTACAGTACCCTATCAGCTAGCAGAGCTATCGAAAGTACAGGCTTGAGTACCAAATAGATTTTGGAATATTTAAAGAACAGGTACATTTGTTTATTAGTAAGCTGCAAAATAGCCTGGCACCTCAATTTTGCATAAAGGTTCCCAAAGGGCATTCAAATCTTAAAACCAAGAATATGAATAGGTGGCTGTTTGGAGGGGAAAAGGGAAAAGCTGTAAATGGAAATATTGAGAGAAAAGAAAGCTGAGGTATGTCTGGCTTTGGAATATTGAAATCGCGCGATTTCCGGCCTACCCTCCATTCCCTTCACACTTCTATGAACATGAAGGGAAAAAGAAAGAAATGAAATCGATTGAAATCTCTTGGCCAAACCTCTTCTAAAAGAACAGGAAACAAGGATTGAAGTCCATTTCCATTTCAAATTTTGCTATTTATCCCGATCTATTCTTTTACACTTTTTGTCTTTATTTTTTTTACTCTTTTCCATGACTTCTTTGCTCTTTAAGATGCTAGTTTAGTTCAACTAATTAAGAAGGAGATTCGGCTTAAAACCTATAAAGTAAAGTAGTACAAAATCGCTAATATATAATGTCCAAATAGTTTGAGTTACAGTAAACATTCAACAGATCGTTCCTATTTGGCACTAACCGCAAAAGCTTTTGGATAATCGATAACAAAGATGAAAGTAACTCCAGGGAGCATAGACATATTGGCATATTGTTCAGATCATTAGCATATCAATAACCTACAGTACCCTATCAGCTAGCAGAGCTTGAATGTGACTAATACTAAGGCATAAAAATTTCCATATAAAAGTGGTCAACGTTTGAGTCTTAGCTTTAGGCTAAACTAAAGACTGTGAACTAAAGACTGTGAAATAAAGTCATCATAGATTTTGATCATTAAAAGCAAATGTCTGAAAATTTGCACAAAAAAGTGCATATTTTAAGCCATGAATAGTACAAGGTTAAAGAAAATTCGAAAGACTCGAGTTTTTATGTGCTGTGGGGCGCAAATAAATCCTCGATGGCAAATTGGTGAGAAGGAAGAAAGACTGGGGAAAATGGTGATGAAAGAAAAGAAAAGGGGAAAAAATGGATGGGCATTTCATGCATTTCTTTGTAAGCCAAGAGAAATTGGTATTTTTTGATCGAAGAGGAGATGGACGAAAAAAAGGCGCAGGGAAATTGCTGTTGACCGGCTCTCCTTTTTGGAGTCTTTTTTGGAGGGGCAATTTGGTGAAACAAAGAAGCTGAAGCTTTTAAAATAAAGAGAGGAATGGCCATTCAAAGGGGAAAAGGGGTAGATCCCTTGGGGACCATTTTTCACCCATCCACCCTCAACTGGGCACACACGGTGATGACAAGCTGAGAGACAATCGGAGACTCAACATCAGCACTTTCCATTGGGAATCTCTTTGGGTTAGTGATTGGATTGGATTCATTGGATTCATTAGATTTATTGGATTCATTACACTTAATAGATCAGGCTTGCTTTTCGTGAGTTTAACTCAGTTTCCCAACACTCTAAAGATGGCAAAGATCACTTGATCTTGCCCTAACAAGTCCCAAATCAAAATAACAAGATTTGATAACAAGGTAACAAGATAACAAGATCCCAAGATAACAAGATCTTTTGATAACAAGATCCAGTACTTTATTATTTCTTGATCTTGATTGAAATTGAATTGATCAAGTTCTTAATTGACATGAATTCTTATCTTTATTGAGTACTATAGTTTTTATTCTCAAAAGTTTCCCTAGACTCACTTCAAAGTAAGTCAACGGATCAGCGCAAAACCCAACTTGCTCAACGACTCCAAATAATCACTTACTTGCTAGCCATCTTGAATTTTTTTTTTAGATTAAATGAATATTGTGATGAAATGAATTGTGATGATGGATGTGATTGAGCTTTTTCCGCGCGGAAAGACGCGAGTCTTCTCTGCCATTCTCATTCTCCAAATTCTCCCCTTTTTTCTCTAATCTCTCTCCATATTTCCCCTTTTTAAACCCGTCTTTCCCCGTTGATTCTCCCTGACACCCCGAGTTCTTCTAAACTTCTTCTCATCTTCTCTCTTTCTCCAATCTTCCCTTCTAATCCCTTCTCATTCTCTAGCTTTCCTATTTCTCGCCGGGATTTCATCTTTCCTCCATTTAGGGCCCTCCCTCTCTCCCCATTCTCACATTTTCCGAAACGGGCACAGCAACTTGTGTCCTCTTCTTGCTGAATATTGATCAACTTCCCTTCAGTCACACCACTTTTCTTCTCCTCTTTCCCGTTTTTCTATGCCCCCTTTAGGGACGCGGGAATGTCCCTCGGGGCCTCTTTTCTCGTGTTTGTGAGTATAGTGAAGTGAATGGCCGAGACGGGCCTCTTGAGGGGACACCGCTCACCTGCACACTCTCCCCTCCTCGCCGCATTAGTCCATCCGCTTAATGGGATCCACTGGATGGAGAAACTAATGGCCTAGATATATTGTGGAGATTTATGCAGAATAGTAATTTCTGCTTTTGACAATCTGTTTTAGGCAAGTCTGTGTGGCTTTTTTTTTGTTTACAAAATCTCCAATTCTCGTCCAGTTTTTCAAATCAAAGATCTGTCCAGTTTTGAAATCTCAAAAACTCAGCTTTATCGAAAAAAGTTTAAAAATTCTTTGAGGCATTATTGTTGAAACCGTTCACACCCGGTGTCATCGGCGTCTTCGGGACAACACGATTGTAGCTGAAAGTGATAGAGTAAAATAAAATTTCTTACAAGTGCAAACCTCTTACAAGTATCAGTAAAAGTTTCCCCAAAACTCACCCAAAAAGTGTATTCTCTTCTTGTTGATCTTTCCAGAGGAGTTGAACGAGAAGTCGCTGGTAGAGATTGCGAGGAAGGATGCTGGAAATGAAATTGGTGTCAGAAGATAAAGTCACTTGTGTAGTGATTGGTTATATCTAAAGCTTAGCTTATTATATTACTGCGAAACAAGTACGAATAGTGTAGAGTTTTGAACTTTTGTTAGACGACAGTTCTAGGGAAACTAGAGTTGATAAAATGGTTCTATCAAATCTAGAATAGTCTGCTCCGGATACACTTTAGCTATTTGCTAAATAATGTTAAAGAGGAGCAAAGATTCAGCGTCACTAATACACTCTCGATTTAACGATTTTGAAATTCTAAAACCCATCCTTGGTTTCTGTGTAGTTGCCCAACCAAATGTAATCGTTCAGGGCAGCTACGCAAGGAATTTGAGGCACGTTTTAGAATCGTTAATCAGATCAAATCGTTAATCAAATCGCTTTTAAATCAAAAATTTTCGTCCCAAGTGAATCGTTAAATCGAGTCGACTGTACCAAAATTGGCTACTCGAATATATTTATAGACTGGCATGTAGTTTTTCAAAATAAGTGCTTTTTAGAAAAGAATCTTACCCTTTAATTCCCGATAAGAAATAGAAGATAGCGGGAACAGCCAGAAGTCCTTGCTCTTGTTCGATCGCTCGAATGACTCTTGTGGCAACCAATGTGGGATTCATCAACTCTTTCGTTTGAGCGGCTCTGGAATCGGTTTTTAAGTCATAAACGGCTCAAAATTACGGTAGATTTTCGGCTGACGTGAGTCTTGTTGCGATATATCCAGGGCAAACTGTCGTGAATTTCACTCCATTTTTTCCCAACACTTTGCACTCAACTTCGAGTGCTTCTTGGAAAGCGATCGCTCCCGATTTCGAGGCACTGTAGTCGGACATTCCTGGAATTGGGGAAATGATGGATAGAATCTAGAATTCGAGAATGAATTTGAGGGCTTTGTTGAGTTTGTTGAAACGAATATTGTTATCAAACCTGAACACCCAAACAATCCAGCAGCCGACGCGATCGAACAAATATGTCCCGAATCTCGGCGAAGCATTGACGGCAAAAAGGCTCGAGCTATCTGAAATACAAAATATATCTTTTATAAGATTGTTTTTAAGCTTTTAATTTCATAAACGAAACCTTTCTTATGCCAAAAAAAATGCCTCACCCAAAAATGCGAGAGTAGATTGACGCGAATGGTTGCTTCGATCAAATGATCCTTCTTTTCGGTGAAATATTTTTGTTGAGCGATTCCGGCATTATTGATAACTAAATAGCTTCAATATTTCTAAAATTTAACAAATTTTTCACTTATATCTGGCTCTCCGATTGTTTCTTTAAACTCTTTGGCGGCTTGATCAATATCGGTTCGACTTGAGAGGTCCACTTTTCGCACGGATACCTGAAGATCGAATATATTTGATATGAATATCGTAAATAATTACACCGTAACTCTTTAACTGAATATCTTTTAAGCATTGAGCCAGCATACTTTTACTGGCTTACTGTAAGGCTGAGTTTTTTGTTTTACAGTACCTTTAAATTCAAAATTCAGGCAAGCTCAATTTCAATCTAAATCTAAAATCAAACCTTGACGCCATTTGTTCTGACCATTCTTGCCGTCTCTTCAGCTCCTTTCTCATCGATATCCCAAATGATGAGATCAACTCCTTTTCTTGCCAACACCGAACACATCTCTCGTCCCAAACCCATCGCTCCGCCCGTCAGCAAGACTTTCTGAGATTTTACTACAGTACTGATAACTATTGGGATTGGATTACTGTAGTCTATCAAAATACCTTTCCACGTAGATCCTTGCACGGTAAAAAGTGTCCATCAAAAACATTGAACCAAATCGCTTTGATCACCTCGCCGATCATTTGAATTGGCACTGAACGTTTAAAGTTACTGTTTAAGTGTTTACTGTTTAGTGTTTAGATTTGAGTTTAGAAAAGGTTTGGAACTAGTGGGTCATTAAACAAGTCTATTTTAAAAGAATTCACGACTCACCCATAATATAGCCGATAATTTCAGCTAACGATGACATGTTGAATCACTTGTAGAACTGGAACAAACGAAAATCTAATAAAATAGTGATACTTGTGACTCTTTATGTTCATCACTTTTGGTTCTAGGTTTTTGAAAAAAATGGGTAAATAAAAATGCAAGTCAAATTCGACCTTATGTTAAGCCCTTTATTCTCTTCAAATGAAAACTTTCTCTGAGAAGTCAAGTTGTACCAAAGTGACGAGTATAATAGTCAATATAAAAGCGTTGAATACTTGAAAGCAATGAAGAAATGCTGTATATAACTGAAAGAATCAAAATGTGTGAACTAAACTGTATGGAAAAGACTCAAAGGTCTGCTTTTCAGACTCAAAGATCTGCTTTTCAGGGAACTGATACTGAAACCAAGGTCCGATGAGTGTGTTCTGAACGGAGAAAAGAGAGAAAATCCGAATCAAAAAAAAAGAAAGGCAAACTTTTCGTGGAAAAGCACTGAACAGGCTGAAATATGAGAACCTGATAAAAAAGAAACATAAATTTTGGTGTCTCTCGAAAATCTAAAGGTTCACTCTAGAAGTTTGTTTTCCATAAAATAAGCTCAACTTCTCGACTTTGCCACTCAATTTATCTCACTTTAGAATCTCATCCGCGATGATTCGAGATGACACCCCAAATGAGAAGAAAATTTCGATCATTCTTCTCTCTCAACATTGACACAAAAAAGTGTTCTCTTTTCTGTCACTCACTTTAAATGTTCCCATTTCTCATCGAGTATCTCTTTAGCTTGCAAAAAGGAGTCGTGTCTCTCAACAAACACAAATGTTTAGTTTTCGAAAATTTGAACTCATGGTCTCTTGATGGAGAGGCGTTCGAGAAATCACGCCAGAGTATCCAATGAACTATGCTTCTAGAATTGATCAAAGCTGAAAAGATGCTCTGTACTTGGTTAAAAGTCTGTTCTATTGATCGACAGGTTCACGAAAAGTATTAGCTACTTCTATTCTGCAATAAGCGGGAAAATTTTAAAAGATTCAATCAACAACAAGTGATAATAGGTTAGATATGAAAGTATAACTAGTGAGTCTTAACTCACTACTCACTACAATGTAGGAAAAGTGTCACATAAACACAAATTACCACACTACCGCAGTAAAGACTTAATATCTTTCACCGATGATATTAAATGAAATCACTAAAACTGACCTCTTTCTCTTCAAACTAACACTTTTCCGTATACTGTATACTACTCACTAGTGAGTCAAGAGATTCTGACATACAATGGAGTTAAGAGATTCTGACATACAATGGAATATTTTTCTTTAAAGAAACATTTTCCTATAAGTAAAAAGCCGATGAACTCATTCTACCTATCAAGTTCAAAATAAAGAACTCCTTCTCTCATTTCAATCATCAAATCAAAGGGATCAGTGTGGCATTTCAAGAAGAAAACGCTTGGCGATAGAATAAATATTTGCGCGTTTTTGTGATCACTTTCAACGGATCAGTCACTCTCACTTGAAATGATAACAAAAGGGAAAGAAATGCGTTAGATAGAGAGTGACCCAATCCGTCCAAAAATCACGAATTGATAGCTTTTCATCAAAACATTCAATTCAGTCAAAATGTGCTTTTACTATTGCAGACAGGAAATTGCCGAGAAACTTCTCAAACATTTGAATATGAACTCAAATTGCACACAAATTTACATTAATCCTTAAAACCAGGAATTCTATTTAAGGGGAAAGAATTCACGCTTTTTTCATTTCTACTTGCCCACCTTCTCGCAAGAGTTGCAGAAAGTAAGTTCTTAATTTTCTTTTAAGCTTTTTTTATGATTCTATTTTTTCCAGTCAGAATTGATGTCTCAAAGAATGCTGTCAGTTCGTTCTCGATCGGATAAAGATTGGAAGAAAGTGTGAGTGTCTTCTTGTCTATTCTTTTCGTCTACATTAATTGTTTACTTTTTTCTTTACAGATTCGAAATGATCCCTCAACTTGGAGAAGAAAAGTTGGTGATCGAGTTAAAAGATGGAGGAACGCTTGTTCGAATCGAAGGAGAAATGGTATACAATTTAACTTTTTTCTTTTCGTTTTTAATATTAAGTATAAGTAATTTGGTGATCCAGATTCCTTCTGGTTTAATGTTTACTTCATCTTATAATATTTGGGCTTTAGAATGATCGCCGCTTTCTTCTTCACAGTCCTGCCGATTCAAAGGGTTTTCGCGCTCGGATCTACCTTGAAAAGAATTCCTATGAAGGTAACTCTCTTCGAGCCCTATCACTTATAAACCCTGATTTAGATTATCTATTATCTGATGTGATCGATCGAGAGGGTAACCGATGTCTTTCCTCTTCTCCTCCTGTCGCGGAAATCTTCCCAAAGAAGATTCGTGAAATGTGGCTCGGAAAGTGATCGATCGTTCTCCAGAGAAACGTCAAAGATTTATCTTATTTTTCGAAAGGTTGTTGTAAATATTTGCCATTCAATCGCATTTTTGTTCTGCACTTACTAACTAAAACCCAAATAATCGACAGTAATGTTTTCGTTTCGTAACCATGGCAACCAGCTTGTTGAACCAACACACGAGAAGTTGAAAAGTTATTTGACTAAAACGCCCTTTTAAAACGGCTCTTTCCCTGAAACTAAGTCTTTTGAAAGCTTCATGGTTTTTTGGTCAAAAAAGACAGTTTTGTGGGAGCACTTCGGGGACGGCTGGTGTATCCGTCACAAAGACACCGGATTGTTCTACCACTTTGGGCGCGCGTTGAAGAATCACTTCGAACGATCGAACGCCGGGCCAATAAGCGATGTGGAACGTGCACGTCGATGGCAGGGATCATTTTACGGCAAGATCTACACACAAAGAAATGACCTCTAGGCTGTGGAGGAAACGCCCGTCGTGTCAAATTTTTTTGTTGGTGTTTAAATGTGTTTTAAAACCATGGTTGATGAAGAAAAAAACAGGGAAAAGGCAAAAAATTCAAAAGACCACGAAAGTTACTTTTTTTGGCCAAAAGACCACGTTTCAGGGAAGGAGCCTTTAAAACTGTTAATTTTGAATTTTAAAACGCTCACTTATAGGATTTTGAAACAAGTCACACAGTACACCGTAACGAACGAAGCATGGATACTCGTGGATTGGAGAGTTGGACGTCAATAATTTCAAATCCTTGCTCACCGAGGTCCTCTACCAATGGTCGAACATTTTTGGATGAAGTCGATGCGTGTTTGTATGATGGAGTATCTTGTTCTGGTTAGTTTTCAAAGTTTAAAACTTCAAACAACATTTAGACTCCAAGCTGACACAAGAATGTGAGCTTTGGAAAGAACGTTTCCCGCATCTCCGACTAGTTGGTAAACAAATAAGTGAGTCCGTGATTGGACGCTTTAAAAGGGTCTGAATTAGATCCACCGCGACACGAGCCACAACAAGACGACTTCAGAAATTTGGTCGCTTCAATTTTGATAAACGAACAAGCTCTTTCAAAAGTTTTTAACCGTACTAATTGTTTCACAATTTATCTTTAGATACAGTTAACAAATGCTCCTAAACAACGACTACTCAATCGTCCACAAATGAAAAAATAAATCTTTTTTGAGAACTGTCAACAAAACAAAGTAACAATTCGAAAAACAACAAGAAATGTAACAAAAACAACAAACAAGCAACAACACCAAATGTTTAATCGTCGAATTTGGTGCGCTTATTTTGGCCGCCACCTTGGTTTCCGTCGAACGATCTCTTGGCACCATAGTCTAAAATTAAAATAAAGTTTTACAATCATTTTCTACTATAAAGATCACCCCAAACACATAACAGAAACAATCCGCATCTCAACCTTGCAAATTAAAAGTTAAAACAACTCGCCTTGTCCTCCACGGAAGCCCCCACGAGAGCCTCGGTCTCCACGCGATCCACGATCTCCTCCTCGGAATCCACCACCACGATCACCACGGAATCCGCCTCGGAAACCGCCGCGATCTCCTCCTCGAAAGCCACCACCGCCACGGTCACCTCCTCGGAAACCTAATTAAGAATTCTGATTGAAAGCACAAAATTGATAAAACCTCCTCCACGACTTCCACGATCGCCACCTCTAAAGCCACCTCCACGACTGCCTCCTCGTCCTCGGTCACCACCTCGTCCACGTCCACCCCTTGGCTGCTAAAAAGAACCGTTAAATGCAAGCTAGAAAAAACTTACTCCTCCGCTCAGAAATCTTTCCAGTGGTAGCAATTTTCCAGGGTCCACAAAAATTTCTTGTCCTGCTTTAAAGGAGCCGACCTTCACGCCATCAGCCAATTTGACGGTGAATCCCTAAAGAAAATTTGCGTTACTAAGACAATTGGTAAAAAGAATTAAAGACTCGCTATAAAAATTACATTATCTTTTGGGCCTCCAAAAATCTCATCGACTTTTCCAATTTCGGCCTTATTCTCGAAGTAAACGGGCGCGTTGAAATATGGAATTTTGCCGCAAGTTGTTGCACAAACAAGGTCCTCTTCACACGGATGGGTGAATTCTCCGAGTACGACAACCTAAAATTAAACTTTTTGACCTGCTTGGCTGATAAGTACGCTAATATTTTCAAAAGTACACTGTCATTACTTTGGTTTTCTAACTAGTTTTCCCTATTGCCTATTCAACTCAACGTAGTCAAGTACCTTTTCCAACCTAATTCTCAAATTAAAAACAAACTTCTTCAGGTGGTCCTCCGTAGCCACCGCCTCCGTAGCCCCCGCCTCCTCTTCCTCCGCCTCGTCCACCTCGAAAACCGCCTCCACCACCACCTCGTCCACGATAGCTCATCTGAAATGCAAACCTTTCAAAACAAGAAAGGAAAATTCGTAAAAGAAGAAACGAAATCTTATCACGTGCAAGATAGCGTGGGAGCACTGGTAAGTCGGGAAAATGCAAATCTAGCTGTGCCATGAACATCCCAATATTTTGAGACTGTTTTAAGTGTTTGAGGAAAAGAAACATTTCGTTAGAAAAACTCATTTGCTTAAAAATCAAAATACAAGAGATTCTCAAAATTCATAATGGCTCCAAAAGGCTTGGCAAATCGCCACAACCCTTCGAGACCCATTAACAGGTGGAAACATGTTTACAAATATTCAAAGAGCAGTGCTCCAAAAGGCTTAGTAAAGGGGTTTATGACGACAATTGGCACGGTGCAATTAGTTCATGGTACAGCAATGACAACTTAGGATGGAAATGAACTCGGAATTAGACAGGGGAAAAAACCAAGAGAAACCTTTCAAAATCTAGTCATGCAACAGAAACACCTCCGCGAAAGCAACCGCCGAATGCAAAAAAAATATGTGGCGGGATGGCGCAACTGCGACTTTTTTTTGCGCAACTGGGTCAAAAGAGCAACTTTTAAAATTTTAGAATTTAGAATCTCCTAACAAACATACCTTTAAATCGGAAAAGACGTAGGTGGACAACCAAATTTTTCTTATTTTGACGCACACTCTTCAACGGCCCCCTTCAGGAACTCATCTATCATTTGTTCCGGTAAATCTTGAACCCATTCACGGATTTCCCCCTCAACTATGGATTCGTAGGTGGATTTGCGCTCTATTGATCTGAAAGTGCACAACTGGCCTACTAATCCTTTTCTTTATGAGATTTGCGGATTAGCAGACTGACGGGTTTTCGTTTTAACTTGAAATACCGTATTTTCTTTAGTAGAAGTTGGTTAGACATTTCTCTTTGCGCTGAAATTGATCATGCTGCGTTGAACCTGACTTCGCTTTGTTACAATTCATGCATACTTCTCAAAAACTCATTAGCAGATAGCAAAGAATGATAGTTGCCTTTATTGCTGTATTTACGTACGATCTAACCTATCTTTGGTGAGCTAGTGCGCATGAATTTTTCACTTTTAACAACTTTTTGCCGTGCAAAGTCGAGCAAATAAGCAATTTTTATTGTGCCCGTACACATCTTTAAATGTATGCAAGTAGCTTTCCTTTCAACATGCTAGTATCCGTTCATAGGTATTAGATTGTGAATATTGAAAGTATCACGAGTGTCCAAGCAAGCTGAGTGTGGGTTGCCGTGTTCGATTGTGCTGGCGGCGGCTGCCCTCTCTGCCCGTCTTCCCTCTTCTCAAAGGGCCTCCTATCGCGCGGCGATCCTCTCGTCCCCTCCACACGCCTCACACTCTTTTCTAAATTTTCTCACGGTCCACCCTGCCTGCCTCTACTTTCCCATCATTTTCGTTCCTTCCCTAGTTTTTGGGAAAATTTTTGCGACCAAAGCCGCGTCAACCCCCCCCCCCCATCGTTTATTCTTGGACTTTTGCCACGTTTTGTTATTATTTTTGAAAAATCCTTTTTTCTGCAGAATTTGTATTCGATTTTTAGAGCATTTGGGCTCAACTGCTATGTGCTGGCTTGGGCTATAGAAAGCTGAAATACCGCTTCGGTTTGAAATATCAAGGTTTGCGACTATGCTTTTTTTATATTTGTGTAAAATTTTAGTAAAAGAATGCGTAAACCATCCAACTCTCAATCCAAGGGTGTCGAAGAAAAAGCCGAGCAAGCAACGCCATCGAGTACCGTTTCTCAGTCGCAAGATGTCGCTAATTCACCATTGGGTGTAGCCGCAACTAGTGCACAGCGGATCAGCGCGTAACCCTTGAAGACTTTATTTTGCAAAATCATATTCTAGTGAAAGTGCATCTTCTGCTGCTTCTGAAGGAGATCCATCAAATGATACGATTACACCTCGCCATAAGAGTAGTGCCACAGCATCGGCTGAACAATCAAGGTGAGTGAATTAATGGATTTTATCATATACCAATCGGTTTAGTGCCGGTTCTACTGCAATGAAGCCTTATGAAGAACAAGGAGCTTTAGAGAAGGTAACTCTATGTATTTAATTTTGACCAATTGTTTTAGTTTCAAAATCTTGCTCAAGATAACATTTTCAAACCGTTTCGATCGATGGTCAGTCAGAATCGTCGACGTTATCAAGTGGGGAACTTCGATCTGGACCTAACTTGTAACCTGATTTTTTTAATCTTTTTAAATTTTTTTTTTTAGATATTACTGATAGAATCATTGCAATGGGTTATCCTGCTAGTGCGTCGGAGGCCGTTTACAGGAATAGTATGCCAACCACCCAGCGTTTTCTCGAGTCACGACATGGAAATCATTACAAAGTTTTCAATCTGTAAGTTTGAGCTATCCAAAATAGAACATATTTTTGCAGGCGTGGACAATACGTGTATGACACGGCCAGATTCCAACATCGCGTTGTTTCATTTGAAATGACGGACCATCATCCACCACGTCTTGAATTGATGGCACCATTTTGCCGCGAGGTATTTTGGTAACTATTAACACCAAGATTCCATTTTTTAGGTTCATGAGTATCTTGAAGCTGATCCACTCAACATCGTGGCTGTTCATTGTAAAGCTGGAAAAGGGAGAACAGGCGTGATGATCTGTGCTTACTTGGTATATATTGGTTTCTACCCGTCTCCTCGTCAAAACATGGATTATTATTCGATTGTGCGCACAAAGAACAACAAAGTAACGTCAATTTTGACTATAATCAGACAACTATCATTAAGGGTGTCACTATTCCATCACAGCGGCGTTACATCTACTACTTTTCACATCTTCGTAAGCACTCTCTTAACTACATGCCATTACGTGTTGAGTTGATTGGCGTCTACATGGAGCGTCCACCTTGTTCTGGCGGTAACTAGAAAGCTTTCCAGTACGTATAATTTGAACTGCTAGGTGCTTTGTCGCGTAGATTTTTATCATTACGAGTCGCAAATGAGGAAGTTGATGTATTTCTCGGCGATGAAATAAAAGTACGCAAAGAGGTATCTTGTGTCTAGTTTTTAAAAGACAAATGCCTTTTAGGTTATTACTCAAGAAACACGCGAGTGGCGTGGAGCGGGTGGATTGCCACTTTGCTCTCGTGGTCCCGACTCGTATGATCCTTTGAACCCGGTTGCTGGTAATGACGTAGTTTCTAGGTAATCAAATCTTAATATTAGTTTCATTTTTTGCTGTTTTAGAAGAGCGTACGGCTGGACGGTTCCATCCAACAAACGGGTATTTCTCGAGGGGGACGTTCGCGTTGATATTTATTGTAAGGAAAAGATTCGTATTGTAAATGTGGACAAAGAGCGCGACAAGGTAAGGTCTAGCTTTTATAAAAATCACTTAAATTTTAGATTGGACACATCTGGTGGAATACTATGTTTGCGTGCCCACAGTTTTGTGGAGGTTGCTATCAACACGGGGACGAAGCGCACCCTTATCCACCAGGTTTTAGCAAAAAAGTTACATTTACATCACTGTTTTATCCAGGGGAAACAACTATTGCCTGCCGCAAAGTATCAACTGCATCTCAAGAAACGTCACATGGGATGCGTACCAAAAGTGGCAGCGCTTCAGTTCCAAGCTCACCCCCTGGATCACCAAAGGTAATGAGTCGATGATTGTGTTTTTTTATTTCTACTTAACAGCTTGAATCACCGGCAACACGTGTCCCTTCGTTTGATGCGCGAAAGTCAAAGTCATCCAGTTCAACAGGCAAACTGCAACATAACGCCGTAAGAAAAGGTTTTTTTATTTTTTGAGCTTCTAATGCCACCAACTTTTAGTTACCGAGGGCATGCTTACTCGTAATAGCGAACCGAACATTGAAAGAAATGTCGAAGACAAACCTTCTGAAAGACATCGGAAGAAAACTGATGCGGGAACCAGTGATTCCTCCAAGTACAAAATCGTGACCGAGGAGCTGCAGCTCGTGCTGCCGCCAGGGTTAGATGTTCATTGCCCAAAAGATATGTTGGACAAACTTTATCCTGCCAAAGAGTGAGCTTTAGTAACTTTTTATAATCAAACCAATTGTTCAGCCATCCTCGCGATGAGATCAAAAAAGTGTTGATTAATGCGCATGAAAAGAATTTAATTTCGGATGAATATAATCGACAACGTCTATCAGTGCCTCAAGGTAAGTACAATTTTATTGTTTATTGTTGTTACGCGACTCAACTCAGACACTTTAGAAGGAACTCCAGTGTCAAAAGCACCGGATGGTCGTCCACGTGCAGATGGCACTGATCCTGGCCCCTACTGCATCACTCGTGCATGCGACGAGCACGTTCAGGTTTTTTTTTGCTTCAGAGTTTAATATCTATTTCTACGTGTAGACCTACAATGTCTTGGAGATTGATCGTGCGCACAAAAGGAAAGATATCAATCCCGGCTTTAAATTAATTGTTATTACTCGATGTGTACCAAACGATGGACCGGATGCACAGTTGGCTCAATCATTTCTGACGGTGACACGCGAAAAACAGATGGCTAAAAATGTGGAGAAACAAAATAAGGCATCGAATCTGTTTTTATAGTTTTTTAACTCTGTTTTAGGTTGATGGTCGTCTACGTAAACTTCAAGATCATGGAAGCAGACAACGGGAAGGAACCAATCAAGATAGTTTTATGTATGCAGGACACAATGAGCTTTTCACATAAAATTTGTTAAGTGATGACTCTCGATGGGTTGGCGATGAACGTATTAATGACCCGCATTTGAAGAAGTTTTTCTATCGCCAACGTGATGACTCGGTTAGCCGTTATCCTCCTGCACACTACAAGTATGCTTGAAAGAATAATCTCCGGCGATCAGGTATACTTTAGGTGTCCTTTACTCGAACAAGGTGAACCGTCTTCATCATCGGCCCCTACTTTGATCGAAACCGTCGAGAGTGAACCTGCAAATGTTATGGTACTTGATAAATATAAATTTGCGATACATATTTTATTCAGCCTTCACGTCGTGCAGCATCTTTGGGCAAAGACGATGGTGTCGATGTCAGGAGTTATCATCCAGAAAGTGCGGTTGAAGAATGGTCTGAACATTCAGAAGCTTCCGCGTCCGACGAGGAGGATGATGTTTGGATTTCTTCTTTGCAACCAATAGTTATTTTTAGATCACATTGGGAGCTGACGGCAAGAAGCCTTCAAATGCAGCTGACGAGGATACTGTTCAAGATCAAGATGATGATGATGATGACGACGACGAGACAGAAGCAGAGATTGAGCCTTCAGAACAAGATGATGAAAAACCCTCAACGTCTTCAGCATTGCCAAAGTAGCTATTATTTGTTGATTAGCACCTTCCTAGATCATACCAAATTTTTATGGTCCGAGCTTATTTTTGCATTTATCCTTGTTTATGGTCTGTTTCCAGCTTTCTATTTATACCCCTCAATTTACGTGTGCTAGGGTGTCTGTTTATGCATTATTTTAAATGTTAGGATTTATTTATCAAGGTATCCATTATCCTATTTGAATAATTTTTAAATGTGGCTGGTGGTGACCTCCTTTTATGATCATAACATTTAAATTTTGGAAATGCTTTAATTTTTTTGTGTGACCTGCACTTGTATAAAGCTGTTACGTGTTTTTTTTAAAAAATTTTTTCCTTGTGAGAAGTCGGTCTGTAACCAAATGCATGCGTCTTTTGACATTGCACAAGATGAGTTCCTTTACCTAGGCTTTTCTTCATTTGGTTTAGTGTCTAGTTATGTGTATGCAATTCCACCGGTGTTTTTATGGTTTCAACTGTGAGTTTATCATTCTGTTTATTCCAGGTTCGGCATATTTTCAGAGTGTTTCTTTTTCCTTCCAATGCGTGTATTTGTCGACTTTGATCCTCGTTTATGATATTGCAATTTAGACTATCCAAGTAAAAGTTTTTTAACTCTTGAAGAAGGGCCGGCCACAAAAGTAAACAATAAAACTTTTTTTTCAAACAGAAGGGTGGCACAGATGGAAGGAGTTTCGATTTTTAGGGAAATTGAAAAACAAGAGGTCGGGGCTTTATGATCAAAAGTCGGTTAACAATGAGTGCCCTTGTCACGGCGTTTCACTCGATTAGATTTTGACTTGAGAGGGGTGATGAGTTTGTCTTCTCGTTTAGCTCTTTTATGTTCGAGAAGATTTTTCTCCTCCACTTCTCATGCACAAAAAAAGAAATGGGGGCGGGATGGACACATCGTCGTCAGAGAGAAGGTCTTCTCCTTTTTTCTCCATTCATTTCGTTCTCTTTTTTGTATGGATGTGGTTCATTCCTTCAGGCGTGATTGTGACAGATCCAATCTCTCCCTTTCCTTCCAATCCACTCTAAACTCAATCAAATGCTCGCCTCTCTGCACACATCCATCCATGCTCTGTTTGTGTTTCTGAGGGTAATTAGGGGAACACTAGATTCATCCATCCATTGAATCATCCCCAGAAGCTCCTCTTTTTACTCTATGACTTTATCACGCTTTCCCCAGTTGCCAAATGAAATGGCGTCAGTTTTGAGATCAATTGTTGATTCATGTGAATTTGAAAGTACTTTTTACAGCACTCTTTTGCTGGTAGTCTGAGTGACTTATCCCCGGTTCATTTCGTTTGAAAGAACATCCATAGACCAAATTGAACTGGTCCAAATGAGATCAAACTTGAAAATGAATTATTTCAAGAACTCAACTAACAATAAGCCATCAACCTTTGATTTCAAGAATATCTTGGCCTTTGATCATCCTCGAATTACTGTATAGTACTTCAATGTCTATGTATCTTTCGATGAATGTCTATTTAAAAACTACCGTAACCTCATCAGTTTCTCGTTGTTTACTTGATTCTGTGAGAATTCACGAAGCATGTCGAAAGATCTAAAAATAGACAGATTGGAGAAGAAGTAGAGGCGAGATTACGATATTTTTTGAAACATGGCAAGTTTTAGAAAAGAAAGTGATTAGGAGGGGCATCCAAATTTCTTAAGCTTTTTTAAATTTTAGATTTCTTTTGGATTTGGTTCATGGATATCATTTCCTTACCATATTCTGCTATTTATTATCTAATTCCCCTAGAAAAAACCCCAATTTCGTGTGGCTGAACGGGCCGGCGGAAATATTTATGTGTGCTCATTTAAGAGAGGGTCCTTGAAATGAGAAAATTCTCACCATTTTCATGTGTCTAACGGCTTTCCCTTCTTTGAAAAAAACAACTCGAGTTCCCCCAGGGTTCATTTTTTATTTACCAATCTTTCCCCAAACTTAATTGATAGTGTTTCCCCCGTGCGCTCGCACTAATTTCGTTTCCAAATTCGAATTCTTGGCGTCTCGCCGATGATCAAATTTGGCTGAAGTGGGGAATTTTTTTTCGCGAAATTTTTCAGAGAAAATATTTTCATTCTTCAAATCTCAGCCCCATTTTCTGATTTTTGCAGATTATCTCCGCTTTAGTGAGCTATCTTTTGAAACACTCTCACACATTCTCATCCGTTCCATTCTTTTCCGTGTTTTGCTTCTGATTCATAGCTTCTCAAATATTCGCAAAATCTTTTTCAGATCCTTTTCCCCTCATTTTGGGTTATCTAATTGAATACAAAGCACACGGAAATGTTGAAAAGATTGTGCTTTTTGTTGATGGTTTTATTGATGGGTTTGGCGAGTGGAGCTCCGTATGGAATCTACGAAAAAAGGTTTGTGAGTGAGAATGTGAGTTAATTGAAGACTTTTAAAAATTATGGACAATCAAGATCTCGAAGGGTCTCACTTTTGATGAACCCTTTAAACTTGCGAGGAAAAGTTTTCTCTAGAGCTACTTACAGCTGATAAAGTAGACTTGAAAATAAAATGGATTACGGTAGAGAACAACTGCAAAAACTAGAATATTTGACTAGTTCGTGATTTCTATTTGACACTAGTTTTACCAATAATAAGCTTGATGGGAATTTCTCATTTTGTTTAACAGATCTTTATGATTTTATGGCTCTTTTTGAAAAAGTAAAGCATGCTTCACTCTTAGAAAAAGTACAGACTTTAAAGCCCTATTTGAACTCTCAAAATCTCAAAATTCCACCTCGCTAAAGTTAAACGAGTTTTTGATCTTTCTGAGTTTTGACCATTTCTGTCCCCAATGATCCATCATTCTCTCCTCAACTGACTGGTTGTTTTCATTTCTCAATCTTTCTCACTGTTGTCTGAAATGATCTTACAATCCGTGCTCCTCATGCGTGCCAATTTTTTATTCAATCTTGATTTTCTTTTCTTCACACTTCTTTTATCCAAAAAAAAACATTCAATCTTTTTCTCCACTCGAAAGCTTCTTCAAGATTAACGCTAATTCGTTGTGATCCGAAGGGAAAAAAGAGAATTGAAGGAGTAGAAGGAATGAATGATTTGTATCGAGGAGAGTCTCTTTCAATCCATCACTGAGTCATCAGACCAACAAAGAGATTCAAAAAAAATTGAGAAGTTTTGATCAAAGCATTCCATGGCTAAATGAGCTTTTGAAAGTGGATAAAGCATCATTCAAATTAGTGAATGATTCACGAGATTGAAATTACTTTTTGACTTGAGAATTTTGCTCAAAAGTCAAGCAGAGATTTGGCTTATCGCATCTACTTTTTGAGGAAAACCGAAAACGAAAATTCTGCTTAATGGCTAAACAAAAATGATGCCCTGGACACGATTCTCTTGATTCCGATCGCGTTTTGGATTCTCTTCTCTATCTACACATATTACACTTATCTCAGGTTTAGGGAAAAGAAAGGCTGAGAAATTTGAAAAGGGAACACGACGAAAAGTCCAGCTCTTGCCTAGCATTGTAGTCCTGGACTCTAGCCTAACTTTTTTTTAAACTAAATCAGTTTTTCCTTTACCACAGCCTGAATCCTTTTTTTTTTAAACATCTCGGATTTTATTTCATTCTGAGTTTGTGATGGAAAACCGGTTTTTAGCTTCTCAAACTGTTTCCAATGCTACAAGAACTACGCCTTGACCATGAAATTACTAATTCAGTAAACTTTTAGCAACTGATGCAACTGATCCACTGATGAAATTTGTTAATAAAACCGAAAAAGTCAAAAAATCCCCTCAATTCTATTGGATGCCTCAGTCGAACAACAACAACAACAAAAACGGCTTTGCAAATTTCTTCCCAAAAATTATGCGAACAATCTGAAAATACATTCTCAATGATATTTGATTTTTAAATCCATTCTCCATTTTGCGTGATGAGAAAATTTTCCACTTCCCGGTCGAGAAAAATCAAAAACTGGACGTCAATTACCGAAGAGAAATGGAGTTTTCCATGCAAAATTCGAACAAAGCTTTCAAAACGAAGAACTTTTTCCTTTTCTGTTTTCGGAAAAGGGAACCCTCATTAGGATCGAGAATTTTTCTCTCAAAAACCCCAAAAAAAAGGCGAAGAGGGGTCATCCAGAACAACGGCTTTGTTACAAAAAAGGAGGGAAAAGTGAGCTGCTTTTCAGAAGTTTTTAGAAGCAATTATGGATAGAGCTCTTTTTTGTGTCAACTTGACGAATTGTCAACTTGACGTCATGGTCATGAGTTTAGACAAGGAAGGGGGTGATGCTGAGTTGGATGAGTGAGAGAGAGAATACCAAAGTAACAGCAAAGCGCTAGTGAGCTTAATATTTTTGATTATGGGTCTTTAGTGGTTTGGTTCAGCTACCGTAATCTTCATAACTTTCAAAAACTACCGTGCCTAATCTTCATTTATTTGCCATTGTTCTCCATTTTGAACTTCCGTTGCAAGTCCATCCACGTAACTCCTCCAGTTTTAACATTTATCTACGTTGTGTTTTTATGTGTTTGCTAACTGATCTAAAAGACCCTTTGGCTCAATTTCTCGACCAAGCCGAACCTATCAACACGTTCATTTGATCTTATCCTCTCTGTTTTGATCACAACTAAACTCTACTTCTTTAAAACCATCGGAAATTCTATGCTATATTCAACCTCAAATGCGCCCTCAAATGAATGAACGAGAAACGCAAATGTCTTGTGGGCGGCAATGACAAAAAAATCTTTTTGAGATTCATCGAATTTTCATGGCTAATTGCGGGAAATCATCATAAACTCCTGAAAACGAAGCATCTCATAATGAAATTTCTTTCAGAATGTTGGGCGGAGCGGCTTTCGGCAGTTTGGATCAATTCCGCGGATTGTGGAGGTGAATTGAAAAATTTGAAAGTCAGAGAGAAATTTCAGGCAAAATAATCAAAAGATGACACCCGAGAAACGATTCGGTAAGTTGATAACAAATAAAATGAAGATTATCAAATTTTAGGTAATTTCGCTCGTCAATGGAAAATTCTACAAAGGGAGGGCTGAGAGAATTTGTGGGGAAATTGTTCATTTTTGATTGATTGCCTATTGTAAATTGCTCGTTTTCAGACACAGAGATCTCATAGTAATCGAATAAAATATTTCTTGTTGCGAAAACTCTGTTTGTTTTTTCTATATATTTATTAACAAGCCAAATCTCTAAAACCAGCAAGCAAAAATCACAAACCACTAAACCATTAAAAGAAGCCATTAAAATTATTTTTTACCTTGAAAATCTTACGGCACAATTAACTAAGCACATGTTCTAGCATCCCTTATGTCACAATAACAAGAAAAGAGAACAAAAAACAACAGTAAAATCACCCACCAAGCCTCGATCGTAAAGTGTTGAGACTTTCGTCCAGTTGATTCTTGATCTAAAACAGCTTCTGTAATAATGATATGGCCATAGAACATACCTCGGCATCATCCTTATTTTTCAGCGAAGAAACAACGAGTTTTTGCGTCTCTCCCAACAAATCGTAGATTTCCTAAATAAAATGATGCAATCGATACTTCTTAGCTAAGTAGTTGAAATAGTTGATGTTGTCCTTTACCGTATCAATAAGAGTGACAAGTTTGGGAACCAATTGTGAGACGAATTTCCCAGATCCGTGTACAGCTACTCCCTCTTTTGCATATAAATAAAGAACCTAAAGTGCGTTATTTGAATCGTTTGATAATGTGCATTTACTTTGGATTTAGCCAAAAGTGCCAACGTTTGAATTGGAGAAATAGGCGATATGATTGCCAAACCATGCTGCGAAGACAGGTTTCTTTGTAAATATCGTTTACGAATATTGTTGGCGATATGAAGAGGTAAAACTTGTCTAGCATGAGCTGATCGCTTCATTTGTTGCTTGAGAGCCTTGGCCAATCTAACTTTTCGCATTTTTTCCTTGTTAAATTTTCGATTGCTTTCTGCTGACATCCTGATGCGATAAGTTTCTTTCCCCGTTTTCCGTTTCTTGTTGAGGGATGAGGCTTTCTCTACCTGTAAAATACAAATCATTAGTTGAAACCAAAATTATGTAAACAATAAAAAAAAGAGTCAAAATTTTGATCAGAAGTGAAGAAAATAAAAACACATTTGTTAGTTTCATAATTTTGTTTTTTTAATGGTTACGGTAGTTTGCCCACTCTTTAGCGCGCAGAAAGTTGAAAAACGCCACTTTAGCGTTCAAAAGGCATCAACTTTTCACAGATTCACCCAATTGATCTCGTTTTGGTGTCAAAATGTGGACAAGACCCTTGAGCATAAAGTTTGTTATATGACGCTCACCAAAATTTCCTTTTCGCCGAGAACCAGCCTGTAAAAGAGAGGCAATTTTAGCGTTTATATGGAGAAATAGTGATTTTTCGATTTTTTTCGTATTAGAAAAATCTGTCAGACGGATTTGAAAAATTCTTTCAAATTTGAATTCAGGACATTTTTTCGCATCGAATAGCACTCACCGTGAGCAAATTTGACGGCGATCGCATTTTTCGCCTTATTTCGCGCAGACGTGCACCAGGCAACTTCGTAATTAGCTTTGTGTGCATGGGTCTCAAATTCATCCCAAGCACTTGTGAGCCGTAATAAAAGTTTTGCAGCTAATTCAAAACCCGTTTTCATATCGTTTCGAAAACAGAAACTTTGGACACTAGTATCAGATGAAGATCGTCAAATCATTTTTGCAGATGTGAAAGTATGTTTGAAAATTCTCCACTTATTCCGTCGGATTTAGAAAGTTGTTCATAAACGGGCACTTGCAGCTGTCAAAATATGACTCAAACCAGGAGTGCCGCCAATAGCCACTTAAAGTTTTTCTCATTTTGCTTTGAAAAGGGATCTTTTTTTGAGACACCCTGTATAGCTCTGTTCTGAAGAAAGAAATAAAAAACTAATCTCAAGTTCTAGTACCTAAAAATTGAAGACTTGGGCTCAATAGCATTTTTAAAAGGTTCAAATATGCCTATTTACTTATTCATTTCGTTTGATGTTTCCAGAAAAGCGACATCCATGGTGGCTTGTTTTTGCAACGAAAACTTTATTCAACGCCCCATAGTTAGGGTGACTTGATCGTAATTGGCATTGCCGTTCGATTTCGCACTCCTCGAATCATCGAGACACCCATTATATAGAAGTTCATCATCAAAACTCCATCCATATCTTCGTCGACTCGATGACAAACACAGGAGCCACCGTTGAGCACTTCATCCGACTCTGAATGTGTTTGCATTTTATCATTGCTATCTCTATCAACATGTAAAGCTACAAACCCGTAAAGTTCCAAAAGTGTTGAAAGTTGACGCGGTAAGTTTGAAAATACGAATGGGCCAAATGGGGGGCTGATCAAGACAGCGCCCATGTACGCTCAGCGAAACAGCGGCGTGTACAAACAGCTTGTACAAACAGCCCCAAAAACGAATGCTTGACAAAAAGTGAGCGGCCAGCGTTTCTTTTCTTTTTTCTTTTCATTCTCTTGATATTATTCAAAGATTATTATTGAAATTTCAAACTTTACCGTACGACATAGGCATTGCTATAAGGTGCTTTGCCATAACCTGTGTTGTACTTTCCAACAATTTATCTTATGAAAGGGTTAAAAAAGTAAGAGCGAAAAATAATAAGAAAAGGGAAAAGCATAGTTTGACTACAGTTACGACAGACAGGCACAAGACATAAAAGTCAAAGACGCACAATTTTTATCCTCACAAAGCTTCACATCAAATTTGAACAAGCATCGCTTGGAGTATCGAATGAAACTCGCTCATTGTCATTAATGTCGAAGAATTGTTTTTATGGATTTCAATGACAACTGTTTGACGTTAATAGTTGAAAGTTAACATTTTCATGAAAAGTATTTTAAAATGAACTTGTATTTGAAACGGAGAACAATTAAGTTAGCAAATCCAAAAAAGCAAAAGAAACACGTAGAAGGGCGGACTCGAACTAGAGAGCTTATAAGCTCGGGGTGTGATTTTTGAAATCCCATACAAAACTTTATAGTTTACTTTATAGAGCGCTTATAACTTCTGACAGAGTGTTGTGTTGCAAAAGCGGGATGCAGATTCGGAATGAGCAAAATGATAGGACCACTACGTTTCTTTTTGATTTTCTACCTGTAATAACCATGTTTCTTCCTTGCTTTTTGCTCATTTTTATTTTTTAGGAAGATCGTGCGTGGAAAATCGCTTACGCGGATCGAACAGATGGAAATTTTGATTTTGAAAGGAAGAAAGTTGTCAAATCGAAAGATCGCAAAAAAATGAAGCGCTCGCACCAAGTTGTCTCCAATTTCTTGAAGGATGCTTTCAAGGACGTCCTTGCGGATCAACTACTTCCTTTCCTAGCAAAAATTGAGGGAAACGCTATATTTTTCAACAAGATAATGCTTCAATTCATGTCAGCCAATACACTAAAGCTTTTCTGGAACGTCACAACATCGATTTTCTCGAATGGCCTGCCTGCTCACCGGACTTAAACCTAATGGAAAACTTATGGGGCATCCTCGTGAGGAATATTTATGCTAATGGAAAGACTTACGACACGATTTCGCAACTCAAAAAAGCAATTTTGCAAGCTTGGACGTCAATTCCACAACAAACGCTTCAAAACTTAGTGAACTCGATGAAAAGTCGACTACTCGACGTCATCGAGAAAAAGGGAGCATTTATTGATTATTAATGATCTTTAATCAGCTTTTCATTCGTTTTTCTTTTGTAAAAGCTATTTAAAAGCTAATTTAAAACCTTTTGATTTTGGCGCTGTTTGTACATGGGCGCTGTTTTGATGAGCTCCCGCCAGTTTAAAGTTTAGATAAGCACTCCAGCTAAGCAAAGGTCAAAATATGAGCCTGATCGGTCTGATATTTTTATCGTAGACCGATCACAGTCTACGATAAAAACCATCCCCTTTTGATTTAAAAAACGAGTGGATCTATAGTTTTTGGACAAGGCGTATTAACCCTTTAACAAACCCATTGAAAACACTTCTTTGCACGATTGCCAACAGTCAGATTTTTGAAAATACTTTTTCAAAGCCACCAACAGATAGCCAAAGTGAACGTGGTCGTCGGTGGGCATAAGCTTAAAAGAAACAATGTTTTTTAGAATATATTGACAAGCTTATTGATGAGTTGACCTTAAGTGGATGAGGCAAGCCACTTTTTGTGTATCCAGGAGGCGGTATCCACTGCCCATTCGTCAATTGCATTGAAATGAAGCAAAATGTGAAGAAAACGGACACCTTTCGAATTTTGCACATTTTTCAGCTTGTCGCTGCCACTGAAAATCGGAAGACATTTTGTCTTGATTCAAAGTTGATTAGAAAATGAGTTCAGAAAATGAATTGAGAAAACGCCACAAAATAGTAGTATTTTTGGATTGATCCCTTTCGAGAAACACTGATGATTTCATATTGACATATTGATATTGATTGATAGATTGACAAAAACTTTTTCAAACAATTTTTTCTGTATAAAATCGTGAAAAATGGCGGAAAAATGGCGGCGCACCGGATAGAGGTCGACTACATGTAGACAAAAAAGACTCATTAAGTATGAGAAACGAGCGTTTCACATCAATACGTTCACTAAGTAAAAAGCCAAAAGGCTTTCTCTTATATACAGCCAAAAGCCTTTCTCTTGAGAGCGATTGTTTTGGTGCGCTCAATATGACACATTTGATATGACACATGATTAAGATGGAAGATTTGCCATCTAAAGAGAATTTTCTTCGCTTTCTTCACTTTTTTCTCAATTTTTTACTGGCTGATTGCGAAAGGGTAGAATGAAATTTAGGATTTTGAACATCAGGAACTTTAGCTGCAAGTAATGGCGAACAGTTGATTTCGATGAATTGAACAGAAGAATTTTTAGAAATCACAAAATTGGTCCATAGATGGAGAATTAGAGGAAACGATGGCTGTGAAGAGGTCGCTTTTTATGGTAATCTCTGGTACGGCCAGTTTGACACATTGTATAGCACGTTTAGCAAGTTGGGAACAAAACAATTTATGAAAACTATGAACTAATTTTGTGATTTCTAAAACTTGTTGCGGGTAATTTTGCCCAACCCTGTACATGCTCGTTTGTCTATATGGAATCATGAGTGTTTGTCGAAAGGGATCAATCCAAAAATACTACTATTTTTTGGCGTCTTCTGAATTCATTTTCTAAAACTTTGAATCAAGGCAAAATGTGTTCTGATGCTGTGTTCTGATTCTGTGTTCTGATGGTCTGTTCTGATGTTGTGTTCTGATTTTCAGTGGTAGTGACAAGCTGAGAAATGTGCAAAATTCGAAAGATTTTTTGACAGATCTAGCTCAACACTTTACATGTTGATAGAGATAGCAATGATAAAATGATAGAACGGGTGCCTCGATGATTCGAGGAGTGCGAAATCGAACAGAAATGGCAATTACGATCAAGTCACCCTAACTATGGCGCGTTGAATAAAGTTTTCGTTGCAAAAACAAGCCACCATGGAGGTCGCTTTTCTGGAAACATCAAACGAAATGAATAAGTAGATAGGCATATTTGAACCTTTTAAAAATGCTATTGAGCCCAAGTCTTAATGTTTATGTACTAGAACTTGAATGTATTCACCGCACGGTACCGAAGTATTTTTATCGTGATCTTGATCCCATAAAAATCGTTCATTGGGACCTTTGTCATCTACTATATATAAAACAGAAGAGACGTCCGTCGGTCCGTGCGCAAACGCGACGCTCCGCAATTACGTCTGTCTGCCTGTCTGGGTTACGGTAGTTTTCCGCTGGTTTTAACATATTTTGAGTTTCATTTGTATAATTTAGATGAAACCACCATTGTGTATTTTAATACAAATAATGCCTTTATGAAATCATCCGTGTTTGCCGATCAATCCAAAAATACTACTATTTTGTGGCGTCTCCTGAATTAATTTCCTAACACTTTAAATCAAGGCAAAATGTGTTCTGAGTATTTATTATTTATTAACAAGCCAAATCTCTAAAGCCACCAAGCAAAAATCACAAACCATTAAACCATTAAAAGAAGCCATTAAAATTATTTTTTACTTTGAAAATCTTGTGACACAATTAACTAAGCACATGTTCTAGCATCCCTTATGTCACAATAACAAGAAAAGAAAACAAGAAACATCAGTAAAATCACGCACCAAGCCTCGATCGTAAAGTGTTGAGACTTTCGTCCAGTTGATTCTTGATCTAAAACAGCTTCTGTAATAATGATATGACCATAGAACATACCTCGGCATCATCCTTATTTTTCAGCGAAGAAACAACGAGTTTTTGCGTCTCTCCCAACAAATCGTAGATTTCCTAAATAAAATGATGCAATCGATACTTCTTAGCTAAGTAGTTGAAATAGTTGATGTTGTCCTTTACCGTATCAATAAGAGTGGCAAGTTTTGGAACCAATTGTGAGACGAATTTCCCAGATGCGTGTACGGCTACTCCCTCTTTTGCATATAAATAAAGAACCTAAAGTGCGTTATTTGAATCGTTTGATAAAGATTAAATAATACCGCTGAAAGTAGTGCTGCCGCTGGATCTGTTTGTTCGTTTAGCTGGGTAAATAAATGAGCCTTGTAGGTTTCACAATTCTCACTTCTAAATCCAGAATAAATGTATAATGTTGGATGAATCATTCACCTCATCTTTTTGTCGAGCTTCTTTAGATTTAGCTGCAAGATACTCGGCGAACAAACGTCGAAAAGATTATCGTTGAGTTTCTAAACAATATACTAGTTTTGTTTTTATTGAACATTATCATTTTACCTGAGTGTCCTCAGATTTCAAGCTGTCAAAAAGAGAGTTAAATGCGTCTTTAATTCTCGATGGAAGAGAGTTAACCGTTTCTTCGCGTTGCTAAACATCGTAAAACTTGGTTGATTTTCTTCAAACATACCCTTTCTTTCATCTGACCAACGTTCGGAGTGTCACTTGCATATCCGAGAAGGAAATTTGCAAGCTCAGTGCCAAGAGTTTTCAATAAATAAAGGCACAAATCGTTTTGAAGAGCCCCTTAATTGCTAGATTCTAATTGCCCAGACAGAACGATTACCTGAGAAATGTTCTAATCCAGATTCAAACATGCAGAGATTTCCATGTAGTTGCGCAAGTTGTTGTTCAGTTTGTTGGTGGGACCTAAGAAACATTATAATATTACTTTCACAATTTATAGTAGGACCTTTTATTTGACTGAGCGGCAGTCGTAGCTTGAGTGGCAGCCAAATGAGCAACGCGTTCTCGTAATTTGTTTGTTACCTGAATAACATGCATGCATAACGAGAAACAATAAAGTGATACCGTTTCAGCGATGCTTTCTGAAATTGTATCGAGTAATTCTTCGGGAATAACAGAAGTAGCTTGAAGCCATTCGATGAGCTAAATTTACAGTAAACAAGAGTCTTAAAAAGTTTCAATTGCGATTTTTTTACTTCATTAAGTATTACTTGGTCAGGTTCAACTACGATGTTCGTCGAATCGTTTGTTTCCTCGTCTCTCTTTGATGATCGTCCTTTTGCCGCTTTTCCCCCCTTTTTACCTTTTCCACCTTTTCCCTCATTCCAATCATCCTTTTCCTAAATAAAAAGTCTACAGTAAAATTCCTGAAACCAACTTGATTTGCAGTTTGTGGCATCTTTTTGCGCTGCTCCAATTTGTTGAGTTCAATATTGGCCTGTTCTTCCAACTAGATTTGAGTTCAAGTAGCTTATTTTACTTCAAAATCTTACTTTTTCATTCAAGGACGTAGTAGCATTTGTCACCAACTGTTTCGTGTAAATAAAGCCATCAGAAACAAAATATTCCTAACAATGCTAACTGTTTAGCAACCTCTAATTACTAAAATAAACCTTGTTTTTATTTTTCAGATTCGTCACAAAAAAGTCTGCATCCGAAACCTCGAATGGTATGCCACTTTGTGAAATGATAGAATAAACGTTGGTGTAGTGTCTTTGCAAGAGTTCCTCTAAAAGTTGAAATGTTAGCATTTATGAAACGTATTCGTACAAACCTTCAATTAGATTTGCTTGAGCTTGAACTGTTTCTTTTGGAAGTACGATTGAGTGTAAAAACTGCAGCGCATTGATCTCTTCTGGTACAAATGTGGCTTTAATTAAAGCCGTTGAATCGACAACTCCCATTTTCTTTAGCTCGGAAAGCACTAAAGTAAAGCTCAAAAAAAATTATGCAAGTCTTTTCTATTACCAATGTGTCCTTCTTGCGTAAGCATTCTTTTCACTGCAGCTGCCAGCAACTGTTCGTGTAAGTGAGGCACATAAGTTGCGGTAGAAGAAGTACGTGACCCAACAATTTTCCCCGGTACCTAGAAATTTAATCAATTTTTTGATTTGAACGACGTTACTCACCTCACCAGCTTTAATCAAAAAATCCAAAGCCGCAAAAAATCTCGAGGGTGGAAGTTGCAGCTTTTGTTGAATATTTGAAACGGCCGTTACTCTAAATGTTTTCTTGAAAAAATTCGTAAGCAACAAAAACTTTGTAATCGCACTAAGTGCTGCTCTCAAAACCGATGTTCGAGCCTCAAGAAAAGTCCGCGTGTAGATATTTTCTCCATCGACAACGAATTCGCTTCCTTCTTTTGGAAGTTGATCGAGAAGAAGTGAACGCAAAAGTTCTGCTGGCAATTCCCATTGACGGCACAAAGATGGCTAAATTTCCAGTAAAATTATGATCAACTGCCTGGTAGCAGTCTTAAGCGTATTCCCTCACCAAAGATCGCATTCCCTCTTCAGCGAGCAATACATTGAGTTCACTTTGAAGTTTATTGACATACTCTCTAAAATTGTTTTAATAAAAAGAATAATAAACACGCCTACTTAGCAAAAAGCTCCCCGTTATTCAAGATGAATTCCTCATCCTCGGCAACTATTGCTGAGGCGGCATTGGAGATATGATCAAAGTCAACATTCAATTTTGCTGATATATCAGTGAGGGACACACGACCACCGACACCCAGACATTCATTTCGAACCTGTAGAATGACAGTTTTCCTGTAGACTGACAGTTTCCAGAAAATACCTCGGTTCGAAGGTGCCGTCTCGTTATATAGGACGATCCATCACGAGTAAAAACCACATCGATCAACTCCCTTTGGATTAACTTGCTGATAACTTCTATACAATTTGCTTCGGACAACCTAAAAAATGAGTAAAACCTGTTTAGAAAAATAAAGTAAAAAATACGACGCACTTCTTCGCTGCTTCTGATAGCTGTACTCGCTGCAGATCGGCGGCTAGCCGCTGAATCTCGGCCCAAGCACTACTCATCTAAAAATTCGGAGTATAAAACAGTAAAACGGAGTAAAACTTCCCGACTTTGCAAAATATTTTAGCGTACAATATACCCTCTCGACAAAGAAAGTGAAAAATTCAAAAAGTATTTATTCTTAACAATTTTTTAAGTAAATTTAAAAACAACAAATTAACAAACATAAAAACACTAAAGTAGATCAGAGATCGCCAAAGATGACTAGGTAAGAAAGAAACAAAACATGCGAAATGAAACGAAAGTAAACAAAAGAAAAAAAATTAAGACTTTCTTTTAATCTTTATCTTTGATGGATTTGCGTCTCGTTTTCTTTGCCTTGTGTTCTAAAAGGGGAAATAAAATTTGCTCATTTTCCGAATTAGGTAAACTCAATTAGCTAACAGCTGTTTAACAATTTAACAACCAACCGTGGTCTCGAGAAGAGTGTTTTCTTTTTTTTCGCGAATGCTGAAATACCTTTTTTATAGAGAAATTCGTAAATTATCTTGCCTTTTTCCCATGTTGTTTATGTTTGCGCTCCTTGCCACTTTTCCCGCCAGCCCGTAAATCCTTGATGTAATCGTCGAAGTATTTTTCACGAAGAGTGTCCGTTTCAATCTAAATCAATAAAATACAATAAAAGCAAAGCTCAATATTTACCGCCTTAAACGCTGGTTTGCCTTCAATTTTTGGTAAAATTTTACTCCACTCGGCATCCGTGTTCATATCTGCTTGAGCACCCAAAAACTTACTAAACATAACAAACATTGTTATTTACCCTAAGAAACTTACTAAAACTCTTCCTTCTCTTGTTTTCGTTCTTCTTTTTTCTTTTGAATAGCCTTGAGGGCTAGTAACTCGTAACATCGTAACAGAGTACTTCCGTCTATTTTCTCAATTCGGTTATTCATTTGCACCCATTGGGCAAATTGATCATATGGCGTATCAAACTAAAGATAAACTTCAGGATTATCAATGTATCAATATCTTACCTGCAAAACTTTTCCTTTCTCTGATAAAGCCTTCGCTATCAGGGACGCTCTTGTTGAGATACGGTCTTTCAAATCTTCGACGTAAAACTAAAGAAAAACAAATTCGTATGTAAATTATCAATTTGATTAAACCTTAAAAATGTCAAGAGCATTGGTTCCATTTTGCAGAAACATATTGTTGAATCGAACGTCCGATGAAATGATAGGACGTATCGAAGACCATCGCGACTCGGAGTGAATTATCCCTAAAATTAGAATAATATTCTTAAATTCGCATGCAAACAGTCACATTTAGTAAATTTCATGTAAATTTAGTAAAGTAATAGTAAATTTTACAAAATCATTTTTAATATGTGGTCTATTGCCCTATGGTTCGTAATTTTTATTTACGATGTGGTAAGATTTATGATTTTGGCATTTAAATAAAAATTATTTTTAGGATAGCGTTGACTATGTGCAGCCCTTCTACAATCCGAAGGGACTTGATTGGATATGTGTGGGAATAGCTTCCGGTTTCATATTTGTCTACACGCTAACATGCTCCATTATTCTGATCTTCTATTGGGTATCAAAGTTTATCGCGCTTAAAGCTGCTCCTTTTTAGTTGATGCGGCGGCGAAAGAAGTTGCCTGAATTGCAATACATGTTCAATATGCCTCAGGTTGGTTTTAGTTTAAATTGTTTTTGGTTTGGGTTTTCTATCGTTAGATACAGCCATTGTGTCTATTTAGGGTTCTGGCACCGATTCACAGCCCAAAATTCATCCGCAACCAGAGGTACATTTTAGCATTTAGTGCAATTTATCGAGCTACTGAACATACGAACTGGAAATATAGATCTTTTCCATTTAAAGAGTCAAGATCAGGAGGATTCGCGGATCAACGATAATGTTGAACTCGAGAGAGCTGGCACCGGAAGCAATACAACTGAAAGTCATCTAAACAACGCGCCATGTCCTGATCAAGAAACCACCGCCCAATTTGATCATCCAGATCTACTAACGGCGGATTCCCGCCAGGAAGGATTTGAGGATTTCACCAAATTAGAAGTAAGTCGTCTTTTCATGTCCTTTTTAAAGCACTGATTTAGAGTACTTACACAAAAGCGCGCCAAACTCCAAATCAAAGCCAGAGTGCTACTTCTGTATGTCCAAGTAAAGAATAGTTGTCCTTTTCCTTTATATTATTTATTTAGGTTAGCTCGCTGTCTAACATGTGAGGTCTCCAAAACCTTACTACAAGCAAATTTCTGATAATCATCTATAATAAACCTTTTTGATGTAGTTCGTCCAGCAGTGCAATGTAGTTTTCACGAATCTTTCGTTTCGTTCTTTGCGTCAGATTGTCTTGTGCAGTCTACTAAATAAGTAAACCAGAGTAAACCATCAAATTCACCTTCTCCGTTTCGTGAGCTTTCTCCGCTTGAGTAGTGTGTTTCTCAAAAATCAAAAGCGCATCATCTTTGTGAAGTTCTAAATCAAAGTATGAATATAAATCAGTCGAGAAGAGTGACCTTGCAAGTCAAAAGCTTTTTGAAATCGCTCATCTTCAGCCAACAATTTTTGAGTTTTTGCCCAGGTGGTTTTGTAGTCGATCTCTTTGATTCCTTTGAAAATATCCAAAAGTGCCTAAATGTTTCACGTTTTGCAAGTTCAGTCCGCCAACCTTATGATTTTTTTGCTGAGCGCTTTTAACAGCTGCAAGTGCCCGTTTATGAACAACTCTCTAAATCCGACGAAATAAGTGGAGAACTTTCAAAAATACTTTCACATCTGCAAAAATGATTTGACGATCTTCATCTGATACTATTTGCCAAATTTTTTGTTCTTGAAACCTTTTACACGCTGTACGGTATCTAAAATAAGGTTCTTATTAATAAAAAGTCACAAAATACATTATATCCGTCTTCATTTTTGGATGCTCCAACAGGTAGGCTGTTAAGTCACTTTTTGCTTTGTTACGAGCAACGATCAATTCTTTCTGAAACTATATACATATTCTAGAATACTGCAAAAAATTAACCTGTTCCGCGTTCATACGTTGCACTTTCCAAGTATTAAATATTTTCCTTTTTTCGCTACCCTAAAACTATCAATCTTTATGAACCGTTTAAACAGTCACTTTAGTAATAATTCCAAATCGTGGATCCGAGTTAATAAACTTCACTACGTAGTCCCAAGAGTCTGTCACAGCAATTTTGCCTAAAAGAAATAGCAAATTATGTAAAAACACACATTTTTAAATAATTTATTTGGTCTTTGTTATTGTGAGTGGTGATTTGTAGGGAACAATACCTCTTGATCTGGGGTTGTCCAAAATGAAGAGTCTCATCTACTGAGCACACTAAATCTTGTTTTGTTTTCGTTTGTTTTATTAAGTACTATCTAATAACATTGTTGTTTTTAAAGATGTGTAAGATAATACAGGTAAAACTAATTTACCTTGATTACATTTAGATTCAAGCATTTCAGAAAATATTTCTTCTCTTCTTTTTCTGGCAGGCAAATCCTCTCTTAGGTTTGGCAAAGATTTTTGTAGTGGTAACTTTTGAAGTTCACGCTATAAGGAACAACTTTTTAGAAAAAAAAAACAAAAACTACTTGACCACCAATTGTTGCTCGTATAGCCTTCTCCAAGTCATCTATTTGGCCAGCTTTTGATGTTTGTGCGTTTTCGACCTGACCCCGTTTTGTAGGGAGTGTTTTTTCAATTTGATCCATCTTTGAAGGAAGAGGTTGGTCTATGCTAAATGATTATCTTATTTTACTCTTACTCTTGTTCAAAAGTAAACCTTTCAGGAGCGAACCACGAAGTTTCAAATGTTTCGGTGTTGTAGTAATATGTTTTTCCCTCGGGACTCGTGGCTGTTTTCCATTTCACGGATGCATTTTTTGTGGTTGTCTAAAGAGTAGACATGGGAGACATGGGAGTCAAAATCCCAACTTTTGACACATAAAAATTAATTTCGAGCTCATTTTTCAAAGAAAATGGCCAAAAAAAAATAAAAAAAAACAAAAACCAAAACGGAACAGAAATCGGTTTTGGTTTAGTTTTTCTCATTTTTCCCATTTTTGGGCAATTTGCTCAATTATACTTTAAAAACTTCTATTATGAGTTAGGCAAAATAAAATTATATGCCGTCAAACATTGACCTTTTTGGGTACTTCAGTTTTGAGCCATCGATCCCAATTCTTGCCCTTTTTTTTCTCAAGGTGTTTTATGCTAATAAAAAATTTTTAGCCATTTTCGTTGAAAAATGAGCTCGAAATTAATTTTTATGTGTCAAAAGTTAGGATTTTGGCTCTCCCATGTACGCTACTAAAGAATAACACATGCTTATTGTTAATATTTAAAGTTAAAGTAACTTTGTTTACTTTTATGATTGCATTTGGTCGAATCCACGTGGTTTCTTTCGTGGTATTGTTGTAGTAATAAATTTTGCCAGTCTCTGTCTTGAATTCAAGCCAATTTTCCTCCTAAACAGTCGATAAATAATATAAAGTTAATTTTGAAACCAGTGAGTCAGCACTAGAATCGTATGGTGGCTGAGGCTTGCACGTAAGAATGTTTGGTTTGCAAAAGTTATTTGGGACTTTTGGTGGCGGTCCCATCGGTATAAAGCGCAAGGGGATTTGAATCAAATTCTAAAAGTAAAACAAACCAATGTTTTTAAAAACTAGTAGTCCATTCCAACCATGCACGTACCTGTCTTTCTGTCTGTAGTTGAGTGTAGTAGTCGAGTGGATGGGGTGGGCAGTCTAAAACAAAATGGATAGGTAATATCCAGCAGAAATATGATTTAATAGAGTATTATTGTTTACTTGTTTGAACGGTGCTGGGCCTGTTTTGAAAAGGTACGGTGGGACTGTGAAATCGCCTTGGTGGAGCAGCTACTCTTCGTTGCGGTTTTCGAGGCGGCCTGTCGTTGAAAAAGCCATAATTATGGCCATGCATCACTCACTAAAAAAATTTTCTAACAATTAATTATCGCTAGCCACATGTTTCACAAAATTTAGCGCAGTTTGGATCGCCAATATCATATATTTTCAGGTGTTAGCATAATCCATTTATTATCGCAAACAAGAGAGAATCACAGATATTTTCAGAGAATAGGGGTTTAGATATCACACAACAGGTATATGCATTGGACAATAAAAAAGATAAAGCAAAGCCAAAAGTTATGTACCCTAAAATTTTAGCTCGATTCCTTTGTCGGAGTGCGGAGACTTTCAATCAACTCGTCCATTTTGCTGACCTAAAAATAAGACTTTGGTTTTTAATAACATATTTACAAACCTGAGCATCTTTTTCCAAAGCGAGTGCGTTCAATTCTTCAGCGTCAAACACTAAAAACATGGTATAAAAACATAATCCATCAACTCTGACGAACCTATTTGCGATCGGATTTTTGATTCATCGGAATCGCCTTCAGGCTGCGAATGGCTACCTTCACGGCGTTTGTATCTCGAAATTGACGATCCCGTAACAGCCACCGTTTGCATGACCTTAAAATTTATAAGTTCAAAGCTTAATGTGCCCCTCTACGTTAGGTATTAACAAGAACGATGTACATAGTGGAAATGATTTCTACCTGATTAGCCTTTTCCACAAAATATTCACAAGCGTTGGATAGAATCGAATTAAAACTTGATGAAAATTCAGGCTCGCTAAAGTAATTTTTGCAAAATAAAACATGGGATTCACAATACTTGTTAGTTGCTGCTCCAAGATCTTCGACTATTTTCCTACACGAATCTACGTAGTGCGAGTGTTTTGTGGGCGCGGCTTTCTTCGTCCAACGATATTGTCTTGGAATATCTGATACTCCGTCAATTTCCTAAAATAGGTAGAAGTAAAACTTTTAAAAGCAAACTCGTACCTTTTTCAAAAGATCTATAATAACAGTTTCGACCATGGTATTAATTTGATCACAATTCGTTTTGATCGCTTGAGATTCCTTTGATAGGCATTGGCCAAAAGGTCCAGGATCAACGCCAAGTTCTCTATAATTGTCAAAAGTTAGTGCTCATTAAAATTTGACGAACTTGAGTTTTGGCCAAATCATTTCTAGAGCCACGTTAAACACACTCTGGTCCATTTGCGATAGGTCTTGCCGAATCTAAAAAACTTGATTAGATAAAAAACAAGCATAAATTACCAAAAGCAACATCATCCACTTAGGTTGTCTGTTGTAATCACTTTCTTTGATTGTCGAAATAGTTCTAAACATACACCAATATCCATTAAAGAGTGGCAACTAACTCTATCATTGCCCTAGCCCAAGCCTGATGCTTAGAAAAGACTCGTAGTGTGAATTCCCAAAATTTGTCGGTCAAAGATAGTAAAAATATGTCGTCAGCCCAAATGCTTTTGATCTAAAAATACGTTAAATCAACTTTAGTTGCAAAAGATTTTACCGCGTCGAGAATGATAGCTGAAGCATTGCAATTAATTTCACCCTCTTCTTGGAATGCCTCCTGTAAAAAACATTCAAAAGAAAAAATTTACAATGAACAAACCTTTTCTTCGGCTGAAAGCAGTTTAAAATTTGCGGGATCTATTGCCTCATTGACCGACTTTGAAAACGCATTCGTCGTGATTTTAAAGTACAATGGCTATAAAGAGTAATACAAAAAATTATTTGCGCTGATACCATTTGGAATTTTCCTTTCAACTGTTTGAGAAGAATCATTTGCTTTGTGGCGGTAGGCCAACTGGTTATAAAATCGCCAACAGATGTAAAACAACTGTGAAAATGGCGGGCATCACTAACAACCGTCGGGCAAAGCACAGTTGCTAAGTGCTAAAAATATGAAGGTGTTAATGTAACCAAAACGTATACCTCGTCCAAATATGTAATTAAAAACGTCAGAAGGGTTTGGTCAAGAAACGATTCGACATGTCCATTCCAGGCTTCTCCAAGTTTAGCAGACCATTCAAACCGAATCTAAAACAAAGGTTGACTAAAGAATTGGGCAAATATGTTATACCTCTTTCGTTACTTTCAGAGCGTTATTCAGCATTTCCAATGGCTTTCCCTTGACAGCGATCACCTAATATTCTTTTTGAACTTTGATCGTAATAACAACAAACCTTTGGAGCAAGCACCACTGAAACGATTTTAGCTACTAGTTGATCTGTACATTCACAGATGTTTAGCACAGATAAAATCATTGGAAGAAGTTGGCAATCACCCTAAATCAAGATACGATTACCATCAATCATAGCATTTAGTACTTTTAAAGAACAAATGGCTTGATCGGCAAGTACTGCATGGCTCCGAGCAATAACCTAAAACTCAAATTTTCAATTGTCCAAGCTAAGGTTGCTAAAACTGAAAAAAAACCGACCTTGTTAAACGCCGTCTTCTCTTTGGAGTCATTAGTTAATTCTCCTTTGAACGTTGTAACATCGACGACACTCGAGCAAAACTGTTCAAGCCTAAATTCTTTTTTGAAGCATGATCCGTTAGTTTAAATACCTAGGTTAAGCATTATAAACAACCTACCAGATCATGTTAATCGGGCTGGGAACTCTCGCCAAAGAATGAGCCATGCTTTCAATAGCTCTCAGAAATGTAATCTCGTCTCGGATACGCGTCTGTTCACTCCGATTTCTTGAAAGTTCCTTGCTTCTAAAACCCAAGTTAAAAATGCTATTAAATCCAAGATACTTAAGCTCCACGTGCTCGGCAATCTCCACAAATGGCTTCGTAGTCGTTTGAAACTCCTCCCAAATACTCTGAAGAAAGTTTATTAGTTGAAAAACTAAAAAAATAACAAACTTCCAAATCTGCCTCTATTTTGCTGATGCTTTCTTTCAATGCCACCAAATTACTCGAAAGATGGACAAAGTCGGCATAATCGTCGTTAATCAATTCAATCATGCTGTTTTGTATGCTTTTCAGGTAAATTCTCAAATCCTTGTGAATTTCCTCCAACGAAGCACGTCGTCTTGCCAAATTCATGAATCTAACCATATAAATTAGACGTATTAAAATCAATTTTAAATTACCTCTCCACATTGAAATCATTTTGCGCAAAATGAGCCTTGTTAAAACAAAGTTGAATCTCATCGGAAGCCAATTGTGACGGAAACATTTTCGATGTTGTCGGAGACTTTGGCAGGTCCAATTCCGTCATTCTAAATTGAAGAATTAGTTAAAAATTTTTTAAAAAATGGGATAAAGAAACACAAGAGTAAAACAATGCAGTCCACATAAGTTAGATGACCTAATTGTTGGCAGTGTACGTATAAATACAAAAGCAGAGTGTAGGCTGTAGCCAAGATACGTAAATGTGAGGCGCCAATTTTGGAGGCAATACCTTCTCGGCTTTATAAAACCTCGAACGAAACTTTTTGTTTGAGCTTAACTCTCCTGTATGTACATTTTTTGTTTCATATGAGTAACACTATTCAAAATGAATGGCTAAATATCTTTTAATTTCTCAAATTTGCCATGAAGGGTCGCCCAAAAGAGAGTTCATTTCCAAACGCGCGACATGTTTGTTTCGTTGTTCAAATATCGCTTTTAGTAAGAATCGTTAAACGATAAAACCCCAAAATTAGTGAATGTCATACACGCCTAACTCTTTAAAACCTCTTCTACTATGGATTGCGCTCAAAAGCTTCAGTTTTGATCTAAATCTCAACAATTTGTGCTTGGTACTAATCCAGATATGCGTTTTTCCTTTTTATTTCATTTCTTTAAACCTCTCTATTGTTTCTTCATATTATCTATTGTATTTGTTACAGAATGCTGGGAAACACGAGCCCAATGCAAATCGAGACAGGATCACCACGTGGAAACTCTTACCCAAGGTTTGTTTTAGTTTTAATTGTAACTTTAATAGACCGTTTCTGTTCACTTACTAATCAGTCTTCTTTAGAGATCCGATGCGACGGGAAGACAATGCAATGAAGACGCCGACATTTCTCTTTGGAAACAAACGACGATCGACATTGTTATCGAGCAATTCATGTATAGTTTTTTACTACTTTTTTAAAAACTACTTGGGAGAAGCAAAATTGTCACTCACTTTTGAGTGACAAGTTATCGTTTTCAAGCTGATGCGTAGCCTTTCTGAATTAAATATTACGTTATTTCAAATCTTATAGCTAGACAAGTTATCGATTATTTTCTAATTCTTATCTTTTCACTTCAGATGGACCAACCGCTGATTCTTACGGATCGCCATTGCCATCTCATTTAAAAGGTATGTTTTGTTTCTAAATTATGAAAACTTGTTGCTTAGATGGTTATGGAAGTGGCGGAAAGAGCGTCCATTGGTCACCGGCGCTGGTACAAGAGAAACGGATAGAAGATGGGTTTTCCGTGCCACATAAGCCGACTTCAAGTGCATTTCCTATCTCGGCACACAAAGGACCTCCTCTTCGTTCACTTCGCGACAATGTTGAACCGACCAATAAGGTAGCTTGATTTGAAGAGATATATTTTACCGATAAACAAATCTACGTTTAACTTTAGGTTCGTCGAATGACAATGCCAGTTAATCCCAGTCACGTGTTTGGACAATCAACACCAACTACTGCATCACGCTCTGAAACCACTCCATTTGACAATGATCGTGCAGGTGCTGAAGGTGGGAGAAAGAATAATTTCACCTAATGTATTTTTACAGGTCGTGATTGTTGGGTTACGGTCTTTGGGTTTTCTCCGAATGAAGCCAGCAACATCATTAGCTTTTTTGGAAGGCATGGCGAGATCATTCAACAACAGGTGAGTGTTTGCATTGTTTATGGATTCTATGCTAATTTAGTTTCCTACCCACGGGAATTGGGTTCATTTGCGTTACTCAAGTCCGGTTCACGCGGCTCAAGCAGTTTCACGAAACGGCACCTTATTTGATGCACAAACGAGGATAGGTGTAATGCCTTGCAAAGATGAAGTCTGTTTAGCATTTTTGAACTAAATACAATGTCTTTAGGACGTACTTAACTGTGCTACATTAAACCGCACTGTCAATGGATCACTGCAAGATACGACAAATACTTATCCTGCAGAACCTTCAAGAAAGCTTGACATGTAAGAATTTTGTTCAGTTTCCAAAAAAACTTGTTTGCAGATCTTACGTGCCGGCTGTCACTCCAACAAATCGACTAGATCAAAGCGTGCTTGACTCATCTTTGAAGTAATTATTCTCCGATAGCTAGCTTTTTAAATTTTCAATTTTAGCATCTCCAGAACTTCCTCGATTCGAAATGGAATGCGCCCTTTGGCAGCTTCGCTTAGTCTACCTCCTGGGGATACTAGTGTGGGTTTTTACGGCAGTTTCAGTTTTGCTAAATTAGTTGAATGATTTCCGTTTAAAGGAAGGCTAGGTGGATAGAAAGATTTCATTACCTTTATATTTCCGTTATAATATTCATTACTTTTTAATATTGCTCTAACAAATTTTTTTTAGATGAACCAAAGTTTAAACCAAAGCAAGGATCACAGTTTCTTCGGTCGCTTCTGGAATCTCGTCGGCTAGTCGAATCTATTCGTTATTATATTTTTGGGCATAAGAGTTGTTTTTTAAATTTTATGGTATGGTTTATTTAGCTATTACTGGTACCTTCTATTAGGTTGAGTACTATGTGTTGGTATGTTATCTTCATTGCCCGTTTTAGAAACTGTGAATCGACCAAAACACAAACGGTTTGCTTTATTGAAAAACCCAACCTTTTTTCTACAAAATGCTGCTCCAGTATTTTAAAAAGCGCCTGTTTTGAGAAATTTCAAGAGGCGAGAAGGCGAAGTGTTAAAAGTAACAGACCCGGTTATGTGATTTTGACCCCTTTCTTCTACAGAAACCTTTTTTGGTGTAAGTAGAAAAAAGATAGAACATTATGGGTATAGCCAAATTTTCAGAAAAATTTGTTGCACCGTCTTTTTATCTTTCTCTTCTAAGGATTTAAGATAAATGATAATTTACTTGCGAATTTGCACCATATCAGGTCAAAATTTGTTTTAAAATACCTAAAATTAAACATTAAACACTTTATTTTTAGCGACCCAACGTTTGTTTGGAGAAAACTCGCTAATAAAAAATAATGAGCAAGGGCTACCAACACAGTACTCAACCTAATATATTTGCTAAATATTGAAAACGTTAAATAAATGTTTATTCAAAACTGACAAACGACGAGATGATGGGTTAAATAAATTGTTCAAAATGGTTTAATTCATTCTAATAAAACTGGTATGTTCAAACTCTTGCAGAGAAAAGCCGTTATTGGCACTTTAGAATGGTGAAAATGATGTGCGCTTCGACCCGTCGTTGTTGTAAACCATATGGCGTTGCATGTAATACTTTTCTCCCTTTCAGCACTTTGCAGCGATCTTATTCAGTTTTAATTTTTTGGCCAAAGCTTAAAGTTTTGGGTTGTTTGTCACCATGTAATTCCCTTGTTTCTAATAGTTGTTTACCTGTGAACCCAGAAATGGAACAATTAGTCGCTGATTAAGTGATGGGCATGATGTCTCCGATCATAATGGATTTGTTCTCGTGCGGGTGCGAATAGGAGTTTGGATACAAGGGAGGGGAGGGGTTGATGTGCGGCACGAGGAGCAGTTGTTTGTCGCGTAATGAGGGTTGAGAAAAAAAGAAAAAGCTTTTGCTTTCGGGTTTTTCCTTTCACATTTTTGCTCTTACATATACACACCACGAAGGCACAATGGGGATGTGTTTCCCTCACCTGAATTTCATCCAAAAATAACCCCTACCTTCCTCGTGTTCTCCATGACACCCCTTCTCCACAAGTTGATATCATAATAACACTGTTACACTTCGGACTTTCTGTTTTTTTCGTTGTTGCTTTCGAAATCCGTGCTCAAGTCATGAAAAAAGTTCAACCTTGTTGATTCCCGATTTTACCTGGATATGTATTTATTTTAAGGGGTGAACCTGTCAGGTTAGACGAGCGCCTCCTCTCCTCTCCTGGGAGAAGCTATAAATAAGCTGAGGATCACTTGTTTCGACACCCTTTCCGAAGTGAGATGCAAACATGGAGGCTTTGATGAAGTAAGGAGTTTTGCGATTTTCTTTTAAAGAATTTTTTCCAGACATTTGAAGTTTCCGGAAAGTCGAAAAGGCGATGATGATTTGGATGGACATCAGAAAAAGGTTGGTCTGATTTGAAAGATGTGGTAGACTTGCTTGCCAGTCAAAAATCAGTGCAGAATAGAATTTGATTACGGTAGCTACTAGAATCTTCAGCTTATTTGTGATTGGCACTGACCATGTACAGTATAATGAATTTGAGTTCTTCTAATTATCTATTTAAAAATACTATTCAGATCTGGATCCCCGATCCAGAGTTGGGTTTCCGTTTGTGCGCGGTGCTCGATGAGAGCGGACGCGATGTGAGCGTCGGATTTCGAGATTCACAGGGTTTCTTTGAAAAGGTGAGCAATTAGAAGTACTGTAGAAGCTCATTTTACTACTAACAGTATCTAAACTTTGAACTCAAGATTGGATTTTTTATGTTGTGTTATACTATAACGAGAGAGGAAACTGGGATTTACAGTTGTAAGGTCAACAAATTGCCAATTGGGAAACTCTTTGTTCAAAGACTCATTTATATTTAAATATCTGACCAGATAACCTTGTCTTTTGGGATTAAAATATTAGGTAGATTGCCCTTGAAGTATATTTTTGGATTCTCATTCGCAGCTGTACATATTAGCTGGATTCTCATTCTCACCGGGGCACTCATCATAAAAACGAGGAAAAACACGGGGTGCGTAATAATTGGCCGGAAAAAGAAAGGGCTTGAGACAAGTGGAAAGGGACGAAGAAGGCTCACTCGATCACTCGTTTTCTTCTTGTTACACACACTCTTTTTCACTCATTCCACTCAATGTTGAGCTGATTTGAAACACATTCTTTTGCAGGATCTCCCCTTTCTGCTTTTTTTCCCCCACTCACTAAGTGATAAATAGGGCCACGGGACGAACGCCAAAGTCTGAGTGAGGGAAAAAGGAACTAAAGGACTTTGGGCAAAAAGTATCTTCATGAGTTCTTTCAGAGTTCACTTTCTCACATTTGACAAAGGAGAAAAGAGTATAAAGGAAAAGAGTAGGTGAGTATAAAGCTGAAGGAAAACACTGGATTTTGGATGGGAATTTTTGTGGATAACAATTAGAATTGGATAGTGAATATGTTGGAAAGAAATACGCTAGACGGTTTCTATTTGATGCCAACTCTATAGTAAGTATAGATAAGTAAAGGGTAAATGAAACGTTTGAATAGGTTTCAGATTTTTTTTTTGGTAACAGTAACTAGATTTGCGTATCAAAACAAGTCAAATAGTCGAAATAGACAGATCTCATCGGTTCAAAAGTTCTTGTTTAAAACGAAATTCTTTTCAGAAACGTCTCCCCCACTCTTCATGTTATCCAGTGTCACGAAACAGTGGTTCTGATGATTTGTGCGCTCTCTCGGAGCCGAATGTGGCCACCGTTCTTGACTCTCTTCACAAAAGATATTCAGCTGATGTCATTCATGTGAGTCAAAGATACGGTAGAATAAAATTTGCATTAAGAGTTGAAAATCGAACCTTAATAAATTTGATTTTGCATTAACTCGATGGAAATGAAAATTACGAGAAATGAATTCGAGTTGAAAATGGAAGTGTAGAATGAAATGGAAGTGTAGAATGAAATGGAAGTGTAGAATGAAAAAGGGTTATGGAAGAAACCACTGCTCCACCGTTACACTATTTTACCCTAATTTTAATTATGTAAACAAGCAAATTCATTCAAATTCAAATCTCACATCAAATTTCTACCCAATGAATTTCTTTTTCAGACGTATTCTGGTTTATTTTGTCTCTTCATCAATCCATGGAAATCCCTTCCGATCTACAAGAAAGAGATCATGGACGTGTATCGATCAAAACTTGATCTGGTAAGAGCCAAAAGTACTTCAAATATAACCTCGAAAAGTGTACTTTTATTGTGATAAGGTTAATGACAAAGTCAACAAACAGATAAAGTTCAAACAAGTAAAAATAATGAGACAATCAAGCTGATTGGGAATTGTTTTGTTATTCTAGGTAATCAGACACAACTGACACTTGGGATGAGTACCTGTGCACTTACATTGTTATTGTTGTTAATTTTTAAAGCACTTTTGGGTAATTTGGGTAATTTATTATAGTCGCTTCCACCGCACGTGTTCGCTGTGGCTCAAACAGCGTACGATGGTGTGAAGAGAGGAGGCACAAATCAATCGATTCTCATCACGTAAGCGGAAAAGAAAAGACAAATGAATTTAGGGATGAAATTCATTAACATTAGAGTGCTTATTTCTTAGCCGTGTATTTAATTCTTTTAATTCTTGAGTTTACTACAGAATGATCTAGATCTGAGCTACCGTAAATACTGTAATAGTACCCCACCCCCATAATGACGATGCGGAGTGCTGCGTAGTCTAGTTTTGAACAGGTTTTTCTCGACACTGGTTTAAGCTACAATGCGCGCTTAGTTATCAAGAAATAGCTGAAATTCAGGGCTATTTTTTCATACCAAAGACACATTTTTTGAAAGTACAGGCGCTTTGAAAAAATGAAATACTAAAAAACTTTCGCGACTACGCGACTGTACGAGGGGGGTGGGGTACTATTACAGTATTTACGGTAGGTTTAGTCATTCTCTAAAGCTGCTCAACTCTAATACTCTTGTATCAAAACCGATTTTTCACTCAACAATAGCTGAGCTTTACGGTATGTGTTTCTAGTGGAGAATCGGGTTCGGGGAAAACGGAAAACACGAAACACATTATCGAATTCGTGCTCAACTCGTGTGGCGCCGTCGCACAAACGGTTTGTTTTTGAAGAACTTGTACGGTTTATTCTTTGTAAGAATACAAACGAGACAACCAAGTACTGGTTTTGTTTTTGATTTTAAACTGAACCCAAGAGAACCAAATTGACTTTTTTGGAGTTTTTTGCATATGATAGCTTTTCACAATGAAAAGACCCAGATTTCCGAGGAGAATCGAATATGTTGACAGTATTTCATTGTAAACTAATCAACCTCACGGGTTTTTTTGATGATCTAGTAGTAAATTAGATCAATAATATCAATATGAACATACGAATCCTAGGTTGGCCAAGAATTAATCTCTTGCGGAGAATTGTTGGAAGCTTTCGGAAATGCCGCCACAACAGCAAATGGAAATTCGAGCAGATTTGTGAGTAAATAAAGCAAAAAAAAGTAAGCATTTTCTTTAGGGAAAATTCATTCGAATCGAGTTCGACGTGGACGGGAAAATGCACTCGGCATCAGTGGAATGCTGTTTGGAATCAATTATTGAAATTCATCAATTATTGCTTAGATTTACTTGAGAAATCGCGAGTTGTCAATCAAAATGGCGGGGAGAGGAATTTCCATATCTTTCATCAGATTTTGGAGGGAGGATTCGGGAAAAAACTCAAGGATTCGCTTGGGTTAAAGTGAGTAGAAAAAGAGATGATGGACAAGTTTCAGTCAAAAAAAAGTTGTACAGGATTAATCAATTGCTAGCATCAATTGATTAGCATAGTTCAGAAAGACTTTTCAGAGAAGATGCTTCAAAGTACCGTTATGTGAATGGCGGAGGGGAGTATTCGGAAGAAATCGACGATGAGGCGAATGGGAAAATCACTGATGTTAGTCATAAAATAGCAATTAGAAAGAAATAATTTCAGGCAGCTTTCCGCCGTTTAGGCTTCAGTGATGACGAGAGATTGCATGTGCTTGAGGTATGTACTGAAACCTGTAAACGCACACTTTCTGGCGCACTCAATTCTCCATTTTTTCATAAACGATAAAGGCCTAGAGAAGAAAATGAGAAGAGTTTATTGCGCCAGAAAGGATGCGTTTACAATTTTCAAACCACGACTATGAGAGAATTGAAGAGTTTCAGCTATATTTAGATTTAGATTAGAATTAGAATCAAAAATTATTTAGATTAGAATCAAAAACTTCATTAAACTATTCAATAAGTTGTGCTAATTGGGAAAAGAAGCTCACAATTTGAGTTTTATTGTTCATTTCCTACTTCTTTATCAATTGTCTTCTTTCTCTTCTTCCTTGTATCTCCTCTTTCTTCTCTGGCAAAATGGTATTGGATAGCTCAGTGGTAGATAATCTGCCTGGTAGACAGGAGGTCGGGGGTTCAATTCGCCTTTTTTTGGAACTAGGTTCATCTTGGAATTTTCTATAATATCTAGTCTACAGTTGGTGTGGAAACACTGAGGCTGTGGCCTCTGGTTCGAATCCGGTTGGTACCAGTCAAAGTGTCAAGAAAAGTCGAAGTTAAAACAAATTTCTTTATTCTGCCAAATTTCTTTATTCTTTATTCTACTTCAGATCGTGGCTGCTTGCATCCTTTTGGGTGAGATTGAGTTCCGCGAAAGAACCGGACTCGATTTGAGTTACGTTGAAGGGACGCAAGGTTTGAAATAAAGAGAAACTTTAACCATAAATATTTAGAATTGGAAGCAGTGAGCTCTCTATTAGGTGTTCGTGGATCAATCCTTGCTGATGCTTTATGCCAGCCGGCGATCAAAATCGGAGAGAACACGATCCGGAAAAATCAGAATTTAAGAAAAGTGAGAAATTTTGGAAATAGACTTTACAATTTAGGTAAGTAGTAAAAAACGAGGCTGGGAATTTGTGTTAAATTGTAAAGATCAAGGATCAAGATCAATTCGCTTTCTATTTTGCGCCTCAGTAAGTGCTGCAATTAGAACGGATTCTCAAAATCTGTAATTACTACAGTAGTTACAGTTCTATGTACCTTTATTGTCTGTGCTAACGCAAATATTCTATTATATTCATTACCTAACAGACTCTGAACTCGGTGGCAGCTCTATCAAAGACTTTATACGAGCGACTTTTTCGATGGATTCTCGAGAAATGCAATCAAGCAATTGGACATCAGACAGAAAATAGTAAAAGATTTGGAAAAGAAAAACTTAAAAAAATCAATTTTAGTTCAAACAAATCAACTCTTGCGAATGATTGGAGTGCTGGACATTGCCGGTTTCGAGATCCTTCAGGTGTGTCAAGACTCAACCCAAACATCCACATTCTCTTTCCAGAAAAACAGTTTCGAGCAATTGTGCATCAATTACACGAACGAGAAATTGCAACAGTTTTTCAATCGTTTCATGTTTATCAAAGAGCAAACGACGTATCTTGAGGAGGGATTGAAGTGAGTTCTTAAGAAGGAGTAATTCTTAAGAAGGAGTAATTCTTAAGAAGGAGCAATTCTTAAGAAGGAGCAATTCTTAAGAAGGAGCAATTCTTAAGAAGGAGTAATTCTTAAGAAGGAGCAATTCTTAAGAAGGAGCAATTCTTAAGAAGGAGCAATTCTTAAGAAGGAGCAATTCTTAAGAAGGAGCAATTCTTAAGAAGTCAAAGCTAAACTTTCTTTCCAAAATCGTTTTCTAAAAGATCCCCTTTAAAAAGCTACCGTACTTCACAAAATTTTTGAATTTTAAACAATTCTATTTTAGATGGACACAAACCGATTTCGCTTATGATCTCCAACCGACGATCACTTTGATTGAAAAGGTTTAGGAATGAGTCATTTGTAGATTCATTAGTGAATTCATTAGCACTAACAAATTACACGTCTACTCTAGACTTGAACTATTCACGAATTTATAGTAGACATGGGAAAATTCCAATCCGAACCTAATTCCATCTTGGTTTTCTTGACCGATTTCTCTGAAGTTTTGTCTACAGATAGAAATCTATATTTTCAGCTTGCAGACAAAAGTTCAGAGCAATCGACCTAGAAAAGGGTGAGAAAATGAGGGTGGAATTAGGCTCATCTTGGAATTTTCCTATATCTAGTCTACAGTAGGTGTGGAAACACTGAGGCTGTGACCTCTGGTTCGAATCCGTCAAAGTGTCAAGAAAAGTCGAAGCTAAAACAAATTGTGTTGTGATCCATTAAAAGATTGAATGATAAATTTTTACATATTGAATATAATTTATATTGAAAATATATAGATTACCAAGTTTTGCTTAAACCAAAGCCATTCAATCGTCATCTGAAATCAACAGAACTGGCTGTATTTACCTTTCAGTCACTTAATTTTAATTAATGCTGATTTTAATAACTGAATCTTCTTTTGCAAATGTCACGATTTAGCCCCTCGGAATTTTGAATCTCCTAGAAGAGGAGTGTGTTGTGCCGAATGGATCCGAGAGCGCATTTCTTGAAAAATCCGCTGAACATCTCAAGGATTCGCCCGAATTCGCGAAAAGTCGACACTCTCAAAAGTTTGCTATAAAATACTATAAATCTAGATAAAGATTTAGATCTCAAGTTCTCTCGCATTTCTCGATCAGACATTATGCTGGAAATGTGAGTTTTCAGGAATTGCTTTGATATGATAAAAAATATTTTCTATTTGACAAACACCTATTCAAAGAGTCCATTTATAAAAGCGAAATTCTAGGTTGATTACAATTTGGACGGTTGGCTGGAAAAAAATCGTGACTCCGTCGACACATCGATATTGTCGACAATGCACGAAAGTGTCCATCAACTTGTCGCCAAGCTTTTCCCATCAGGTTTCACAAGGGAAAATGAGTTTTCAAAAACGTGTTAAACACTACCGTAATCTTGTCTTTTTTATTCAATCTACGTTTGGTCTGATTCTGTCGAGTTTATAAAGGATACAGTGAGACAGATCGGATTACATTGACTTGGACTGGATTAGATTATGATTAGATTACGGTAGCAGACAGATTGGCGATAGATTGGAGACGGAATAGAGACAGATTGGAGACAGATTGGGTTACGGTAGTTTGAGCTGGAGACAAATTAGATTACGCTAGTTTTTCGAAAGTTAACACTTTTAGAAAAAAGTTTAGTTAACACAAAAAGTTAACACTTTTAGAAAAAAGCTAAGAAATCGATTATAAACTTTCTTTTTAGTGGACGAGAGCGCCAAGCCAAGAAAGGGTGGCCTTTTGACATCAACTGTTACTTATGTCTACAAGGTTTTACATTCAATTCAAAAATTATCCTTTCCTTTTCCAGTCTCAATTGAGTTCTCTTCTCGAATCTCTGAACCAATCGTCGGCTCATTTCATTCGTTGTCTTTTGCCGAATCGCAATAAACAACCCGGAGTGATCAACTCGGCGTTGTTACTTCATCAATTGAGGTTTTTGAGAAAAATTTGAAAACGCTTACATTTGAAAACGCTTTCTAGGTGTAACGGAGTCTTTGAGGGGATTCGCATCTGTCGTCAAGGATATCCGAATCGATTACCGTTTGATGAATTTGTGGCAAGATACGGTAGGTTTATGAAGGGAAATAAAGGGAAATGCTTCACTGATGGCAATTGAGCAGAGCAGGGCTGATAACAACAAGTGTGACATTTGAAATTTTCAAGAAACAAAAAACAAATTTCAAAAATTTTCAATCTCACAATTGAGCCAAAAGGTTAATTGATATTAAAAAGTGATAAACTTTATGCAAGTTTTAAACATGAACTTACAATTACGATTGCTTACAGTAGCTATTTGCAGAGTTGAACAGGTTATTGACTTTATTTTAAACTCTTTAGAAATTCTCAGCCAACAGAAGTTTCCGAAAAAGAATCGCGCCGCCGCAAGGGAATTATGCGATCTATTGGAGATTGATGAAGATCGAGTACAAGTTGGAAGCACAAGAGTCTTCTGTAAAGTTGGAGTGATCACAGAGGTGGGAAAATGAAAAAAAAAAGAGATTTCTGGTTATCAGTTGGAAGATCGCCGTCGAAACCATTTGAATTCGATGATCACAACGATTCAAACCGAGATTCGGACATTTTTGGCGATGAGAGATTCCAAGATGAGGGAAAGGAAACAGTGAGATTTGTGCAAATTCATAAGAATCAATTTAACCTCTTATTCTTACAGCGATTTTTTGTCAAAACTGAATACCCATTCAGAGATGCGATGGAGATGATCCAATGGAATGTCCGATGTTTCAATCAGATCTCACAATGGCCATGGCACAGAATATTGACGCTTGTGAGTAGCATATCGTAATGAAATGTATACAAGTAGTATGAGCCGTTTATCCAGATGTATAATATTTTAAAGATAGTTTAAAAGAGAAGTCCGAATTAAGACCGATTCTCACAAATTTTCATTTGCAGGTTCATCCCTTGATTCCTCGAGAACGTGAAAAGGAAAGAATCGTCGAATTGGAGAAGAAACTCTTGGAATTTGAGAAAGAACGTCAAAAAATGCACGATGATAATCGCGAGTTGTGCACGGTTTTGAGAAAATTCGGTGAAAAGAATAGGACAAGAAAGTTTAGGCAATGCAACGCTTGCGCGACTCGCAAAGTCGAGAAGTTCGGAAAGCGGATGAGGCGAAGAAAATCGCGGAAAAGGTTGGCAATGAAATTTGAAAATTGTTCGCAAACTAGGAAAATTTACAATTTCTGAAATTTCAAGATGTTGGAGGATAAGACGCGGGAGTTGCACGAAGTGAAAACCGAGATGTACTCGAATGCCGAGATTTTCGACCTTTTGGAATCAAAGTATCAACTGCAACAGAAAAAGATTGGGGTAAGTGGAAAGAATTGAGAAAAATAGAACCTAAAATCTTCAGGAGATGACTGAAATCCTTCGTGATTACGAACGTCGCTTTGAGAAACTCGATTATGAGAGTAAAGAAAGGGAGAAAGAGCTGCACAGGGTGAGTTTCCGTTTTTTGAAGTTCTGGCTACTGTAATCCAAGTAGACAGGGTTAAGTTAACATCTTAAAATCCCTATATCCAGTGTAACTTTAAATTTAGAGGAAAGGAGATTCAGAAGTTAAACAGAAATTTCAAAATTTTAGACCAAAGAGCACCTGGATGAAGAGAAAAAAAGAAGCGGAGAGCTCCAATCGGAGCTCATCGAAACACAGGGAACACTCAAAGAAATGGAGGAAAGAATGGAAATCATGTTGAAAGAGGAAAGGAGATTGGTGGAAACGGTGGCCAGGTGGGGAGGGGGATTTTATTCAAATATTGCTGATCATTTGAAGATTGATGAATGCCCGAGATGAGAGCGATGATCGAGCGAAACGACAAAACGATCTCATCACTGAATTGCAGCAAACGATCGAGGATCTGAATGTAAATCTTTTGAATAAAAGATAAAGATATTGAGATAAGTTTAGGGTCGAATGGCGAAAGCAGATTCACACGTCAATGAGGAAAGACAACAAAGGAGGAAAATCGAGAAAGAGTTCGAGAAAAGCAAAGAAGAAAATGAAGCGATCAAGGCAGAGGCTGAGAAAATGATCGAGAAATATGATGTGCTGGTGAGCGAAGAGATCACTGATACATAGCTCAGGGGCTACGATAACAAGAATCTAATTAGATAACTCGAATTTGATCATTGATACGGTAAACGAAAGACGAGGCATTTTGCTGAATATGTTCAAATTTCAATTAGAAAGTCAACCCTTTTTGCTTGCTTTATACAAATATACGGTAATTATTGAATAGCTTTCAATTTCAATTTAAAAATTGAAGAATCATTTTCTAACCAACTTTCAGCCATTTTCTATTCTGCACTATTCAGCTTATAAAGATGAACTTTCAGAAAGAGCAACTCAAAGACAAAGAGGCAATGTTGAAGAGATTGGAGAAGAAAATATCGGAAAAGGTTGACGAAAGATACGGTAATTGGGTAATACTGTAAATTCCAGGACTCGTTGATGGAGGAGTGCATAAAGGATTTGAAAGAATCGCATCGGCATCGCGTGGATCAGCTCAATGGACAAATTGATGACATGAGAAGGAAAAATAGCAAGTATGGGAGGCTGAGCTTTTTAAAAGCTATCATAATCTTGACCTTTTATCCAATATATCACATTTGGTCTGATTTGAGGGATATTCAAACAGAGAAAAAGGTTACGGTAGGCTTCTAAAGAGGCCGGATTACGTTAGCCTAGAGAAAAGGCTACGGTAGCCTTTAAAAGTTAGCATTTTTAGAAAACTAGTCGATCTGTTACAACAAAAAGAACCGAATCAAGATGAAGAGTAAAATTTCAGACTTGAAAACGAGAATATCTGTCAAAAGGGCTTATTGGAGAGAGCCGATTCACAAGTCGGATTGAGTCATTTGGGGAGGAGCATTGACAGAGAGAATAGCTTTGACTCGGAATTTGGTGGGCTTTTTGAAAAAATGGTAGGAAAGGGTGATTCAGGTCGAAGCAGCAGTGGTCGAATGTCGATGTCACAGCATTCCCTGTGTCGACAATACTCGATTTGTTCGGTTCCCTCGTTTTCTTCGATGAGAGCACTTGTGAGGAGGAGGTCAGTGGGAAAGGATACGAAATTGTACAGGAAAAGATTGTTTCGTATTTCTAAATATAAAGTATACCAAGGGGTATTTCTGGTTTCTTGCGGACACAAGTATAATCAACCAGTTTCATAGCAAAGCCAAAGCTTGTAACTCAAGTCAGAAGCTAGGTCTGGACCTGGCTTCAGGTCTAGGCCTGGCTTCTAGCGAACCCAAATACTTTTTACGGGCCAGTTTTAGAGCAAAGCTAGTCCAAGACCCGCTCTGAAGTCTGGAGTTAACCGTATTTGGGTAGTTTGTCGACAAATTTTACGAGCCAGATTTATCAACTGGAAAGTCTGGAAAGTACTGAGGACTGTAGGGCTGTACTTTGCCTGTTTCAGGTGCTGTATTTAGATTGAAATTAACTTTTTTGCGTAGGCTATCACTTACAATGATTCCCTGCAGTAACCCGATAAAATACTTTCTATTTTCCAGAGAAACCGAACCTGACCTGTACCAAGGGCTCTCTCGCGTTCCATCAATGACATCCGTGGCCGAACATCAGAGAAAGATCCAAGAATTAGAGAGACAACTACAAGACGCGAAAACCGAAGTGAATTTGAAGATGCGGGAATTGGATGTGTACAAGAGTGAATTGCATTCAATGGAACAGGTGAAAAGAAAAATGGAATTGATTTCGAATGGAATATGTTCAGGAGAAAGAGTCCATTTCGAGACACAACAAAACACAGCAAGGAGAAATTGAGAGATTGACGAGGAAAGTCGGCAGTTTGTCGAGGACGAATCAGGTGAGTGAATGAGTCAGATTTGGATTGAGTTCAACATGAGTACAATCCTTGTAAATGGATTTAGTGAAAGTGACGGTGACAAGGAAAACAATTTAAGTATTTATTTGGCATGAGTTTTTGTCTGTTGTTTTGGATTGGACAAACTTTAGAGAAAGAGAATGACTGAGCCTTACTGAGCCATGCAGAGAAATCTAATGAACTTTGGCTTAAACTTTTTAAATAAGATAATCTACTCCTTAAGTCAAGTTAGTTTCAGGTGCCGTTTTGAATTCGTATAAATGCGAATTCGAAAATCATGTCACTCTTATTTCATAGAGCTTTAAAACAATGGTATGCTCGAACAGGCTCAATGAATGCATTTTCGTGAACTGATTTCAAAAAAATCGATTTCCGGTTCAAGTTCAACAGAAACCATAGCAGGCAAAGGTCACAAAGCTTTTGGAAAAGCACAAAGGCTAAATTTTGTGTTTGATTATTGTAGAAATTTGGATAATGAATGGAAAGGTGCAAGACTTAGTGCTTAACCTAATAAATACTGTACAGGTTTTGTTAGGAAGTCTATGCAGCTTTGCAGTCTGCAGCTCACAACCAGATTCCTAAAAGAGACAAACTTTTGAGGCAGTAAATCAAGCTAAACTTTAGAGTAAACTGCTTGTATTAGATTAGTAACAGGTGTAGGAGTAAGATTTAAACTTTATCAAGTACATTTACAAGGCTATTGAAGGCTATTGAAGGCTATTGAAGCTTTAGAATGAGCTACGTTACATTTACTCCCTAGCATCGTCCTAGGATTCAATCCCCGCTCCTGAAATTTTCTTTTTCTGCAACTAAGAATATTTGGAACAGGATCTGGAACATCGCGTGAAAAAAGCGAACGAGGATTGCGAAGAATGGAAGAAGAAAATGGAGGAAAGTCTCGTTGAACAAAGATTGGCATTGGAGGAGCATCGGTAAGGGAACCAATTATCGATTACATAGGAATTCACTGCTTAAAGTTCCCATTTGGTCACTTAAACGTTATTTAAGTATGTATGCAGATCATTTTCACACCATTCACTATCATAACTATGAAAAAAAAAGTGGTTGTTGGTTTAGAAAACGTACAATGGAGCGTTACGAAGAATCACAACATGCCAAAGATTTGAAGAGTAGTCGAGTGACCGCATTGGAAAGGTTTGAAAAGAAGGTTTTTATGTGAGGAAAAGGATTTCAGAAGTAAAGAAGAGCTGCAAACACAGCTGACACAATGTCAATTGGATTTGGATCGAGCAATGGCGCAAGTGGCTGATTTGGAGAGAACGATGAGCACACAGGTTTGGAGGAATGACATGCAAATTGTTTACGAATCACTTAAAAAGATAGGACATAGTAGTTCAAGTATTTGAAAGATAAAAGTGCAAAATGGATACGATAATTTCAGGAGACATTGGGTAGAACGTGGGAAAGCGAGTACCATTCGGCGTGCTCTGAGGTCGAGTCGTTGAGAGATGAGAACTGTGCGCTGAAGAGTAAGATTCGGCGACAATGGAAACAGATTGAAATTCTCACACGTGGGTTTATCGAATATCGTTAATGCGATTCAACGATTTGGATTCAACCTGATCGTAATTTGATTCAACGCTTTGATTTGACTCTTTTAAAACTCTCAAACCAGTATCAAATGCAATCTTTTTAGGTCAAGAAGACAACGAAACGGCGCTGAATTCTCTGCAGGAAAAAGTGGATAAGTTGAATGGACGAATGGAATGAATTTTACTGCATTTCAACATTTTGTTTACATATTCTGATGTTATTTTTGTGTTACCCTTTTCGTGTGCTTACTGATCAGAAGACAATGGAAACAGAAAGACCCAAGTAAAGTAAAAATTCGTCTTTCAGATCAGTATTCCTTTCTTTTTTTTGTTTGCTTTTCAAGAGAATTCCGATTTCACTTGTATCATATTTAAATCAAAAACCATTTTACAAACAATCCGGTGCTTTGAATTGAAAGATTTATTTTGTATATAAAATTTTGATTGTGACAAGGTGACAATGACAATAAAGGTGACAATGACAATCTTATACACAAATTATACCCGATCATGGCAACAAATGAGATATCAAAGAAGAAGAAAAAGAAAAAAAGTCATGGAGGTAAATGGAAAATGAAAATGGATAAGTGGATAAGTCATCTTCAATAGATCTACCTTCTCAAAGGTCCCTCTCCAAAGCAATTAAACCGTTGTCTCGGATTCTTTCGTCGAATGGGAATCATTGAGGAAAAGATTCAGCCTTAATTCGGCATCTCTCGCATAGTTGAGGCGATTTGTGGAATTCGGGAGGCATTCATTGTCGAGAAGGGTCGATGAGCCGACGGATCGATCAACCTTAAAGAATAACGATAAACTTATTCTTTAACTTATTCGTAAGCTTTGCTAGCCCACTGTAAAGTAACTAGAATTTTGCAAAAAGGGTATCATGTTTACACAAACCTCATCAGGAATGATGCTCAACAAACGGCGATGTGATGCAGATTTCGTGGTTTTCGATGAGCTGTTCGTTGACAAGGGAATCGAGTCGGTTCTCGAGAAAAGCTCTCTCGCTTCACCCATTCCAATTGTGCTTTTCACGGCGAGATTTGTGAGTGATCTGAAATAGATATTCTTTAGAGTCTTTAGAGTAATCTTAAATAGATTTACCTTCTCAAAGGTCCCTCTCCAAATGTATTTATTTGAATCGATGGCGGACAGGTTGACTCTTCATCGCATGTTGACATTTCTCTCGTTGAGGACGGCTGGAAATTCTACCAGAGCTGATTCATTTCAAAATATTCAATCATTACTGACTGAATATCTTTATGAGCTTTTAATTTAGCACAAACTTTTGGTGGGGTCGGCGGTGGTCTTGTTCTCGGCAAAAGATCCTCCCGATGATCTCTGAAAGAGAAGAGTTTTTGACTTTGGAAATGTAACTAATCTTTACTTGAAGTACTTGAATTACTTGAAGTTACTTAAAGTTTTCCTTGAGTTTTCAGTATATCGACTCAACTGGTTAACATAATAGTTTTAAAGTCCTTTAACAGATTTAGACTGCGATATGGTGTGATTCTTTTAAAGTGATGCTTATAAGACTAAAGAAATTGCAAGATAGCTAAACAGCTGAAAGCAAAAGATTCTCCAAAACTCACTTTGATACCCCGATCGTGGTCGATTGATGCACGGTGGCGTATCCCTTTTGCGGGGATCTCAACGTGATTCCGATATCTCGAATCGATAAACCCTGTGAGCCAATGGGCTCTCTTGCCTATATATTAAATATATTTTATCTAATCAATCATCTTACCCCAATTTTTCTCATATTTTCCTCATTTTCTTCGACTCTTTTCCTCAACATTTCCCTTCTGCGCATTTCTTCGATCGTTTTTTCTTCGCGAGTGATGCGTTCCCGGATTGAGAGAAGCTCCTGCAATCAAATTCGTTATTGGTTTGCCCAGATTTATATTTTAAGTAGATATTACTGTAATTAAATTGACTACAATACCTGCGAAGTTGATGGTCTTTGTATGACATCATCAATGAGTGTCGTCTTTTGAGTGGGAATCGATTGAGCTGAGCCGGAGACAATTGGTAGAGTGGGTAGGAGAGCTGAAATGGAAATGCTCATTTGTTAATAAAGAAAAATATTAGAGTACTACTAATCAGCTCAGTTTTAGACAAACCTTTCCTGTTGCTTTCCTCTCCAAAAGTCGAATTGCTGAGTCGATTCTTGATTGAAATCGGTTCCTCATAATTGTCGACCGGTAAAGTCTCGTAGACGGAATCATATTTGGCGCTCGAGATTGATGGAGAGTCTCTGAAATCATAAGTAAAGGATAAGGTCCTATCTTGGAAACGTGTCGGTGTAGCTCATTGGTAGTGTTCGCCCGATAAGCGAGAGGTGGTCGCGGGTTCGAATCCCGGCGCCAATCAGGCCGACTATCCTTTTGTATTCCCAGTCTCAACCCATAAAAAAGATCGGCATCTCATAAAAAGACTAGGCGTTGTTTTGATTGTAATTTCCCACTAGGTATAGCTAATATCATGCCAAACACAGGACCAAGTCCAGATTTGGCTTATCGTTTTCGAATAATTCTTTAAAATGTACCTGGATGGTCTAAAAGTTGAGAAAGCGATGGTTGACGGAGCGGGACAGGGAAGGTATTCATAGGTTGTTGACGGGTCTGCTTGAGTCTTTTGAGAGAGTTGAGCGAGTGATTGGTTCGATTTTTTCATTATTGACTGAAAAAAAAATGAAACCAAGTTAGATCCGTATAAATACAACAGACTTTTGGTGTTGTTGCAATGGGAAGTGGCGGGGAAGAGCCACGGCGACGCTCGTGAGACTCTAAAGTGTTGCTGGCGCCTGAAAAAGGGTAATGTTTTCAAAAAAAAAGTGGATCGTGTAAGTTTTGGATATCATTTATAGTCAGTGTTCTTCGAAAGACAGAAGAATACAGCAAGGCCAGGTCTTGGCCTAATCTGAACTGGCTTTACTGCGAACCTGGCCCACACTCTGGTACAAAAAGACAGAGCTGAACCTTGGCTCCTGGATGAGCTCTGACCTGCCTGTCTTCTGACTGAGCTCTTACAGTACCTATACCCCGTTTAGAGCATCTCTGTCTATAGTATAATCTAATTAAAACCTGTGGTAACAGTTCTTTCCGATAAAATGTTGCTGGTCGAGGTGAAGAGCTCTTCGGAACGAGCCGCCTCTCGTTGAGCCTGGAAAGATATTGGATTTTAATTGAAATCCTTTAAAAACTTTCACCTTTAACATCGCTTTTCTTTGCTTTTTTGTGAAATTCGGCACAGACGCCGTTCTTTTAAAGCCACTTTGCTAAAATGCTTTCATTTTCCAAGTCCTTCCCCTCATTTTACCTCTTGTTTCATATTTTTCATATACTCTTTCTCCCATCGTTGAAGTGCTTCTGAGTCGACTCTGGAAAAGGTTTTTCTAGACTCATTGAGAAATAAGTATTACCTGTATATTGCAGAAAACGATCGTTTAAATGGTTGAGTTGTTGATGTGAGATGAGAAGTGGAGGCAAGGGGAGAACTCTCATCACCACCCTCGACCACCTGGAAACCATCTTGCTAACAATTTATTGAATAAAATCTAGAATTTGATCTTTTATCATATTTTAAAGCATAGATTTAGCTGTGTTATGCGATGAAATACGAGAACTTTGCTTTTGTAAGCTCTCCAGAATCGAGGTTGGTAAAGCCAAGTCAAATTCAATGAGATTTCGGGCTAATGCCAACTGAAAGCCTTTGGTTTTGGCTTTTTTTTCCACATATCAGGTCATATATAAGTATTGGACAACAATATAGCTGTAAATCAACTCTGTCAAACCTCAATTTTCACCAGTTTCGCTCGTCCTTTCCGAAAAGCGAGCGACGTTGCACAACATCCGAGAACCGATGCGAGCAAGTGGAGAAACGTGGCGATCAATTGGAAATGAAAAGCCCAGCCGAGTTGTTGCTGAATTTTAGTTAATGACTGCTTTTATCGAAAAATACCTCATAGATTTCCATATCTTCTTCCTTGATTATTTTATTGTCTTGATAATTCGCCCACATGTAGAAAACGCCGACGCCAATCGATGAGAAAAAGGCTAAAGGTTAAAAAGTTAAAATAAAAATCTTTGAATTACCATATAACTTTAGACCGTAAAAACAATAACGATTACAATATGATATATTAAAAATTGTACCAGCCATCGTAATGAGAACGGTTGATGCACAAATAAATGTTCGATGACAATAAGAACAAATTCCGACGAGAAGCGAAGCAAATGAGAAAAGAAAAGCGACACCAATTGCGCAAAGAGCTGCGATTTTATGGCCTAAATTGTAAACCATAAATTTCTTTTAACTCTATGATGAAAGCTATGTTTTTAAAGCAATTGTTTCAGAGAAAATTGTAATAAAACCAGTTTAATGCTTAGGCTTAGGCTTTTATTTAGTTTAATTGATATGACCGAATAATTTCAAACTTTACAACATCTGATGATCTTTCTGATCTAAAAAGATCGATATTTATTGATCTTTCTGATCTAGAATAAAGCTCAGATTATGTTTGCTCGCCAAACTCTGCGAGTTTTTACTCGCTATAAACATAATATCATTTTTCTCATAAGCTTTTCCGATATGATGTATTGTCCACCAATTTGGAGGTTGGACAATTTATTCCAAAAACCAGTGTACTGATAAGAACTGATATCTATTGATCTATTGAGTAAGACTGATATTTATTGATTTTTCTGATCTAAAAAGATCGATATCTATTGATCTTTCTAATCTAGAATAAAGCTCAGCTTTTTGAACAATAGCAAACCTTACCAAGGAATAAATGTTGCCATGCATCATTCTCAATTCGATTCTCATCATGATTATGATCGTAGAGATCCTCTTGATCGATGTAGTAATCAAATTTGTAGACACAATTCAAATCGGGCAAATAATAGAGCGCAAATGGGGTGTTCTCGATTTCTCGTCTGAAAAAAAGAAAAAGAAAAATAAGTTTTTCTTTGTTAACAAGACCCACCTCCAATTCGTTTCCACATTCTTATCGGTGTCTCCATAAACATAAGAAAGAAAACGGACACAATCCAGCCATAAACCGTGATGATGCTCGGATTTGCCGTTCTGAAAGGATTTCATTAAAAGAGTAAAGTCATTTTTTTAATCGAAAAATGTTTATTCGTGGCAATTTGATAATTTGATAATTTGATAATTGATAATTTGATAATTTAATAATTGATAATTTGATAATTGACCCATGATAATTTGGCACTTTACTTGTTTACTTGGCAGTTTACTACTTGTTAAATCTTTTTGGTACCAAATGATTCATTCAAGTAGTCTCATGAAACTGTTACTAGTATCAGATTCGTTCGTTGGTATATACTACAAGTTTTCTAACAGCTTTAGTGATCAAAATGCTGTATTTCAGAATTGAGTGCTAAACTTGGCACTAGTGTTAGTTTGATGAGATAAGTGAGCCTGACAAGATTGTAACTTTACCAATAAATCTGTTAGGATAACGAGATCTTATTAATCTTTATGAAATACAGTAATACTTATACAGTAACTTTGTACAGTTCTTTATATAGTAAACTTGCTTATAATTAGTATTTGTATTGGGTTGTCCAGTTATAAATGCGCGTTTTTTACTATTTTGTAAATTTCTCAAGATACCGAAATCAAGAAAAAGATATATATGAGTATTATTCGAAAGCTGAAGATCTCCTCTACATTTTGATATAAAAAGTTTTTGAATTTGTTCAGCTTTTGGGCAAATTGACTGCACAGAAGAAGAGGTGGCCAAAAAATGGAAGGGTGCCTTTGGATCAAGTTTTGGCTGCGCTCAAATTGAGTTAACCGTTTGATGTTTGGTCAATAGATATATCAATACAACTTTTTTTTAAATATACCAATTTCAGAGCATCTTTACTTTTCTTTTCTGGGCGGTTATTTTATACCATAAAACTTGAGGAATAGCTAAGCTGGAATGGTTTTTTTTTGAAAACGACCTCTCCCTTTGTGCAGTCAATTTCCCCAAAAAGTTGAATGAATTCAAAAACTTTTTTATTCCAAAATGTAGAGGAGATCTTCAGCTTTCGAATGATATATAACACTCATATACATCTGTTCGATATCTTGAGAAATTTACAAAATAGTAAAAACACGCATTCATAACTGGACAACCCAATATATGTTGTTCCTAATGATCAAAACCTCAAGATAAACATATTGCCATGTGGGGCTGAGAAGTGCCAAAAGGCAGAGAGTGAAAGCGACGAGTTCGATCACAAAGAAGACAGATAAGGAACACTGAAATTGTTTTTCATTGTTTTTCATTGTTTTTCATTTTATTACATTTTAAATCCTTATTTTATTACCTTTCTTGTAAGACGTGATGCTCCATATTCTGTCATTTTTTTTAATGAATTTTGATGAGAAAAAAACTCATAACCGAGGTTGAAGCATAGATAAAAAATGGGCAATTTCTCTGAAAGTATCACCAAATATGGAATGATGGTGTGAAAAAAACAAGGAATGAAAAGAAAAAATCCCGTTGAGTTGGGAAAAGAAAAGGAAAAACCCTTTGTGAAGGTCATGAGAAAGAAAAAAAAAGCTGCTTTGCTCAAATAAAAAAGAAAGCTTTTTCGAAAGAGATTATCATTTACTTAACATTCTCATAATCAAGTGAAGATAAGTGAAGAAATGTTGAAGATAACCACTTGCTAGCCCCAAGAGCATTACACAATGTAACCAGTATTCATGTAGCACCTTGTAACAATAGGAAATGAAACTATTCAGTGTCTGTGATCGTGTTTTACTTCAAAACCTCAACAGTAGCACATAACGAGTCATGTTTAAATTACGAAATTATTAAATTGCTATTTCACACAACAGAGCGACTCACGTTCAACTCGTTGCTTTCATTTGAAATAAGACAATTCATAAAGAAGTAGGAAATAAGCATAAAACTCGAATCAAAATAAAACAGAAAATAAATTGCCCCAAATTTGTCAACACCCTTCAGCAATCATTGACCAACAATAACCAGGCAGGAAAGTGTCAAGGAAAATGGGGAAAGCAAAGGGGTGAAACTGGGTGAATTGGGGAAAGGATTCAAGATTCAGAGTCGATTCACAGTTGGTGTTTCGGAGAAAAGTGGGCACAAGAAGAAAGACGAATGGTACATTGAGGTCACTTTGGTGGAAATGGAGGGTTGGAGGGGGGAAGCCTGGAGCAGAGCCGTACTTCAAGGTCGACTCCTATCCCCGTTTTCCATTTGAATCTCCCATAGAGGGACATCAGCCTCTTTTCCCTTTTCTCTCTTTCAAATTTCAAAGCGGGGTGGGAAATGGTGGTGGGTGAGGCTGAGGCTGAAAGACTGAAAGAAGGGAAGGGACGGTGCTCAGTTCTCTTTCCTCACCCCTTCTCTCTCTCCGATAAAACACATACAATCGCAGAAAGAGAATTTGAATACAACCCATTCTGTCTCTTTCTCTTTCTCCCTTCATTCTCCAATGACTCATAGTTGAATGTGGATCGATTCGGACTACCTCAAAAGCTTTGTGAAGCGGACAAGAGCTAGACAAGACAACCAACGGCTAGAGGCACCGGGTAATGCTTGTTCTGCTCCTTTTACAGTACTTGTAAAGTAAAATTTGCAAAATTTGAATAGTGAATAATGAATTTTTAACCAATAGTAAGCTAAACTAGTTAAGCTAGTTAATTTTTAAGGTACAAAATCTTGAGGCAATTCTTGATAAGGTAAAAAAAGAAGAGGCTAAACTCAAAATCTCAGTTTTGATGTTTTCAAAAAGATTTGGATTTCTGAATTTAAATTTTAGACGGTTAGGAAAGTCTAAAGTGTAAGCCAGGGTGTGGCTTTTAACCTGGAGCCAGGGTGTGGTTTTTAACCTGGAGCCAGGGTGTGGCTAGCTCTGATCTTGATTAGACTTAGAGGCTCATGGAAGTACAATCGTTGAATTGAAGGTTGGAAAAACACTGGCTTTGAAAGTAAACAGAAATGAAAAACACGTTCTTCTTGGCTAAGCCCTGCTACTACAAAATATCGACTTTTGTGGGATGAAAGAGTGAAAAAAAATGAAGCGAACAAGTGAGGGAATAACCTGTTTTCTTTTTCTTTCTTTTTTTAGTTCGCTTGTTGATCTCCTAGTATCTACAAATTCTCCTTCTTTTAACGAATAATCTAACAAAAATCTTGAAGAAAAATCGAAGGCAAAGAGGGAAATGTTTGTTCCTTTTCAATTGTTCACTCGAAGAAAAGAAAATGAAAGGAAGAAATCGTACAGATGTTTTTGAATGGGCTAGTACGTTATGATTTAAAGTTTTTACTTGTGGTGAATTGTGGATCGATTCGGACTACCCCAAAAGCTTTGTGAGGCGGACAAGAGCTCGGAAGATTGAAAACACATTTGGTACACTCTATTCAAAATAAAAACGGATAAAAAATTTACAAAAAATTAAAAGTTTGTTCGTTAGCCTGATCGGTGTGAAATACTTTTGAAGACTGAAGTTCAGAAAGTTTCTAAAGTTTTTAAAGTTTCGAAGAAAACTAATAAACCAAACAAATATGCGTAATGAATGGAATGGATGAATGAAATGGTGGAAAGATCAGATCGGAGAGAGTGAAAGAAAAGGACAGATGGATGGGAGAATCGGTTGATCGCTTGAATGGGCTGAAGGGAAATCGAGAGAGGGGAAAACACATCGCACAGATCCGAGTTCTTTCATTTTACTTTATTTGACTTGTCGAATCGGAATCAACATATAATAGCAATAGGATCGGTGTACCGATGATACAAACGTTTACGGTTATTTGATCTGATTGTGAGCCAAAGTCACAGTTAGAATTGGTTTGACTAAGTTCATCCTTGGATTGATTTGACGGGTTAGTTTTTGCCTTCCTAACAATGAGAGTTCAAATTGCTCTAGATAAAATTTTCTGTTCGTATTTTATGTAAGTTGGTGTTGTATGTAAGTATTTGTCTAAACTAAACTTGTACCCTAACACCCCTAAACTTGTACCCTAACTTGTACCTACATTCTTGGCCTTGCCATCGACCTGCGATGGCAGGTCGATGGCAAGGCCAAGACCCCAAATTTTTACTTGCCTTTACAATTTTACTGAATTGTTTATTGAATTGTTTTTGAAGTGAATCCCCGGGATTTCCCTTTTCTCATCACTCGATTTGAAATGGTTCAAATTTGGGTTGGAAGATCGACTGGAGGATAATCGCTTTTTCCCCTCAAGGACATTTCCATAAAAATCCCCGCGGATTTTGATGTGAAAAGAAAAAAAAAGAGATTTTCCGAGTGATTTTTCAAACTCTTGGATTTGAAGATAATGAATGAATGAATGAATGAAAAATAATGAATTGAAGAATTTTATTGATAAAAACACAGATAAAGACACAAAAGATTTATTCGATATAAATCAAAAGCCAAAATACAATCAAAAAAAAAGGCTGTACACTTGGCAATGCAAGAGCAATTTGGGATCGAGTCGGCAAACTCAGCTTAATTGTAAGATCAGCTTAGGATTGGCTGAATATCCTGAAATACTCAATAAGCTTAGTCTTAACTGAAAAATACCGTAACCCAAATGTTTTTTGCTAAGTAAACTAGATTATAGTATTTAATTTCTTCACAAGATGCCCAGTAAGCTTAAGCTCAGCCTAGAGATACCGTAACCCCTACAGTATGGCATTAGGCATTCAGCTTAGGCATTCAGCGTTAAGCAGAACAGAGACGTTGAGTCTTGTCGGCTTAACACCGTAATGAGGAAGAGTACTGGGACTTTGCAGTACATTCTGTCTACTATGTATATGCTACAGCATCGATATATTGAGTTGCAGCCTGGCTCTGTCTTGTCGGCTAAACTTTTTAACCTGGCACACTAAGACTTTACAGTATACTACAGTATTTCTAGATTAACTACATATCCAACTATTATGCATATTATATTATCAAGATATTCAGCTAATCGTTAAGCTTTTACAGTTGAGTTTAAGATGCCGGATCGGAGAAAAACAAGACAAGTGGCAATATGATGGACAAAACGGCAAGGATACAGAGCTAAGGACTTAAATAAAATGATTATGCAAATAAATATTAGGTTGAGAATAGCTGAATATCAATGAAAACCATGTGAAATCATAAACCACAAGAAAAATGCAAATCAGCACCCCAAGTGCTGGGGAAAAAATAGGCAAGGACATAGGCCATTCTGGCCAAAATCATGAAAAGAACAGAAAAAGATGATCAGGAAATGAAAAGGACAAAAAAGATGATCATTTCCTGATCATCAAGTGATCAGGAAATTAAAATGACAAAATCCTGAGGAAATATTGAGGGGAAAATCGAGAGGAAAGTTGAAAGTGAGAAAATGTTCGTGATAGAATTGAAAATGAAAAGAATGATATTCGGGGAAGGTCCTGAAAAGAACAGTGGTTGCGCAAGAACAATTTTAAGTGAAGAACTGTAGAGTGTGAACCTTTTATCAATCAAAATCTTTGAGCTCGATGTTGGCAGTGAGGAAATCGGGAAAAATTGGGATTTTGAAATGAAATGAATAAAGATCTTGAATGATCGCAATCAAACACAAGTCTCGCTTTTTCTCCGAACTCTCGTCGGGATCATCTCCCCAGGGAAAATCGCTCGTTGCATTCCCAATTCGGGCATACTCTCAGCTACCTGAAAAATGAAATTTCTAGTCCTACCGCTTGAATGTTCATAAGATTTATCTTTCAATACCATTTCTAAAGTATCCTTTTTTTCCCCTTACGTGTTTTTCATATTCTTCGTGCTTCGTGAGGAATGGTCGAACGTTGCTTTGTGGGGTGGCTGGTGGGTACATCATTGGATCGAATTCCATTGATCTGAAGAAGAAAACTTTCCGTTCGATATTGAATAGATGCCTAATATCCTTTCAGCCATGCATAATCTTGATTTGATTAACTTTACTGACACTATAGTTGGAGTAATTCAATTCTTGAACAATTCGGACTCTTTTTTAATCGAGTTTACTAAAATTTATCCAGAAAGTAGTTAGCCTTAGACCTTGAACTTCAAAAAGTTTAGCTGAGAAACTTGTAGAGTAACGAGTTAAGTTAAGTTAAGTTTAGTTAACCTTGCAATATTCGTGACATTCGTTCGGGAAGATCTTTGCAGAGAGAAATCCTCTCCCTCATCGCCCTTTTGTGTCATCGCCATATAGGCAAAGAACATGCCAACCTGAAGGGAAAATATTGATATTTTGGAATATTTATAGATAAGATTCAAAGCAAATCATATAAGTTTCCTGAAACTTACGATAAACGAGAAAAGATGGAAGAAACAAGCGGCCAGTTGCAAGAAAAACGCCAAACCAACGCGTTGCTGAAAAAAGTAAGGAAAATTATGTAAAAGTTATCCAGTTGAATATCATAACCCGTCTTTTAAAGCTTACTGTAATCCGCAAATACTTTTTTTCTTTTCTTTTCGCATTCTTTTCCACCACTGTATATCATTTTCTTTTTCCAACTCACCTCATATGTGCCAACGATTCCCTTAATGAAACGATTGTCAGCTCGGTGTGAATAGAAAAAGAAGACACCTGTGGCCACGGATGAAAGGAAAGCTAAATGGAAATGGATAAGTGAAAAATTCGATTGAATACTTGTTAGCAGAGTGACACAAGTGAACACGATTGAGATCGTTCCATAACAACAAGAACAAGCACCGAGGAATGTCGAGAGGATTGTGGTGAGAATCGCCAAGAAGAGCAGGATCATCGTGAAGGTGTGCCATGCTGAAATTCGACATCTTATCAACAGAAGGAAATTCAAATAAAAATTTACTACCAAATCCGGGTCTTTTCATTGTGAAAAGCTATCATATCCCAAAGCCAATTCGATTCTCTTGGGACTTTTCTTGGGATAAAGAGTTAAAATAAACTTCGCCAATAGATTCTACGACCCCGGGGGAACAAATTTTTAACAGTAAATCTCATTTGGGAATCATTTACAGAACAAAAGAAACATCACTGTGTAAAGTGACTGGAGAGGTGTTCTTTATGCGGCTGGATAATCGCTCTACATCTGGCACACGCCCCCGATATATACGTGTTCTCTTTTCAAATCTAGAGAGGTGGACCGACCCCTTTTTTTGTGGGTCACTATGCCAAAATTTGGCTGTATTTTTCTGCAGATCCCACAAGCTGCTAAACCAAAAACAGCTGTGATACTCAAGGCTTCATCATCCAATACCCGATAAATCATTGATAAACCGATTCACTCTAATCATTTCCACAGAAAATTGAATTGCAATGGCGGCCCTATCCCCTCAACAGTCACCACTTCATTCCTCTATTCTATAGCCTTTATTCTGTTTTCTTTTCTACAAATTGTATTCTCTGACTCATTTCCCTTTTTCGTCTCCAAAACGAGGCCATCGTCCTCGTTTCTCTTCCTCCCCTCCCCATCCCATTCTTCCCATTTTTCTCCTCCAAAACTTTCTCTGAGTCACTCAAGCGATTTGTGGGGGATCATAAATGCAGCTCGGGATTAACTCAATGTTTTTCTCATTTATCGCTTACCGTAGAATTTGTGTCGATTCACCTCACCGACCGGACTGTTATCATCCTCGAAATCGAATGTGCCCGAGTATTTGTCGTAGTCGAATTTGTAAACACAATGCAACGGCTCGGTGAGAGTGTGGTATCTAGAAAAAGCGCTGTGCTGTAAACATGGCAGTCCAAATCTAGCTCTGATCTTGCCTGGCCTGACTTTGGAAACTTGCTTGGCAGCAAATTAGACAGATTTACTCTTTCTTGAAAGACTGGCAAAATAGAGATTAAACCTTAAAAAGCAGAAGAAAAACTCTTTGAATACCTCTGCAGAATCGGTGTCCCGGAGTCTCGGGAGTGCCTTGTACAATCCAACCATAAACCGTGCTCATGAATGGAGTTGTACTCGCGGAGATTCACCACCTGAATTGATGTATTTGTGTTTTTTCAAGCCTTCGCTTTATTCATCTTTAAATTTGTCTCATTACCTGCCAACTTGGTGTCAAGATGGCTCCAATTGAGAGTCCCATCCCGACGAGACTCAACATGATCGCCGCTGTGGCCGAAGCTTTCCGCCCGAAGTCCGCTCCTGACATTCGACGCTGAAATATTCTATTTTCTATTTCTATTTTAGAGATTTTGAATTCTTATTATTTACAAAGATATCTTCAAATTATTACAGAAAACTTTTATAATTTAGAAATGAGCAAAAATGATTTAAAGTTGGCTTAAAGGTTAGAAGGTTAGAAAAAGTTTGGTTGAAGATTGAAGATGAATCGATCTAGGCCTGCGTCAGTTTCTATTTTCATTTAAAATAGTAATTCAGTTGAATGTGAAGTCTATTTTTTAAGCTTGTAATTTTTAGAATATAGATTTTCTGTCGATCTAGATCAAACGAGGAAGCTTTCCCCCCTAAAGGCTCCATTCACAATGGGATTTCTTTTGTTAAAAGTCCACGCATTTCTCTTTGTGAACATGGCAAGCACGATATTTTCTTGAGTGACGAATTTGAGTGTACACTTTGAAGGAAAGATTTGAGAAAGGCTTCAATCGTTGACTTTCACACATTCCCATATAACAGCACATCCAAACACAGCCAGCCCCTCATCAGTGTCATGAAAAGGAAAGGAAAAGATTCACGGGAAAGGCTGGGAGAAGAGGGGGTACCTGGGAGGGACAGTCAAGGCCATCCCTGTGGAGCGCTCACCTCCCCTTTGCATTCAGCCGTGGCTCGACTCGGCCATCGATTTATGACTATCGACCGGGAGATGCCGCTATAAAGAATGTGGTTTTTGGAAAGAGATCGGGATTTGAATTGGGCACAACTACACAACATCTAACGAGATAACCTTGCCGCACAGCCAGGCTTCACCAATCAGTCATACCTACTCGAATGGTGATTTCACTCAAGATTGACACAAAAGAAGCTACGCCGGCACAAAAACAGTTTTGATTTGATCTATAGCCTTTGAGCCAAAGATTGATAAGCTATAGAAGTTGTAGAGGAATTTAAAAATGCTGGAAAACATCTCCAACATAAGAAATAAGATTTATTGTCTCGAGATCACCCACTCATGGGATCTCGCCAAGAATGGTGGTGCAAAACAATAACAACAACGATTTGTCCTTTGACAAGGTCATTTCAGTTATCGACTTTGGGGAGAAGAATTGGAATCGAATGAGAGATAGGGGCAATGTTTAGAAACACTATTTGGAAATAACTGTATCAAGGGGAGTAGAACGAAAGACAAGACTGACTGGATCGATCTGAGATTGGCAACTCTTATCGTTCTAAGAAACAGCTCAACTCTTATAAGTCTACAGATCATGAGGTTAATAGCAGGAATCAGCAACTCAAACTCGAAAGGAGTCACGTGTAACCATTCCCCTGTTTCTTGATTTCAAAAACAGATCTGCCAACAGAATTTGCCCACCTACATATTCAGAATCAGCAACTCAACTCTATAAGGTCTTCACAGATTTCAAGGTCAAAAGTTATAGTCAAAAGAATTCTGCACCAAGTTTTGAATTGATTTGGGCTATGACCATTGTCTGACACTTACATTCCGCATTGTCGCTATGTGGAGAGTAAAAATAGAATTTGGTTAGATTTGTTTGAAGGGGTGGCTAACGAATGGGGTTGTAGAAGTGGAGGGCTTGGTCACACTGAATATAAAACTCGAGGAGGGAATATTGTGAGTGGGGGAGGTGGAGGAGATGAGTGAATATTGTGAGAGTTGAGAGGTGGAGACGGGCACTCGATGTGTGCAATATTGGAGGAAAGGGGGAAATTGTGGTTACGAGACACGAAAAAGGAGGATTTTTTTTAGGGGAAAAAGGTTGAAAAAGGAGCAAATCATGACATATCTTCTCCGGCTCCCACTTTTGGTTTACGGAAAGGACAACGCACACACACACACACGTGAGTCCACTTAAATCCCACTCCCCGATTTCGTTCATTGTTTTCCTTTTTAGGGACAAATAGCTACACTTGATAGGTTACTGATAAAATCTCTTATGAATACGGCGAATTTACGGCTCTCAATAAGATACAATTATCTTGATCAGAAGTGATTAAGGTTAAAAAAAAGATGGGCATAATGAGAATGATACAGGACAGCTTTTAAATCAAAATGATCAGGCTTCAAGCTGTATAAAACTGTCTGTATAAACTAAAAGTCTGCCATGTAAGGTAGGTTTGAATACAAAAAGTCAAAGAGAGACAAAGAAAATGGAAAAACAGAGAACAAAAAGAATAATTTCAGTAGCTGGGAAGAGAAAGATGGATCCAAACACTTTCAACAAGGTACTTACGATAGAAGCAATGTGGAGAGATAAGTTCAGCTGCTTTGTGCAGTATCAATGTCAAGCAGAACTAAATCGTCTAGCAGCTTTGAAAATTTCATTCAACTAAGTTACCGTATGAAGTTATGGGCAAATTTGATAGATACTCAGTTAATTTATCAGTTTTCAGTTAAGTTGACTGATAAAATCTTGAGATTGGAGAAATTTACGGCCCTCAATCGATAGCTTGATCGTCAGAGGTTACGGTTAAAGTAAAGAAAATCAAGAAGTCAAGTCAAAGAAGTCAACTCAAAGAAGTCAAAGTCAAAGAAGTCAAAGTCAAAGAAGTCAAGTCAAAGAAGTCAAGGCAAAGAAGTCAAAGTCAAGTTAAAGTCAAGAAGCAAGAGAAAATGAAAGTCAAACAAGTCAAATCAATAGAAAACGAATGGTGGAATGGAAAGGATGGAATGGGAAATGGTGGATGAGATTGAGAGAAAGAGAAGAGAGAAAAGAGAGGTGAGGTGAAGAGGAGCGAGAGGATCGTTCGAATTCCCCACCCCATCTCTCACTCAAAAGGGGATGGGGTAGCCTTGAGGTGCAATGGGTGGAGACTGACTGTGCGAAGAAGAAAGGACTATCATTGTCGATCTAGACCTCTCATTGCCCTGGTACCCTTTCTCTATCGCGCTCGGGTTCTCGTGGAATTCGATTGGGGGAAGCCTTGAAAAAGTCGACCGATCTCCACCCAACAAAGAGGACCACCCGATGTGAGGATATTTAAGAGAAAAGGAAAAACGATCAAAGCGTCAATTGGTCAAAAACTCGGACACACCATTTATAGAGTAAATCGAGGACAGGTCAGTAATAGAGGTCATCGAAAGGTATGCAAATTTTAAAAACTCTACAGGTTTTTGCGATTTCAAAAAGAAGAATAAGTGAAACTTTTACACACAAAAAAAACTCGCGAACGATTTGAAAATGCAAATTCTTTTCAGTTGTCTATCCGGTTTGCAAAAGAGACTGGGTTATGTGGCTCTTTTATGAAATCTCTCTGCAAAAGCCAGCTTTGCAGATTTGAGCCAATGAGCCGTGAATTGATCAGAAAGAGAAAAGAAAAAAGAGAGAACGATTGAGATAAAGAAACGACAAGGAACACGATCAACGCTCAAATAGAGGAGAAGAGTGCAGAGAGTTAAAGCTTGTTTCCTGAGCACAAAATAGTCTACCAAATAGTGTACCAGATGCCAAAGTAAGCCTGTTTACCAGATCTCAACGAAAAATGTTCTCTTTCCCAAGCCTTTTCTCAAAGACCTTCAAAAATCAAAAATCATCGACTCAACGATAAAAGAAAAGCTTTTATTTGGTCATATTAATTTCCGGCTTGATTGATTGATTGAAAGTAAAAGCCAAAAGCGAAAAGAGAGGAGTACAATAAATGAATCGGAATATGTCAAAGAGAGAGAGCTGTATAAAGGGAAATGTTGTTGTTGTGTTAGCGGAACGAGTTCTGAAAGAATGAAATGAATGGGAAAGAGAAAGAGAGGACACATAGTCACAGATAGATTCCAGAGTGTCCTTTCCCCTAACTCAATTCTATTCATCTGTCGAATAATTATCTGGAGGAGGTTGGCTTTGTTCCGGAACGGTTTCACACTGTCACCACTTATCATGACTAATTGAAATTACTTGAGCAAATTGCGAACTATCAAAAGTATTCTATTTAGAATTCATTTTCCCATTTTCCAGAGTCTTTTCCCGTTTTCTAAAACGTGTCAATTTTCGAGGACTACCGTAATCTTGCTCTAGTTTTCTCCAATCTATCTATTGTGGCAAGATTCCTCATTTGTAACGGTTTTGTAAAGGTAAACTATAGCCAACTCTAATAGTCATCAGATTACGGTAGCTATTCGACTTGGCTCCAGTCAAATAGCTACCGTAGCTGGGTGAGCTATGACCAAGTCTAATTACAGTAGATGGGCGTCGGCTATCAATATATTTTTCAGGTTTAGGTTCAATCCTACTTTAGGTATGAATTCTAAACAAAAAAAACAAACAAAGAAGCAACAAATTCGCTGACAATAGGATGATCATTAAGGTAAATGTGAGGAGTGGGTCGAATGAACGAACCCTCTCTTTTCTCATAATTTTCCCCATTCATGTCGATGATGCATGAGTGCCCAAAACAGACAGGTGGATGGGAATGGAAAGGGGCAAATGAACAAGGGAAATCCTGCTCTTTCTACATAAAAGTCCCGAGATCATTTTTTCTAATTTATCTCTTTATGAAGGGGGAGCAATAAGCCAAACCTTTCCAAATACTCACCTCATTTTTCTGCTCAATCGGATAAAACTTTCGTTCATCATCAATCCAATATTCATCATCACGTCGAGGCCAATAAATTGAATGAAATCGATGAGTGCTCCGATCAAAAGATGGATCTGATTGTGGTCTTCTGAGCCTTGGTCGATTTGTGTAAGGTTCCCACGGGTTTTCTTCTCGAAAATGAACATGTTTTGGGTGATTCATTCATAAACTTCATCAAAAAAAATAGGGAAATTAGTCAATAATCATCATTGAAAAGGCTTAGCTCAGAATAATCAAAATTTCCTATGAGCCAAGCAATGTCTTGTTTGAGTCGAAACGCATTGTCTCTGTTGAAATTTGGTGGTTCCATGGAAACGTGTGCCTTAAAAAGGGGCCCTTCATAACATCCAAAAACCTAAAAGACCTAAAAGAGTGAAAGAGCTTTAGACACTCAAAATCCTTTTTACATTTTAGCACACAACCAAGTTTTTCTCATTGATGCTCTGCTTTAAAATGGAAACCTCTAAAAACATTTATTAGTCAGTCAAATAAAAGCAAGAAACAATCACTCACAGGGTTTAGGAAACCGTCCTTAATTCTGACTCTTTTTGTAGCAAAAAATCGTTGTAGTTGGCTTATTTAGTCCTTCTTTTTCTTTCGTTGCTTTGGCTTCAAATAGGCCTGCATTAAGGAAATATGGCGTTGGCCAACGATTGTTGACACCTAATAAGAACAATAATCATTATCTAAAAGAAAAAACAAACTTCCATCCATAACGTGTCTTCACCACAAAGATTGAAAGAAAGACACCCAAAAGCATTTGAGTTGTTTGAACACATGTAACAACCTAAAATGACATAAATTTAGAATCAAACACTTGTGAACCAACCATAGCGATCCAACGAGGAACATCCACCTAAAAAAGGACACTCTTAAAACCCACAATGCTTCAAATAGCGTACCCTTTTGGTTTTCAGAGCATAGTAAGTGTACATGAGTGAATGAGAAAAAATTCATCAAGATGAAGCAGAGTTATATTCCGAGCCTAAAGTAAATTAAGATTGTTGATCACAATGATAATGACTGACCAGAGTGAATTGTGTAAACAAGCATGGCAACATGGTGATAGTAATGCAGAAAGTTGAAAATTTTGTAAGTGCTAGCAGAAAAAAAAGAGGCGCTTACATGAGGGGTCGTTTGCGTAAAACGATGAACAATAGATCCCCAAATTCAGCAATCTAACTGAGTCAGATTTAGAGTAAAAGTTCGGCGAACTACCTTGTTAACAGCAAAAGTCAGGGCCCAAAAAGCAGCAACATCACTCGGCTGTACACTCCGGCAGACAGAGTCGTAGAATGACGAGGAGAGAGAAAACAAAAAATCCTAAACAAGGGAATAGATCAAAGTCTTGAAAATATTTAAACCTCTGCGCTGCGAACAAAAGCAATGATGCTGTAGACTCCATGGAAGCAATTCCAGTAGAAAAGCGGCCGATCCAGTTTAAAGGCGCGACGATTGCGCATCACATATTGGACAAACTGTAAGAATAATAAAATCAAAAAGGCTCGACAAGAAAAGCTTCGTATAAAATTCTTTCTACAATGACACCCATCTAACATACCTAATTATCCCAATAAAAAGATTAAAAACAAAACAAACCTTTGTTTGAGAACAATGTAGGCTATAGATATCGTGATCAAGTGATGCCAACGATCTTGAAACCTAAAAGGAACTGTTAAGAGTAAAAAGAACTTCAAACACACCAAATCGTCTTAGACATTGAATCATTCACATGTTCAAAAGGTAGTCGATACCTAGACAACACATAAAGTAACTTTTAATCAATAAAAAGAAGTCGCTTACTTGTATCGATATCCAGAGTGAAACGATTGATTGTTAGTCCGATATAATGTGAAGTTGTTAAGTTGATTAATGAAGTCCATGCCACCCTGGAATAAATAAAGTTAGAATAGGAAAACAGAACAAAGAAAACAAATTTGGGTCGTTCATGAGGTTTTGAGTTTAAAAATCTTAAACGTCTTCAACTTAAACACCAATGCTTTAAACTTTCTAAAATTGACTCACAATCATATCCATGAAAAGGTTTAAAATGAAAATAAACCCCAAGCTACCACTAAACCCCTCATACTTCAAACGAAATAATTTTGCGATGGTTCAATTTTGACGAGCCATGAATAAATGCAAATTTTAAAGCCAAACAAAATGTTAATTTTGCACTGTAGCGAAGGAAGAGCTGCCTTTCACAAGAAGTAGGTTGTTTCCATTTCCTCGATAATAAAGACAAACATCCCCCGTTCGATTTGAACCAAAACAAACTTTGTTTAGAATGTTTAGAAAAGTTATCTCAACTGTGCATCTTCCCTATTCAAAAAGACAGGGAAAAAACAACGGCCCAAAGATTTTTCTGTTTTTGCATCGATCTATCTAATGCAATTGCTAAAGTAAACCCAACAAAATGTTTATGTTTATTTTTAGTTTGCTCGATAATCTTTATAAATAAATCACAAACAAGGGTTATCAAAAAAATCGGGCTAATAAGTGAAATTACAAACCATTTTACCATTTAAATCACAATCCGAGAATTATTCGTAAATGCGTAGAGAAAATGGGCCTTTATTTAAGGGTAAAATAAAATAAAACAAAAACTCATTTTCTCAATGTGCAACTAGATTCTCAGCATCTTATTTGTGCTGCTTCTTTTCAAGGTTGGCGGCCAATTTGTCGAGGAACTCAAAAGTATTCAAGTAGTCACCACGTTTCACCCTAAAACAAAATAACGTTATCTCATAATCAATTTCATTGTTTCTAAAATGGTTGTTTTAAAAACTCACAAGTCCATCCGTCCATTCTTGGTGCAAATGGCAAGATCTTTCGTCATGAAACCAGCCTCAATCGTCTCAATGCACACCTAAATAGATGTAAACATTAAACAATCAAATGAGATTAAACATACAGCTTCCAAGTTCAATGCGAACTCTCCAAGAGCCGCATTATTGTCCAACTTGGCACGATGAGCCAAACCACGAGTCCAAGCAAAGATTGAAGCTAAAGAAGAAAGTTTCCTGATAAATCAAAATCAAACAAACCAATTGGATTAGTACTGGTTTCTTGTCCCTTTTGATGTTGACGATAATGGCGAGTGACCGTTCCGTGGGCAGCCTCAGCTTCAACAGTCTTTCCATCGGGACAGACGAGCACCGAAGTCATCAAACCGAGAGATCCATAGCCTAAAGAATATGCAAAGTTATAGCTAACACTTTAGTGTTTACCTTGAGCCACTGAGTCGGATTGAACATCTCCATCGTAATTTTTGCAAGCCCAAACGAATCCTCCGTCCTTAAAAGAATAATATACGTTTCTTCAACAATTTCTGGACTTACACTCTTCATGGCTTGAGCAACCATATCATCAATGAGACGATGCTCGTACCAAATTCCGGCATCTTTGTAGCGAGCCTCGTACTCCTAAAGTCAGTTGTCGATAAACATGGTTACTTCATAAAGTGCTTACCTTGTAGATTTCGGCAAAGATATCCTTGAAGCGTCCATCATATTTCTTTAAAATGGTGTTCTTTGTGCTAAAGTGCATACAGTTATCAGAAATTTTGCCATAAAACTTTACCTGAGGTAGAGAGGATATTTACGTTGAAGTGCGTATTGGAATGAAGCGTGAGCAAAATCGGCAATTGATTCATCAGTGTTGTACATCGAGAGTGAAACACCAGGTCCCTGAATAAATATGTATTATCCCACAAAAAATTGAAAACAACCTTGAATTGGAAGACCTCGTGAACAAGTTCTTCGCCTCCATTGGTTGGAACAAAACGGATTTCAAGCTTTCCGGCTCCGGGAACCACAAAATCGGTGGCCTTGTACTAAAACAACGCATCATTACTGAAAAACAAGATTTTAATTACCTGATCAGCGTGCGCATGACGACCAATGATAATCGGTTTGTTCCAAGTGGTCACAAGGCGAGGAATGTTCTAAAGCAACAGATTTTTTATTCAAGTTCATTTAAAAAAACCTTGCAAATGATTGGCTCCCTGAACACGGTTCCACCAAGAATGTTTCTGATCGTACCATTTGGCGACTTCCACATTTTCTTCAGCTTGAACTCTAGAATGAAAATATTATGTCAAATGAATCTCAAAGCGAGGATACCTTCAACTCGATCCTCGTCTGGAGTGATGGTCGCACACTTGACAGCCACGTTGTATTTCAGAGTTGCATTAGCCGCATCGATGGTGACTATAAAAGTACAATTTAACGTAGAGTAAATCAATAAATACCTTGATCATCAGTAGCATCTCGGTGCTCGATACCCAAGTCGAAGAAATGGATGTTGAGGTCGACATATGGTAAGATGAGCTTCTCCTTGATCAAATCCCAGATGATCCTAAAAGAAAAGTTTATAAGTGTCTTTTGAAACTTTCTAAATTTTTTACTCATCTAGTTCCAAATTAGCGTTCAATCATAAATTTCGTCAAGTTATTCGTTAATTTCACATTGATTATCCCGTTTTACATTCTTCTCATATTTCATTTTTTTGTATCTTGATGCTTTTACAGAGCGCATTTTTAAACGATCGAATTTGGTCATTTCGTCAAGTTATTTGTTAATTTTCTCTCTTTCTTAAAGAGAAAGACCGCCTTATCTCCGCAAATTATCTCTCGTCTAATTCCAAATTAGTGTTCAATCATAAATTCGTTCAAGTTATTCGTTAATTTCACATCCATTATCTCGTTCTACATTCTTCTATCATATTTTATTTTTTTGTATCTTGATGTTTTGAAAGAGCACATTCTTAAACGATTAAATTCTGTCTTTTCTCTCTTTCTTAAAGAGAAAGATCACCTTATCTCCGCAAATCATCTCAGAAAAGGATTGTTTGCAAAAAAAGAAAAATCTGTCAAAGGTCTAGAAATTTCTCGACAATGAAATGGCGTGAGAGTTTAGTTTATCAGCCATTTTCCCAAGAGCGATTCATGAAACAAATCGCAACAAGAGAACCAGCAATCCCAATTTTAAAACAAAACCCAATAGAGCATACCGAGTCATCTCGTCTCCTTGCATCTCAACAACGTCACCTCCAGGAATCTTCGGCATCTTGAAATCTAAAGAAAATATTTAAAAGTGCGAAAGTTTCTACATAGTACGACACAATTATGTCAAAGTTATTGAGAGAGTCTATGAAGTGTATGAGGAAAAGGAAAGATGAAGGTAGTGTGGTGGAGAGTTTGTGGCGATTGAGGCAAGAGAGATGACCTAGAAAAGAATAGAGGCAAAATCAAACAAATCGCCGAGGCACAGGCAAGGCTTTAAAAATCAATTCTCCGGTTTCTTATTTTTTCATTCTTAAACAAAGGGTTTCTCCTCCCCGAAATGCCAAAGATAGTGATAAAATCCGTGATAAAAACTTTGAAAAAAGAAAAAAAAGAGCAAACTATGACTTTTGTTTTAATTAAAAGGTTAAAAGTCTCGTTTTTGTTGCGTTGGCATTGCATTCTTTTTGCCTGAGTGTTGAGAAACGCGGAGAATTGATCGAGACCCAAAAGAGTTTCAAGAAAGGACAAGAAAAAGAGAAACCTTTGAAGCCAAGGGTGACAAAGAGCTTTAAAAAACTATTTCTCATAATTTTTAAAAGCTAGTCGAGATTTTAAACAATTTCAGTTACCCAGCAAAAAAGTAACGATTTAGTAAATTACTGTGATTCAATAAATCCATAATGGCTAAAATTTATCCTATCTTCTTTAGATATCTCTCTAGAGGCCAGATAGATAGGCTAGGTAGGTTTTGATCTTACAGACAGATTCGATCGAAGGTCACAGAGTGGTGACGGGGCTGAGAATGGGAGGCAAACCGAAAGGCAAGAGAAAAGAATAGACGGGAATCGGGAAAGGAAGAGAGTAAAGAGAAAATGGGCGGTGTTGAAAGGAAAAAAGAAAAGAGCAAAAAGCGATCAAATTTATAAGTAGTTTGTGCCCTTAAGTTCATAGTTCTAAGAACAAACCAAACGATCGAAGTGGTGGCAACAAAAGATATGGCAAATTGCCTCAAATTTCCGAAACTCAACGCCAAAATTTGCATTTAGTTTAAAGGAACACAGACAAATTTACTTTTTTCAATGCATTGGAGTTAATGTTTTAAAAGTTTATGAATGTTACGTTATAAACTTTCAAAAAAAGAAACCTGTACTTGTAGTGGCGAGGAATCGAGTAGTGGTCGTATGAGTGGCCTTGAACGAGCCCACAGCCGCATATTGTCGACACCAACTTCGGGCAACCGCCAACATCGAGTCGTAGACACAAAAAGCAGCTCGGATTGATTGTCTACTCTAAGCAATTGGCATTAAACAAAAGTAAAAATTGCAAAAGAAACGAGAAAACACGTGTCGTACCTATCAACTCCGCTAAGCGAATTGAGAACAGAATGAAAAATTTCGTCTTTTTTCTTTAAAAATTAGCTTTGTTGAGTCTATCATAATCCCAATTGTCCACGATATAATTTTCACAATCTAAAGCGAAATTTGCACAGTGAACCTACAATTGAGTGGAAAATAGAAAAATAAACTTAAACTGATTAGAGTGGTAATTGAAATTTAAAATATTGTGGTTAAAGACCAAAAAATGGCATTTGAGTTTGGGCTTAGCTATAGGTAAGACTACGGTAATGTTCGAAAGTTGACACGTTTTAGAAACGCAAGGCCGACTAAGAGTTAGGTAATTAGATAAAAAGTGACTAGACGGAAAATCGTTTGCGACTTTTTGCCTTAAAACTTGGACAGAGTACACATTGCATTGTGACTTAAAGATGGAAAAGAACGGAGAGATGAAAAGAAATGAAGAAATATCAGCTGTTGCTGTATATTGAACAATCGAATAGACAAGAAACTCGTTTCTTTCGTTCGTTTTTGCGAATAAATAGGACAATAGTCAAAGAAATCCCTTCCAAAAGGGCAATCGATTATCAATTCGTCACAAAGATCATTTTGTTCTTAGGCACAAAATAGAATAGCTTTACTCTAAAACTGCTCTACTCTTGATTCAGTTTCGAGAAAACTTTTATTATCTAGCATCAAATGCAATCGATCATCAAAATACAATGAAATACCCGAATTTGGCAAAGACCAACGGAAAAATTTGAGGACAAAAATTGACTCTTGCATGGTTTAGATGACTTTTGAATGGACATTCAAGCTTAAAAGATTTATAATTTTCCTTAGAAATAAAATTTGTAATTACTTTTTATTTATTTTAATACAAAAATTTCTGGCTTTCAAATGATACCAAAAAGAATTCAATTGAAACGACCAGTCTTGAGAAAATCAAATAACTTACACCGTCAGTGGGATTCTACATTAATTCTGCCGATTCTGTTTTGATTTTCTCAGGTTTGATCGTTCCAATCGAGCTGTTTTTGGTATTATTCGAAAGTCAGAAATCTTTTCTCTTAAAATCTGCAAAAAATAAATGCAGATGTTATTTCTAAGGAAAGTTCTAAACCTTTGAAGCTTGACTTGACTTGTCTTGTCAATTCAAAAGTCACCTAAACCGTGCAAGAGCTCAAAACAAAAATCATTTGAGGAAAATGAGAAATCACTGATTTGGAGCAAAGAGAATGCAATGGAGAAAGAGCACAACAAAGAGTTCGAACTGTTGAGGACCCGTTTTGATAAAAGGATAATCGGAAAAGATATCGAAATAGATAAAGAATATAAAATTTGAAAGGATTTCAAATTGAACAAAGCACCCGAGGAGAAAGAGTTTCGAAGATTTTAAAAAGGAAAAGTTTGTGGGAAATCGAGGATACGGTGGGAAGGGTACAAAATAACAAGAAGTGCGGAAAGGAAGGGAATGATAAGAAGTGATGATTGAAGGGTTTGATAGGAATGATTCTAAGAGAAGATCTTGGTTTCTGTACATAAATCGAGTTTTAGACGCCAAGACGTAGTAATGCATTACGGTAAAATCTCCCGTTCCCTCAAACAAACGAAGAAATTCCCGGTGCCGGGGCATTGTGTGAAGGCCAAGACGTGTCACTCGCAGCTCCATCCGAGCTTTCGGGTCTTGTCGGCAAAACTGATGAGCTTTGTCGATCGTATGGTTGCTGTGGTGGGATTCCGATTCGCGGCGGTTGCTCGTTCATTTGTGCCTCTCTTGCACGCACACGACGCCAAGTGGCACTGAAAACGGGGTCGGAGTATAATACTTGTTTATTTACTGTAATTAGCCGAAAATACGGTACTTGGATGCTCTGTGATCTTTGAATGACTGAATATGTAAACTTGTTCCTCACCTATAATGATCAGAATGATTGTAATGTCCAGCAATATCATTTCCCGCATCGACACTTCGTTCACTTCCATCTCCCTCCTCAAATCTTTCTTTTCTCAGTCAATCTTTTTTTCCAAACCTCATCAAATCCATCCGAATCGAATCCATCCGAATTTTCTTGTTGTTCTTGATGGGTACTTCTTGGTGATAAAAGATCAGCTCTTGCTGTTTGAGCGTTTACACCTTTTGCATAAACACTTCCACGAACATCACGACCCGCCAATACCGAGAGTCTGAAAGGGATTCGTTTTGATTTTTGCATAAACCTATAGTTTGAAGCAAAAACAACTCTTATCTTTAGTTTTTACCAGATTTTATCTACTTTTGCCTGCTTAGGATCCTGCTTACATACTGCGTGACAAGATTAGGCAAATTTACAAGAAGTTTACAAGATTATGGTAGTGCATGGAAATTGGCGCATTTTAGAAAAACGCTAGCGTAAAATAGAAACTGGTGAATATTTTCTTACTACCGTAACCCAAACAACTGCTACACAAACCGTTGCGTGTTCGCCAAATCGTTCATCCTCGGCATGATGTCCGTGGCCAAATGTCCATACATGTTAGGCACTCCATTTCCCCCTCCACCCAATACACTTCCATATGTGGGTGGTTCTCTATCAGATATCCACGAGGTATTCGTCCCTGGTCTTGTCAACGGTTCATTTCTGCTTCGACTTATCCGATCATTGCTTTGTTTCAAATGGAATGTTGCCAGATTTCCATCAGCCAGCTGGAGTGAATCGATGCTGTGATGGCGCTTCTTTTCTCTGGAATTCCATTGATGAAAGTTTTTGGAAGTAAATTTAGAACTAAAATAGCATAAAAGTTTTCATAAACATACTTCTTTGCACTTCCCGTGATGCAAAGAAAGGCGACGACCAAAATGATGACAATCAATGTGGCCATCCCAACAATTGCAATGAACCAAAGTTTTGCATAGAACGGATCCTCGGGTAATGAAGCTAAACAAGCTTATATTATCTATGATATGTGAAACAGAATTGTATAGAATAAAATCTAAAAAGTCAAAACTTTCACTCACCCGGCACAAATAGTTGATCACTTTCGGGACTCGCTTTCCCGACTCCCCGGCGATTCCGAGCGAAAATCCGAAAAACGTAGTACGATGAGGCGACAAGATCATGATAACTGATCTAAAATATTCTTAGATACAAAGAAGAATCATTTTCAACCTCGAAACTAGTGGCTGTTCCAATTGTGGTACTCAATGTGACCCATTCACCCATTCGATGAGTCGGCACATCGTACGAAGCTCTGCGGATACGTTTTTCCGGGGAAATCGTCTTTTTTGTCGTTTCCTGAAGTTTGAAAAGTATGTTTCCTTACAGTTTTTCAAATTTATCAGTAGATATCAAGTTCTGTACCGCATTGGCCACGCGTTTGGCTTGGATTAAATGTCCAAGTACTCCATCAGCAATCACTGTCCCATCAACCCATTGAAGAGTGATCGATGTATGGCCGGAGATCGCTCGGGGTCGCATTGGAGCCACCGGGCCATCTGAATTCGATTCTTTTGCAAAAAAACTTTCATTGATACTTAGTCCAAGTATCCTAAGCCAAACGAAATCAGGATTGGACCTGGCTTCTGTCCTGGACCAGGTATTCAAGTTATTCCAGCTTCTTAGTAAGTAACCAATCTTGAGATTCTAATATCAAGCTCATATCTTATGGCCATTCCCCGATTTCCTTACCTGGAGCCGATCCAATCGTTACATTGCCGCTCCTTTCCGGACCAGCTCCAGCGCTCGTCTCTGCGTGAACCTAAAAACTTTAGCATAAAACATAACTTTCAATTCATTATATCTGTCATTTATAGCCTACAGTCCTTTTTTAATTTTAGTCCTTTCTCTCACCGAAAAGAAATAAGTGGCGCCTTCCTCTAATCCAGTCACAACGATGAACGGCATTTGCGTGGGCTGTTTGATGTTCTTCAGGAATTCATCCTAAAAAAAAAGAATTAAGATCCTAAAGGTAATTATTCGAATTTACTTGTAGCTTTGACGTGTAATAGTTGACAATATATCGAACGATTCGTCCATTTGGTCGATCGGGGACACTCCACGAGACATTGACACTGTCGAGGAGGATATCCTCGAAAATCAGACTGCCGACTGGGCCTGAAAATTGAATGAATCGAATGAATCGAATTTTGAATTGGATTAGATTGAACTCGACTACGCTTGGTTACGGTAGCTTTCAAAGTTTGATACGTTTTAGAAAGCTCGTTATTTAAAGAAACCATTTTCTCCTTACCCGGCACATCTTGCAGCGTCGTCTCCCTCACGACGGCCATTCCCCCTTCTCCAGCTCGATTATACGGCGAAACCGAAATCTAAATAAACTATTTTATCCAAAATTCCCCATTTTATTACCTGATATTGTGTATATTTCATCAAATCCGTCAACAGAGCTGTGTTATTCTCCACAATCAACAACTGTTCTTCGGTAGATTGACGAGATAGCACCGAGATCAACGGCACGTATCTGATCTGAAAGAAGGCTTTAGCTTGAATCTCATCACTCTAAACCTTGAATCCAGTTATAACATCATCTTTGTCTTCCCATTTGTTCCAATTCAATTTTATCGATGTACTTGATGATGGCTCAGCAGTTAGCCCGGTTACATTGCCGCGGGGGATCGAGAAACTGAAGAGGAAATGGTTCAAAACCTTTGAAAATGTCCAAAGTACCATATTCTTGCCAACTACAGTAAACTTGACTAAAAGTAATCAGCTAGCAAAACTCGATATCTCTAAGTAAAAGCATCCAGTCTTTTAGTTGAATACTTTTCAGATTACTGTAAAGAGTATAGATGTTTCTAGGCCCTGTAAGGATACCGGGAGTCTACAGTATCTTCAAACGCTTCAATAACAAAATTTCCTTTACCCAATATAGACAAAAACGGGCGTCGTCGGATCGGAGACACCTTGTCCATTCAAAGATCTCATCGTGACAATATAGTGTTGAAATCTGAAATTGTTCGTTGAACTAGTTAACCTAACGCAATCTCTATTCCATTATCTGAATCTCGACCTTCTCAATCCTCTAATAATCGTTTGTTCTCTCGCCTCGTGATCATGCCTCGGGGCGATCTCGGAGCTCTGCCAGCTTTCATTTGATGGATACACCCGATACGAGATTCGATAGCCCAAGACATCCGAATTCCAATCAACTCTGGAATTTCATTGCTTGAATATTTTATCTTTTGCTCACCTCTCGGGAGTTGTCCACTGCAGTAAAATGCCGTCATTCTCAAAGGGAGCTGTCGTTATTTGTGATGGTCCAGCGGACGGGCGATCACCCAATGTCTAAAGTGTTTGTTGGTGAAGATCTTGATCTTGATATCTAGCTTCAGATAACATTTCAAAATCTGAATTCACTTTCCAACCTTTATCCATTCACTTTCAGCACTCCAAGTCGATTGGGCGAAATCGCCTCGGAAACGGATCCGAACTCGATACGGAGTATTCGGCAATAATCTAGATTCATTCATCAATCTTTTTAGATACTAGTTTGCATTTTATGAAATTAGCATTGGAAAAATGCTCATTGTTTAAATTAGTCATAGCTTCGAAAATCTGAATTTAATCAATCAATTATAGTAAATCAATATAGTAAATCAATCAATCATAACCGACTCGATGCAAGAAGAAGCCTAATTTTTTAATTGCTAATTGCAAAAAAGCAAATTTGAGGAGAATGGGAATTCATGTTTTTCTTCTAATCCTAATTTCAAATCTAATTTTTATTTCCTTACCGTTTAATCGTGATTCGATTTTGTTTCGCCGTGATCGAATCCGAGTAATGAGTCCATTCGTCATCGTTCGCTTTTTGATATTCAACCTGGGATTTGAGAGAAATTGATGCGCTAGATTGTTAGGGACTTGATCATGAGTGAATTTAAAAGTATTTAACTTGGATTTAACTCAAATTTGACATGTTTGGGACAGTGCCATCACAATCACTACAAATAAACTCTAGCACTCACCTGGACAAAACGAATTGGCGCATCTTCATTCGAAAAAGTGATTTCCGGCCATGTTACGTAGATTTCTTTTGATGAGAATGGCCGTTGATCATCGCATTTTGGAGGAGGAGGGTTTTTGAGGGGCACTGCAAGAAAGTCGATGGTTATTGGACATTTGCCCCTTTTGCCATCAGCAATCTAACTTTAAGCTCAAATATCTTGGTGTTCGGCTGTCCAATTTAAATATTCTTGGTATCATTAGATGTGCCAAGTCTTTCTCTATCGATTGGTATAAAAAGTATTTAAATTGAACAGCTCAGCGCCAAGATATTTGAGCTCAAAGTTGGATAAATAATATTTCTTGGATTATTACTTTAACTAAAGAAAAGAAAGATTTAAAAACGAGTAAAGGCAAGATTACGGTAGTTAGGCACATTTTAGGAAACGCTTTTTTTGAAAACCATTACAACTTACGTTGAATGCTCGTTGTTTTCACTTCAACTTCCGCTTCCGGCCCGAAACCCATCGGATTTTCGGCTTTAATTGTGAAACGGTATCTGAAAAAAAAGATAGTAAAGCTATCATAATCTTTTTTTTACTAAATATTACAGTAGTTTACTTAAATTCCCCTAAAACCCATTTTTCAAAGGCTACCTCGAATTGGCGTCAAGTCCATTTGCTGAAAAGCCGAAACTCGTCGATTCAATGGGGACGGTAATCGATCGATCAATTTCTGACTCTTTCAAATCATCCACACGCACATAGGTGACAATGTATTTCTTTAAAGTTATCGTTTTAAAATATATTTTATTCTGTCTACCGTAATCCTTCCATTTGGATTCGCTGGTGGAAGCCATCGTAGACGAGCCTCGCCTTCGCTCACAAACGAGAAACCGACATTTTCTGGCTCGGTTGGCACTGAAAGTGCATTTTGTACTCGTTTCTTTGTGACGTAAACGCACTCTTTCTGGCGCACTCAATGAGAAAAAGAATGATGGAAATTATACACAATCAGTTACTTGTAGAATTGTTAACCAGCTTTCGATTGTACTATAGTTTGCCCAATTACAGTATTACCTAACTCTAGCAAATATAAACTGCATGATGTGTTCTTTGTGCTCGCGCCTGGAAACGCATCCTTTCTGATGCACTGAGTTCTCTATTTTCTCACACCAGCGCTTTGGAGTTGAGAGAAGACTTCAGTGGACCAGATCGATTGCGTTTACATACTTTAGCAGAAAGTACATGATCAATTTTCACTTACAATCGACTCCAGTCATAATTGTGGCTGGAATTGAATTCTCCGGTCCATCGCCGATCACTGTGTGAGCCGAGACAAAAACATTGTATGAAGTGAATGCTCTGAAAGATAATTTCTTTTCGAAAATGTCAAAAACTATCGCCTTTCCTTTTTTGTTGTCTTTTTAGATCTTAGAATTTTAGATTTAGATTTTAGATTACATTATCCTTTGTAAATCCCACAGAGTCAAAAATAGATAGATTAGATAAAAGCTGGAGCCAAGATTACGTAGCTTTTTAAAAAGGACACGTTTTAGAAAACGCTTTCATTTAGATGAAAAGCTATTTGAATGGCACCTCAAATCATTGATCTTCAATTTGATCGTCTTTTCCCCATCAACTTCAATCGTTTTCTCGTATTCCGTTCTCAATTCCGGCTTCTCGGCGGGACTTATTCGAACCTAAACAGTGAATTTCTCTATTTATCTCATTTTTTTTCTACCTTGTATCCCATAATTTCCCCATTTCTCATTTGTTCTTCCACTTGATTCCACTCAATCAAAATCGTCGTTTGAGCGTTCTTTTCGAGAGTTGCCTGAATGCATTTCTTTCGTTTATTTTGTTCATTGCTAAGAATTAACGTCTATACTACATAATCTATTCTATTGTATAAAGTGTAAGAAGTTGATTACTGTATACGCCATAATATAGATTACCTTTATATCTGTGGGTGCTCCCGATGGAATACTCTCATAAGTTTTCGCGAATGTCTTCCCAGTCGGTGCCGATTTCCCGATGTTATTCTCAGCGAAGAAATCGACTTCATAAAGAGTGAATGGCCGGAGATCTCTCAACGTAAAATCGGTGGCTCTCAATGAGGAAATGCGGATCTCTTTCTGGAATCATCCTCTTTCATTTTTTTTCTTTATTATTTATCAAACCCAATCTTGTGTATTATTCTGTCGATAGGTGATCAAATATCCACTCGGATGTCCATTCCATTGCCAATGCTGAAGTGGAGTCCATGTGAGGACTAAAGCCGTGGCGGAGATCGGCTCGAACCATAGCCTGGATGATGGAGACTCGGGAATCGTGGCTTTTGTCTAAAAGATGGATACAGTGCGCGTTTTCTAAAGAGTTTTAATCCCTTAAACTACCGTAACCCTGTCTCAAACCGGATTACGGTAGCCTTGACACGTTTCCGGAAACACTTTTAGCTACCTCAAATGTGGTTGTTGGCTCAGATGGGAGACTCTTTCCGACGACATTCTCCGCGATTATTCTCAATTGATATCGGGTCTGAAATTTTCTTTTATCAAGATTTTAAGAACACCATGGCTCACAAGGGAACCTTCCCAAGTTACCCGCGAGTTACAATATGAGATAGGTACCAAAAGAGAGGCCTGAGAATGTACGCTCAGAAACTGTTTTCAAAAACCGCTAATCGGCAAAACGCACAAAGTTATAGTCGTTTGAATTTCGAAAAAATGAAGGCTTTTCTCGAATTTCTGGCAAATTTTCAATTTCTTTGGGTACCTACCTCATATTGTAACTCGCGGGTAACTTTGGAAGGTTCCCTTGTCAGCTCTGATCATCGAGGTGCACTTTGTGATTAAAACACACCCTTTCTAGCACACTCAAGCCTAGATTTCTCCAAGACCGAATAATTGAGTACACCAGAAAGGATGTGTTTACATTTTTAAGCACAAAGTACTCTGCTGAAAACAAATTTTTGAACTCACATATGGCCGGAGACCGGTGACATTCAATGAACGAGCTTTTGGAGAACTGAAAATGAGAAGATGAGCTTATTTCAAATGGATTAAGTACCTGATATTGAAAAGAGTGTGATAGATGCTACTATCCCCGATACGACCCTCGACAATCCATTGACTAAAATAGAAATTTTTCAATTTTTCTCTAACAAAATACCGAATAGCTGTGTGTCCATCGAATCCGGGGAGGAATTGCAGAAGCACGGATCGGGTTGAGATTGAAGAAATTGATAGAGAGCTTGGACGACCGGGTAACTCTGCAAATGAAAGTCTAGATAACATACAAAACTCACGGTATCCAGTTGTAAAGAATTGAAAGATAAAATGAAAGTCAGTCTTAACTCTAACTCATGTTTTTATTTCCTTTATTTGTGCCGTCAAAGCTCTCTAAGATGTAATCGGTATTAAAGATGTAAAGTCAAGCCTAACTGATATTAAATTCTCTTGCGATTCTAAAGCACTATTCAGAAATACCCATGGACTCTAAAAGGTCTTCTTTATTGTACTTCGAGGGTCAACCTTGACCCTTTCTCCATTTCTACCTGGCGGCACTCCACTCTCGAATCTCGTCTCTGACCACGGTCCGAATCCTTTCGATGTTTTTGCCCGTATCTCCACAACGTATTGTGTGGATGGTTGAAGAGATTCCAATAATATTTCATGTTGTTCTCCATTCAATTGCAAATTCTTCTTATCCTCCGAATTATCGTTTCTCCAATAGCTGAATTCTTTCCTATTTAATATTTTTCCTTTGTCACTCACTTCATTTCATAATTGATGATCTTTCCATTCGCTTCTCTTGGTTGATTCCATTGAATGACTGCACTGTTTGACATGATTTGATCATGATCTATTCCCAAATCTGCTACCAATCCCGGAATGTCTTCCTGGAAATATTATCATGTAAAATTGACATCATTAAAAGATTTAACTCAATTTTAAGATGTTTGATTACTAGCCATTTACACTGTGAAACGTTTTCACATAGAAAGTTCATTATGGGTTGGATAAGCAAGTCTTTAAAGAGAATGTGACTCATTTTTTACAGCACTATGTCTGAATAAAGAGCTTCAGCTCGGATTGGATCTAAATATCCCCTCGGCATCCACTCGGCACTCCACAGAGATTTTAATTGGAGCCTTATCCCCATTCAATTAGATTTGATAAAACCCAATCTGTCGAACGTCTAATATCTGGTAAAAGGCCACTTTTACAGTTGGGACAAAAGAATGCAGTCTTGTCGGTGAAATGTTTTTCATTCTCACTCACTTCAGTAACCACAAGAACAGCATCACTCCGTGGCCCATCTCCGGGACTCGTATAACAAAGAACAGTCACATTATAATGTCCCCATTTCTCCAAGCCGTCAACGATCACTGAAATCTCGGATCCACTTGGATAGAGATCTTCTTGTTTATAGAGTACGCCGCGGCCCGGTGCTCCTTTCCAGAATTGTACCTAAATTGATTTTAATTTTTATTTGATATCAAACTCAACTTTATATCCAAGATTCACTCCAGGAATTCGTTGTTGATCGGGTGCTATGAATGATAGGGAAATCGAGGTTGAGTTTATCGATTTCGCTTCCACTTTTTTTGGTGATTGGGTGGGCACTGAAAGGTTACAGGGGTTATTTTGATAAAGCTGTGCATATGTCTAATTTTTTTTGGGAAAATTTTCCCTTGAATTTTGCTGTATTTTTGCAACAAATTCTATAGCTTGTTACACCATTGTGTTTGCTTCAACAGCAGCTAAGCTGGAAGAAGAATTTGATCTAAATTGAGCGTGTTTTCTCCTGATTCTCTTAGGACTGTGTGGTCCAATCAAATTCTATTTCATATCATTAAATCGTTTATATTATTTTAAAGCACTAAGCATGAAATGTCTGAAATCATCAAGCCCATTACAACTATATGAAAATTTAACAATAATATTATCTCCGAGAAAAGTTATAGACGATCAAAGGCTCGTTTTGATGCTTGACAAACCTCCCTCCAGTGTTGTCACTTCAATGCTATTGCTGAAAACTCCCAAACCACGGTGGTTGTAAGCGGCTATCTGGAAAAGATTGAATTTAACTTTTCGCAAATCAGATCTCTATTGTTTTCAAAAAGACATCTATTTTAGCTGTCAGTTTTCATTTTATCGACTGATTTTTGCATTATTAAACCTTGTGTTTTCCCATCGAATGATACCAAAATTGGGGTTAGGCTAATTTCCGCTATTTTTTTTTTGCGCAACAGGGTCATTTGCGCAACTCGCCATAACTTTCTTCTAAGTCGGCCAATCTTTATGATTTTGGTTTCATTTTGTTGCACTTATTGAGATCTACAAAATGAAACCAAAATCATAAAGATTGATGCATTTAGAAGAAAGTTATGGCGAGTTGCGCAAACTATCCTGTTGCGCAAAAAAAAATAGCGGAAGTTAGCCTACCCCCAAAATTGGGCTAATGAAATGAAAACTGCGGCTAGATTAGTGCCTTTTAGAAAACGCATCAATCGAGACATACAGACTAGCATACTACCTATGCTTCAAAGTAGTACGGAAACCTATCAAATTATTCTCAAGCTCGTTATCATTAATCGTTAATCGTTACCTGTATCTCATACGTTCTCCATGTGATTAGCGGGTCAATCTAAACAATCTCTTCGTTTTTGTTATTCTAAAGTTCTCTACCGGCATAACTCTGGATAAAGTATTCGTGATGTTCTTCTCGTTCCACGGTAAAGTATCATAGCCAGCGAGACGATATCTGAAAGAACCATCAATTTTTTTTTCACAATTAACTATGCCTAATGATATATCCAAGAATATCTCCATTCCATTGTTCGGATGGCGGTGGTTGCCATTGAACGACAACTGATGTTGAGGAACGAGCGCTTGCGACAACACCTGTTGGGGCTGAGGCAGGCGGTTGTTGAGGCATTGTGATATTATTCGTTGACACTGACGGGATACCGGAACCGTGTCTGGAAAAAGATTTCGACTTAGAAAGGTACTTGATGCTTGTGTACGATATCTCGTAGATCAAGCAAGTGATTTCAAATCTATGATTTGCCCGGTTAGCTCTCTTGAAAGCAATTTTAGATCCCAAGACTGTGACTTTGACCCCCAGTATCTGTATCAAACTATCAAGTATCTGTATCAAACTGTATCAAAAAGGTATACTGTAGCCAACAGGTGCACTGTACCCTCGTTCCAAATCCCTTTATCTCACCTATTCACGGCGACCACACGAAACTCGGCTGTAATCGATGGTTTGATGTTATCGATCAGCCAAGAGCAACAATTCTGAAAGAGTTTGTTTTTAGAGATAGATGTAGCATTCGAAAATCAAAAGAGTTCAAAACTATTAAAATTCTACTTCAGGTGGCACCGAATTGACGACATTCTCCCACACTCCCCATTGATTTGTCGGGCCGAGCGTTCGCGTTTGAATGAAATTATGAAGAATCGGGGAGTTCCCATCAAAACCTACAAATGGGCCACTTTATTTAACACTTTTTTACAATAGCCAACAACTGTACACTGTTGTTTTTGCCGTACTCTTTAAACATCTTTAAAGCTACTGTAGCTGTTGCAATGATAGAGTATCTTGAGTATGAATGGCTATCTTGAATAGATGAAACTTGAAAGTACTATGACATTGTAGTGTACTGTAATTAAGTATTCTAGTGTACTGTAGACCTGGAAGGTTCCAGTTTCCCAACCTTGTTTCCAAGAGACACGAATTTTCGCGGGAACCGTTTCATTCATCAGCAAAGCATTCACCGCAACGGGCATCGATGGACGTTCTAGAGTTGAAATAGTTAAGAAAAGTACAGTAACTCTTATTACAATAACCTAGATAATTACAGTAACCCTTAGTAGAGGTTATTTGCTTTTTAAAATTTATGAAACTTGATTGAAAGTCTTATTTCTTATCTCACCAATAATCCTCAACCACGCCGATTGTGTCTGCTCGATTTCGTTGTACCGAATCGTACATCTAAACACCAATCATAGCTTTGATTTTCTTTTTCCTATATCACTTGTATTCTCCAATATTATCCGGTCCAACTTGGCTGATCAGGAGACGATTTTTTCGTTGCGTAATCCGAAGACCGTTGTTGCCCGAGAAACCGATTGGTTCGTCCTGAAATCTTGCCACATTTATCCAATTTATCCAAAATATTGCGATTTTTTTATAGATTTAGCTAAGATTTCCAATTTAAATTATATTTCTCAAGAAAACTCACATTCAACGACCATGACACTTCGACTTTTTCGCTTAAATCCTTGCTTGTCTCACACGGGATCTCAATATTTGTCCCAATCAAAATACTCTGATTTGTCGGCCCGTTCTCGATTAACGAAATACCTGAAATGAACAATGAATAGAGCTCTCGATTTCTCTGTTACCAATGACATTCATTCTCGCTGATGCCTCGATGGATCCCTTTGATGTTTCGGCAACGCAGATGTATTCTCCTTGATCGGATGTCTGAAAGAATTCGCTCACTTTATGAGATTCATGAGTTAAATGGCACAGTAACAGTAATATCTGACACTAACAGGCACCACCACTAGATTATGAATGTACAATAAGTACTATTAGAATCATCGCATCGACTATCGTACCTTAATAGAGCTGATCGTGAGCCGTTCTCTCGTGATCTCGTATTTTGATGACTCTCCCCGGATCACTTTCCCATTAAACATCCATTTCATTCGCGGTTTCGGTGTGCCGTCAGCAGAACAGTCAAAAGTCACCTAAATATTTCAATTCAATGATGCAACTGCTTTCTCCTTACCTCATCCCCGATTCGCGCCTCTTTATCCACTGGTTTCCTCGTGAATGTCAATGGAACGATAGTCTCATTTGTCGATCGTTCAAGCGATGAATCCTCGAACCCCCAAAGGTTTTCCGATTCTAAAGTGATTAAGGTAAATCGTTGTTTTGCTTTTTCAAAACCGATTCGCTCTTTTCGTTTCTCATTTGTGAGTGCCTCGTGGATCCAAATGGTCGACAATGTTGTTCCTGCTTGATTCGTTCCCTCACATTGATAGATACCAAAATCTTGTTGATTTACGGAAGACAAGGTGATTATCCCATCACGAGTGTCAAGCTGGAAAAGAAATCGGATTGCTTTGACTGTACAGGATTTGAAGATTTGAAGATCTGCTATCCTATATCCAGCATTAGCAAAAAGGGCCAAGTCAAGCCAAGCTAAAGTTTTTGAATTGGCCTGAAATTCCAGTCTCTCATTGGATTTGGCCCCTAAAATTTTGGCTTTGACTTGCTTGAAAATTTGGAAATTAACCCTGACTCTGCCTTTGAATCGATCTTTTTATTTTTTCGATTTTCTATTCACAAATTTCTCTCTAGTTTTAAGCTGCAAACCCTTTGGGAAAGTATTTTAAGAACCGGTCATGGCATGAAGAAGAGGAGAAGTGGAGGAATAGGAAGAAGGAGGTGAATTTGGATCACTGAGAAAAAAAGGGGGGCTCTTTGGAGTACAAGAAGAGTCTCAGCCTCAGCCTTCCTCTCCGCGCCTCATTTCGAGTGAAAGTCTGACAGTCAGTCAAAGCAAAAGACCTCCATGAGGAGTGAGAAACGTATTCAATCGAGTGAGTCTATCGAAAAAAGCGAAGAAATGCTGAAGTGAGAAATGCTTGTGAAGTGGAATGAAGGGGAGAGTACAAATCAGGAAAAGTCAACCATGGAATATCCGAGAGAAAACAGGAAATGAAGTGAGAAAAGTGAGGATTTTCATTTAAAAGCACTCACCATTTTCCCGTTGTGCCACCACCGGATCTCGGCCGGACCGAAGCCATCTTTCAGCGAGCATTTCACGTGGAGATTCTCGCCGATCGTTTTGATCAGCTCACTCGGGAGGAGATTCAGTTGTGGGTTGGCTGAAATGAGGAAAGGGTTATAATAAAGATAATAAAGTGTACTATAACTTTTTAAGATATTCAACTTGATATTAAATGTTCGAAATCCTTTAAACAAACCAATGACTCGTAAAACGGCCGTCTTCTCATCGAAAACTCTTCCACCCAGCGCATCGCACCGACAACGAATCGACAAAGAAGATTTATTCTGAAATTTGAAAATCATTTTTTGATAAGTTAAACTTTTAAAGTCTTAAATGAATATCTTTATCTTAATGAATATCTTTATCTTAAATGAATATCTTTATCTTAAACGAATATCTTTATCTTAAATGAATATCTTTTACCTTTATCAAATCACTGTTTTTCTTGATGACAAGTTGCCGATTGAGCTGGTTGAGTTTGACTCCTGATGAATCGTCATTTATTGGTTGATCGTCGATAAACCAATTCACATTCACCCCAGAGCTGAAAATATGAATTCAGAAATGAAAAATGAATTCAATTTACCTATAACTTGGCACGCAATCCAATATCGTTTCTTTCGTTTCTTCGTTCAGAATCAAATTCGAGTCTGTTGGACCGTAAACGATCGAGAAGTTGTTGATCTGGAAGCAATTCATTCATTCGAGAAATTATGACAACATTGTTGTAAAAGGATAACTCAATATAGCTGAATACCCCCGACGAATCGTCATCGTCATGTGATCAGTTAATCGTCGATAAACCTTTACAGTAAAATAATTGGATACAAGGTTACAGAAAAGCTTATAAAATGTAATATGACTGAATATCTTTTATAAAGAACCTTTTGTCCTTTTGGTGATGGATTGATGGAGACAAAATAGACGCCCGATGCCGCCTCGCCGAGGTGTTCCTCATAAGCGGTCACACTGAAAGGTGAAGTGGGATTTCAAAAAAGTTATAAAACATCAATGCTACCGTAGTCCCTAATAGAAGCATATACTTCGAAAGGGATCAAATTTTGGCTAACTTGATAAGAAAGGGATTTTTGTATAGCTAAAGCAAAGAAAAAAAAAGACCATTCGATTGTAATGGATAAGTCGATCAATGCGTATAAACGGGAGAAGTGTAATCGATTCAGTTCTGCTTTGCAAAATCCATAGACTTCTATCAGAAAGCAACTGTAGCTTTTGTTTCCTTTTGGCCAACTTGATAAAGAGTTTTTAGAGGCTAAGCATACTAAAGGGACTATTGATTCATGGATTCAATTGTAATGGCTAAGTAAAGTTGAGCCTTGATATCACGATACTATCGTTATATTAAGATTTTCTTTCTATAGACGGCTAAAGCTAGTTTTCTAACAAGAAGAAGATAGAAACGGGTGTTGTCCTATAGAGATATGGAGTGTCCCATTTACATGTTGCCAACCACGCCAAATTATCCGGTCAAATTGTCTTTGGCTTTAAAAATAGAAGGCCATTTTGAAGTCTATAGATTTCAACTGGTCAAGACTTTCTTGTTTCATCTCTTTTCTCACCGATAACTTCCATCAGCGCGGTGATCGTCAAGCACAATAAGATCCCCGTTTCCGGTGACGTAGTGCGTCAAATTCGATGAAATCTGAAAGAATTCACGAATTGGTTTTCTTATGCTTGTTTTACTTGCATTGTTTCCTTATTTTTCTTTCACTCCCCATCTGTATCCACTTGAGATCTCTTTCTCAGGCAATTCTTTTTCCCAAATATCTCAAGCAATCACAAATTTACATCTGTTTTCGAGGCTATCTACAAAAAGAGAGAGGCTATTAGGACTAGTCATTGACCCCGACCAAGTAGTGAATGGGAAGAGGAAGGGAAGGGAAGAGAACGGAAAGAGAAGAGATTGAGAGGAAATGGGGGAGAGAGCTTTTGATCCGAATACATGAATGAATGCTTGTGAGTGTGTTGGGGTGTCTGTGTGAGTAATGTACAGAATGGGCAATGAGAGAGAGAGATATGGGGGAAGGGGAGGACTCTGCCTTCCACAATCGCCAAATAAGCGGGGGGTACAAAAATCGATATCCCGAACCCTTTCGCCCATATTTGACCCTTCCCATCTCCCCCTTTTCAGCCTTAGCCTTAGATCTCTGCAATGGGAATATCCCCTTTCTCTACCAGTATTTGCTGCTTCTTTCTCATATGTCCTACTCTAAATAACTGGTTTACTGGCAAAAAGCCAAAAGGACTAGTCTCAAACCCATCTATATAGCACAATCAACATGCTTTTGACTCTGACTCGGGGGAAAAAACGCGCAGGAAATTCACTTACCCGCTGGATATCCGAAAGAGATTGAAAGTTGAAAAAAAAGACTCACTTCAATGTCATTTCGATACCAAAAAAACGTTGGGCGGATTGCGTTTGAAGCGATCAATTGAGGACGTTTAAGAATGAATGGAGAATCCGAATGGGAATCGATCGTTTGATCGTTACTGTCGGCAAAATCGTGAAGATCTGGAAATGGGATGAGATTTTAGGGATTTCAAGAAAATAGCGCGATGAAGTTTTGGTAGTTTGGAAGTTCAGTCGGCTAGTTTATGGAGATTTAGAAGTTCTATAGGCTATAGAAAAGTTATCCAATTAGTCTATTGGTCATTAAGAATTAAGATCTTGAACATAAAATTTATGGTATTAAATAGAAAAAGAGTAGACAGATTGATTTCAGAATACACAAGACAGTTTTTTGCTCTAACTATCGATGTTAAATCAAGTATTGTAAAAGATAGACTTGACTATTTGTTTATTATTGCCAATTTGTTTACACTAATCACATTTCAACAAGTTTTCCCCCCTCGAAATCCTTCATTTTCTTCTTTTCTCCCCCCTTCAGATCGGTTTTCTTCCGGTCATCGAGAAGTCTTTTCTTTTTCTTTTTATTCCCGAGATGGAATGGGGGTTCTGCTTCGAGGCGATACACAAATATTTGTGGACGCTTCCCCCTGCAATTCGCCTTTTTAAAGCCTAGAAAGCGATACAACCCCTCCACATCTTTCCCTTCAATCCCTCAAACACCTCGCCTATCTAATCACAAAAAGATTCACCACATTTGATTATGGAAAGTGTACGCTCAAAAATAACCGTAATGCTCGAAAAAGCGCGCGCGTTCCTTGACTTAATAAGTTTTCTAAAGCTCATCGGTTTAAATCATCCCTCTTGTTTTCATCTATTCTAGATACTTTTGGAGCTTTCGATATTCTTCGTAAACCCCGTCACAGAATCAGACCTAAAGTAATGGATTGGATCTAGAGTGAGACAAGATTACGGTAGTTTTTAAAAGTTAAAAAGCTTTAGAAAACGTATTGAGAAGAAAACTGTAGACTCACATTGCACCGAGACAATAAAAACTTGAAGAATCGATGCTCCAAAACTGTTCTTTGCCACACAATAATATGTTCCCGAGTTCTCGATTGAAGCCTGCGGGATTTGAAGAACCTGAAATTTGGTGGTTCTTTCATTTTTCAGATTTTTCTACCTTTGATGATTCGATATTCTCTCGTCCTTTCAACCATTGATATTCAACAGGACTCAACGTTTGAGGGCATTCAAGTTGAAAAGGATTACCCTCATTCACCTGAAATGCTTTCATAGACAAATCCCGATGGTGTTATCAATGTTAGTGATTCTATAGATATCCAGATGTCCATCGATTGATTCAACAAGCAAAACTTTCACGTACCGTTAAATAAATGCTTGGCGTGAGATTTCCGACCAATGGCGGTTGACCACGAATAATATCCAAAAAAGCCGAGTGAATAAATATCAAAAACAAAAAGAATATCGTCCTCATAATTTCCGGTGGTCGAAACGCATAACGAGAGTGAGATAACAAATAAAAGAAGGTTCTTCTGAAATTTGAATGACTCATTTCCCGCCCTAATCACACATTTGAAGGCTCCAAAAACAAAACCAATTCAAAATTGAGTGAGGAAAAAAGTTGGCAAAAAGCCCTTGAGGGCATGACGAGATAAATGAGGAGATATGCGTTTCAACCGCCTAAAAAAATGTTATGCTGAAGAACTCGTGTTTGTTGTTGTCCAGTTTAAAGGGTTCTAAATCGACTTATTGGATGAGTCTAAATTAACAAACTACTTACTAATCAGCTATGCCAAGAGAGCATGAAAATTTGACGAGGAAGCGATTTGAGCGAAATTTTTTAAAATTCCAGATCTACATCGGCTAAACCATGCAGAATTCAAGAAAATGAGTCTGCTTTGGGCTAAAGAGGATACAAAAAATGAGGGCGCGTTCCAGAGGTGGGGATTTTGTGGCGAAAAGAGCGCAAAAGAACCATGATGGTAGCACACACCCATGACACTACTCACACAGCCACAAGGGCGAAAGAAGAGGGAAAAGAAAAGAAAGGGGCGGAGTTTCCGCCACGCATCCCCTCTTCGACTCTCTGTATCGCTAATAGACACCCTCTATAAAGGGTATCGGACGGTTTCATGGTTACTCGAATGTAGTGGTTGATGCCAGTGGGCGCAAAAATTTGTTCACCGGTACTTGCCACAAGGGATTTAAAAACACCAGAGCTGCGTGTTATCAAACACATGTACCATGTAATGTTCATTTACCTACCTAGGTATATGTAATTTAGGAAACAACAATTTATTAACAAAAATTTTTTTTTAACGAGATAATGGTTTATTTTTCATCCGATAAGGGTAGATGCCGTGCTGCTCTCATACCTCCAAGATGGTGGAAGCGTTTTGGAAGTTTTATAGTAACGGGCAAGACGGTGGATTCGACTTTCGACAAGAATCAATCTGTACTTGGAATCACGGTCCTTGCGGCATCGCTCGAGATGTTTCCTGATGCTGACGGCCTTTTTCACCAAATGATAAAGATCTTCGGGGATTTCGGGAGCCATACCCTAAAATCTACAAATGAATTGTGAAAGTAAAATTTATAAGATTACTTAGATAAATTTTTTAACGCTATTCTCAAGTTTAAAAATTCGAGGAAAAATATGGTGTTTGACTAAATACAATAGTTTAATGCGTACAAAAAATCAAACAAAATTTTACCTTTGCTTACGCAGTTCAAAGTAAAAGCCTACCTTCGCTTTGAGAATTCTAACAATCTTGTTTCCGGTAATGCGGCGCACTTGAGCAACTCCATGTGAGTCACGAAGCAACACGCCGATCTGGGATGGCCGTAGACCCTAAACAAAACAAACTTAGGTAATTCTTTGGAACTGGAATAAGAAGTTAAGTGTCTTTCAACTACATATCGCAAAACTTGTAAGGCCTATTAAAATTTGCGTGGTAGAATTAAAACAAAAGCTACCTTTTTCGCAATTCGGCAGATGTGGTCGACCACCTCTTCACTGCTCATCTTCAACCACGTTGGAACGGAGCGGCGATACGGTAAGGCCGATTTGGCCATACCCTTTCCGGGATTATGCATACGTCCCATTGCTAGTCGATTCGTTGGTTTACTCGAAAAATAAAACAATACGTGGCAATTGGTAAAAAACAAATTTAGCTCGAAAATGAAAAAAGGAAAAGTTTTCTAGATCATAAGTTATCCCCTATGAAGGTTCACTGACAAAAGAAAGCTTTTGAGGCATACTATTGTCTAACAAAGAGCATTTTGGTCGAAAGTAAAACACTAGCGGGTAGTGCTTAAAAAGCTTCAACTGCGTGACTGATACCAAACATAACGCGGAAATGGGGTAGATTTATGCTCGGCTACGATAATAAGGGCGCGCTTTTGTAATAGACAGTTACAATGGTTACAGTAAGATTTTTCACAGCTTGATCAAATCAATCAAATCAAAGTCATAAAATGGTGAAGCTAAATAAGAGAAGTTGTCGCTAATGGTAAATCGGAGCAAGCTTTGCATTTGTCAAGCCCAAATTAACATCCCAAATTCAAATAAAAGAGCCACGGAGAACCTTGAATTTTATTTTTTGGCTTACTACATCTGTTCTTGGCTCATTCCTTTGGGTTTATTAAGGTTAATACTAATATTTTGTATTAAAGCAATGCATTTTCAAGGCTCTTTCTGTTGTAAATTCAATTCTAATACTTTTGATTTAGACTGTAATAATGGGAAAGACACGGCGACATATACCTTGGAAATCAAGCCCCCAGAAAGGTAATCTGACGTTTTTTTTTAATTTTCGATTTTGACTTTAGATCCTATTGTGAAATTGCCGCCCGCTGAAGCAAAGTATTCATCGGTGAAAGTGGCTTCGGATGCAAAGGAGATCATTCAACTGTTGGGTGACGATCGAACCCATATCAAACGCCGAATTGCCCTGCTCACTACATTGAACAACATGATTGCCAACGAGCGAGACTACTTGAAGCGTTTTCTTTTTCGACAGGATTTATACAGTAAGTTCTTTTAATGCTTATAAATCAAAAACAGCTATTTTTGCTTACAAATAAAACCAAACAAACTATGTTTGGTAGCTTGAAGTTTAAATTCGAAAGGATTGATTTAGCTCTTGGAATGCTTCGAGCCTTGAATTACTGCCGTGTTTCCTGCCGAGAGACATCAGCTATTCATCCTCTGAAGACCGAAATCCAAAGGTGATGTTAATTTATTGGCATTTGATTAACTTACCAGTTTAGATTCGAAGCCGCTGAACAAATTGATAACCTTCCACCGTTTGAGGGACAATCGCCGATTAACATCTTTGCACACGCATACACCATTGCCAAGGCTCGAGATTCAGAAAAGATATTGGTTATTTCTTTATTTCTAGCTTATCAGTCAATTTCTTTTAGATGGAGTTCTTGGAATCTTTTGACCATGTAACGTTCGAAAAAGACTGGAAGATTTCGATTATTCCCAGGGAAAATCTATCTGGTTATTTTTGTGGGGTTTTTATATCAATTATTTGCTTTAGACACGCGTCTTACACTTAAAAAGAACGGAAGAAGAGGCCCATTACGAGTTCCCTCAAAACTAAAAGAAATGGATTTGAGTGCTGGAACGGAAGAAAAATGGTAGGTAGCCTTTTTGAAAGCAGCTCAGCTCTTTTCTTTAATTTAGTGACGTGATTCGAACTAGAAAGAATGGGGTGAATAACAAAGTTGCGCCAGAGTGTGTCGATGATCTACTGCAAAGCGAAGCTCCAGCTCCATCAATTCCACGACGACCAAGGCAGGAAATAACCCATTTCCTTTACATGCTATTTTAGATCGGTTTCACGATCGCGCATGGTATCTCGCCAACTTTCTGCACAAAACGGACAACTGCCGGTTTACATCTATCATTTGTTAGTGAAAGTTTTCGCTTTTAGACAACGGTCGTCACCTCAACGCTGTTTCCTGACAAGCAACAAATCGCTGAGAAGGATCAAGTCGCGCTATTAGTGGGTCTGTTTGGCAATATTGTACATAAAAAAACTTAGAGCATCTCTGCGCCTCCAGCTCCACCTCTGCCACCAGCTTTTGTTCTAGGCAAAGAAAAACAGGACAAATTACAACTTACACCCGCACCTCTGGTAAATTAATTATTTGTTTAAAGCCTAAATGTTTTTAAAGGCAAAATCGATTCCTCCTCCACCACCGCCGCCTCCAATAGCTTTTTGGAACAAAATTCCACAAGTTGCGCTGAAACAAGAGCTGCACTCTGAGCTGGTACTTATTTGTTTTATCAAAATGTTCTGGAGAACTATATTTAGAACTCAAAACTGCTCACCGTAAACGACGCTCCCACTATCCCAGGACCACCGCCGCCACCCCCACCTCCACCTCCACCTCTGCCGCAAACGGGATCGAAAAATACGATTTTTGGCGCAAAAGACAACGGTAATTTGTTTCTTCCGCTAAAAAGTTTGTTTTCAGGCTTTCTTGCTGCAACGGTCACCAAGTCATCGGAACTTTGGCCGAAATCAAAAAAGACGACAACATTTTGCTGGGATCGAGCTGAACGAGTCGAGCATAATTCCATTTTAAGTATGTTTTAGCATTTCAGCTCTGGTTTTTACTTGAATTTTTGCGGCGTTACTTGTAGTTGCAGAAATATTCATTTTTTTAGATGAAACAACTATTTGGAATGATAGTAACAGCTTGTGTCCTGACTTTGACAACGAAGAACGAGAAGAAGTAAGCGAAACTTTTGTTTCCGTTAAAGATTTTGTTTAGTTAACCGCTTTGTTTGATGTAAAAGAACCTAGAAGGAAGTCTTTCATATCCGCAAAAGCTGTGCCCATTTCATCTCTCAAGCAAAAAGTAAAGTGTGATTCGAGCGTCAAAGTTTTACCAATTCATTTTAGTTTTCTCTACAAGAATCGGTCCCTGCAAAGGTTGATCCAAAAGTGTCATTGCTCTCAAATCAGCGATGCATAGCAATCTGTGTAGCATTAAAACCGTATTTTTTCTTTATTTTTGTTCTATCACGGTTTGTTTTAGTTTTTTTGGTAGCACGTCAAAGGGCGGTGATAAAGTCATGAAAAATTTCTACGACGCTTGCCAAGGCAAGAAACAAGTTGACGGACTTTGTGATAGCTTGCAGAATCTCCTCAGGTCTTGGCCAACTAATGAGGAGGTTGGTTTTACTAAATGGTTATCCTGCAAAAATAATATTTAGCTGGAAAACTATGCTCAGATCGAAAAATGCAGTGTTGAAAAGGACCCAGTCAATTTGTTCTGTTGGCAAGTAAGTTTCATTGTCTTATAGTGTTTTAAAACTGGCATGCATTTAGCTTTCTCGAGATAAAACTATCAGACTTCGATGTCAATTGATTCTTGTCAAGGAAAGACTGGTCATTGAGGTAGATAGTTTAAATTTTAAATTATAGTACGACCATAGTTTAGTTGCGGGAGCACAAAAACGCAATCGACAGACTTTACGATGAGACGAAGAAGTTCATTGAAGATGAAATCATTGCCGAAATGCTTTGGAAGTGCAAAATGTATGGAAACTTTATCAATCAGGTAAAAAAACATTTTTGAAGTTAACTTTCATCATTTAGGGATCGTCGCAGGCTGAGGTGGCAGGTTTTTCATTGTCGTCTCTTGTCAAAACGTTGCGTGCTCCAAACCAGACGTGGGGTATCGTGAACACCATCGGAAAACATTCGAAACGCCAATACCAAGAGATTGAAGCAGTAGTGAAACGGCTAAAAAGTGTCAAGTATGTTGTTTTGGAAATACCATTTTATAGTGAGTCAATCCTAGGGATGTGAATCTGGCTGATATGAAAAAACTCGTTAAAGAATGCGCTACAGAATTACAGGCCCGGAAAGTTGAGGTATTGCATTTTATGATAGACTAATTGCAAACGTTTGTTTCACAACTAAAATTTCTAATAACATTATTAGCTATAAACTACCAATAAATTTAGCTGAGGAATAATGGATCCGACGACGCTTTGCAAAAAGAATTCGAGCCAGTGCTCAAAGAAGCTGATGGCTTTTTAAATGACGTTGAAAATCGCCTCAAGTCGTGTCAGAGCCAAGAAAGCGAAATTAAAAGGTATATTTATTTTTGTAATTGTGATCAGAAGTATTGTTAGTGCACCTCTCTTTTATCAAAATTTTGCTTTAGGTATTTTTGGGCGATGAATATGAGTACGACAGATATCTTCACAACTTTAATGGAGGGATTGTCAATGTGGGCTACAGCTGCAAAAGTATTGTACCTTTTTATTTTAATTTCATATTTGATTTCAACTTTAGAAATGTCAGCAACAATCAAAACAACCCTATAGAAAAGCGTGAATCGTCGGGTTAAATTGGTGGGTCAATTTTCCTTTGTTCAAAAGAACTTAATTTTAGATGTCTTTTTCCAATTGATCAACTATTCAAATGGAAATGTTATCTTCATACTTGATTATTTTCTGTTTAATGCTTGAATTTTATTGACTTTTGTTATCGTAGTACTTTTTTTGTTTATTTGTTTTTTGTTGACTTGTTTAAATCGCATGCAATTTGCTCGGTATAGGTTTTTTACTGATCTTTTCCAATGCTATTCGAATTTTTAGAAATAAATTTTTGCAATCTACCCTATCCATAGAAAGCCTGATAGTAAGGGAAAAACATTCTTAAAAGCAATAACTGGTCGTAGTCAGATCGAAATGCGTAAAAACAAGAAACGAATCCAGCCAATATTGTTTTTTAAAACTCAATAACTACGGTATCCGTTTGATAAAAAAATTCCCATTGGTTTCATTTACTACCAAAAAACTGACTTTCGTCAATTTGCTGATTTGCTCTGCTTGTTTATTATTGCTTTTGATAAAATCAGATAGATTAATTTGCAGCACTGGTTTTCTATTAAAGTTTCAACTTACAATGCGCTTAAAACTAATTTCTATATCTAGCTTTTGACACACTAAATTAAATTCCTTTTTTCCACCATTCCTTGACAAATCTAGCCTTTCTTTTAGCTTCTTTCCATTTTAAATTAAATTCCAATTTTAAATTCTTTTAGTTTTTACACGGGTAAAAATGAACGCTATTGACGAGCCTGGTGTGATCGAGACATCCAAATTAAAGCGGATTTTGAGGTCTAGAAATTATAAATGAATTGCTTGAAAAAGTTCAGCTCTTAATTGCAGAAATGGGTTTTATTTCATACGCTATGACTGAAATATGATGTTAACTCAATATAAGACTTATCTAGTTTAAAGCGGAAATGGTGCTCTCATTAACCCTTTAAACTTAAAACAATGAAAATTATCCAAAATTCAATTCAATTCCTCGCCCGTTACTGTAATTATGAACAGTAATATTTATTTAAATGAACATAATTTGAAATACAGTTAACATTGTTTGAACAAAGTTTCCAAATGCGTAAATTCAAAACTTGGAAACAGCTGAGATGCACTGAGACCCAATATACGGCATCACCTTAAGCCGCTAAAGAGAACAAATGCAATTTAATGCTTTTCACCAAGAAGGAATAGGAAATTATAAGGGGAAAAAGATTGTTTAAACCGTCTTGAAGATACCTAATCACTATCTGAATCATTGGCGCTGGATTCCTCTTTTGACGAAGCAGATTCTGCTGGCTTCTAAATGGTTTTACAAAATGGATATAGACTAAATCAATACCTGATTGCGATCTTCTTTGACTTCTTTAGTCTTCTTTTTTTCTTTGAGTTTTTCCAACGGCTCGTCTTCCGATTCAGATGAATCCGATGTCTCAACATATTCGCGAGATTTAGCTGCTTTTGAAGGAGATCTAAGGTTATAAATTAATGGAAACTTCTTAGATTAAACGTTACTTTGTGGTTGTTGTGTCTGTCGTCTTGGCTGCTTTAGCTGGTTTGTCGGGCTTGTCTGGTTTGTCAGTCTTTCCCGCGGCAGAGGTTGAACCGCCTCCATTTTTTCTCCATTCGCGCATTTCCTCATCGTAGCGTTCCTATAGCACTCCTCATTGATTCAGAAATTCACGCTGAAAATACCTTATCTTTACCGGCTTTTTCTTCCCAAGGACGTTTATCATTTTCACCCATTGCTTTCCACAGTTCACCACCACGTTTAGCTGTGTCAGCCACAGTATCGCCTTCCTAAAGAAAAAGCATCATTAAGTTATTCTGAAAAGTTCATTACTTTCTTGATTTCAGCTCGATTTTCGTTAAGCCATATCATGTAAGCAGTGGTTGCTCGTTTGGGAGCGTTAGGGTCCTTCTTTGCTCGCTTCTTTCGTCGGCCTTCTCCTGCTTCATCCTTGCTTTTCTTTTCCCTCTTCTTTTTCTCTTTCTTGACCTAAAACAATAGTTTTAAGCATGAAAAACTCGATGTCTTAAGGGTATTTTAATAGCTACCTTTTTCTGTGATCCATCGTCATTCTCGTCAATATCGCTTTCCTTGACTACATCAGAACCAGAAGAGTCCCATTCTTCAGTTGGTTCGCTCTCGCTTCCCTCCGAAGAATTCTGTTCCCTTTCTTTTCGGCGCTTAGCCAGGTCATCGTCAAGATCATAGTCTTCTAAAAGAATTTTTTGTCACTTTAGAACGCAACAATAAAGCGCAAAAACAATTAGCTAACCGTCTTCAGGATCTGACTCATCATCCACTGCCGCATTTCTCTCGGCTTCCCGATCTTTGCCCTCTTTTTTGACCTAAATTCATAGATTCAAGCTTTTTAAATCAAATTTTACATGTTCTTTGTATGGATCGTGCTCCTCATCACTGTCGGCAAACATATCCGTGTTACGCAAGTTTTCCTGAATCGTAAAAATATAGATACCGAGAAAGATCCATTACCACTTTCTTTGCGTTCCGAATACGAAGACTTTTTCCTTGAACATAGTCATAAAGTTTGCTGTATTCTTCCCTAAACAAGAATAACCAAATACGAGAGTTATATCATACTTTTCGACGGAGTTAAACACAAGATTTGTTCCACTCTTCATTTCGACTTCGAAATCAAAGGATCGGGTCGAAACATCTGATCGAGCAAAATGAACGGATGAAATCTAAAAAGCTTTTTGAAAGAGTTACCAGTAGACGGCTTACCTCATCAAAACGAATGTACATAGGAGGTTTATGAATGTAAAGGAATCCCTTTTCAAGAGGATACAAAAATCCTGACGTCTGCCGATGAGCGCAAACAATGACCGGAGTGCCACTGTGTCTGAAACAGCCAAATTTATTTAACTTTAGCATGACACTTACCCAACAAACTTTCCAGGAGTCGTAACCTTCATTCCAACCAAGACGCGGAACAACTTGCAAACAATCTCGTAAACCGGGCCCTCCAAGTTACGCTGGAGTTTGTCACCATATTGTTGTTTCAATTGGTCACTGAAAGTTTTGAAATCTATATGAATATTATTGCTAGCAAGCAAACTTTCAGAAAGCCATACTCTGTTAGCCCCAATTCGATTTCCATTTTATCCTCGCGAGCGAATTCAAAAACGAGGTAATGATAGCGTGTCTGTCCTTGGCGAATTGGTGGAGCCAGTGAGCACTAGAAACAAAATGTAGCCTTTAAAAACTAAGCGCCTTACCACAAAATACATATGTCGACCGTCTTTCTGTGGAACGAGAAACAAACGCTGAATCGTTTTGATTGGAATTTTGTAGTCGTACGTTTTTCCGTGAAGAGACAAATTGTTGGGATAGACTTTGATGTCGTAGCGACCACTAAATAACTCAATTCATCTGATGATCGAAAAAAATTACCGAGGAGTAGTACACAAAATTTGATTGAGTGTGGCAATTGCCTGACCAGAGTCCGTTTCAATACCCGCATAAGCCAGAACAGCTTTTCGAAATTCCTAAATTTTCTAGAAGTTGCACAAATTATCTAAACCTACCTCAACAGGATCAATATTATCATCTTCGTTAGTTGGGATGTGAAATCGCATTTCAATGAGAGCAACGGGACAATCATCATTCTGATGAAATTCTAGCACAGCTTCATTTTTGTTGGCAACCGCGTTAGAGACATTGGAAAGTGGAACCTACAACTACATTTTCATGAATTAATAAAAATAGCTCAACCTCAAAGCAAGGTTTTCCATCGACTGCAAACTCTATTGACTGTCCGTCCACGTTGCAGTCTCCATAGTTCCATCCTTTCAACGATAGATCGATTTTCTCAATTTCTCTATTCCAGCGGTTTTTCGAAAACCCATTGAGTTTTTCAAAATCCTGAACATTTAAAATTAGGGATAAGAAAGTGGCACAAACGGTCTCTTTGAATCCACCAATCCTGTATTTCTTTCCGTCTTGAAAAATGAACTTGATGCCATGGCGGTTTCCAAGTCGTTGCCATTTAATGTTCTGCAGGTCATTGGCATTCAAATTCAAAATATTCCCAGTGTTATCGTGGTGAAACTTGATGTTCTGTTCGGTTAATCGAAGCGAGCCCTTGTTCTGAAAAAGACAATACAACAGTCAAATACCAATGATACCAAGCTTCCCATCTCTTCGATAAACAATTCAAGAAAATCCGTTGAGTCGGCCATTTCTGAAATAAAGCCATAAAATCACTATTACTAACTGCAAGCAAGGCAAAAAGAAATAGACTGAATGGTTCTGCGAACTGAAGTTTTCGTAACCGCTCTTTGTTTAAAAGTAGCTAACCAAGATAGCATTCGACTACGGTAGAACATCCACAGGGTTTTAGTTTGATCTCACTATCACTATCTCACAATCGAAGACTTTTCGTTGATTTGCGAGAACCCTTCCAGCGAATGCAACGAAATTTTTGAGTGTATAAGACAAATAGTTCCCATTACATAATGAGTTACTTTCAAAGTAAATACATTTAAATATTTATCATGGATTCATAGAAATTCATTTAAACAGTACATGGAAAACACAGGCAAAGAATTTAAGAAAACAAGCATATACGCGGACACAGAATAGAAGGCAATCACTACAAAAAATATTTCATTGCTGGGTGCATCCGCGAGTTGTATTTCCAGGCGTTGAAGGTGCTCCACGCTGATCGTGGCATGACTGACCGGGGGTCTTCAACTTGGTTTCATTGGCAATCATCGTAGTTTTACTAAATTGTCAACGATGCACGTAAAAAGGCAGTACTCACTTTGATGGCGTGAGCGGAGTTGAGCCAAACCCTTCAATTGGCATTGTTTCGTTAACATTTGATGGCTCCGGACTTTCAAAATTTCGCGGTGATGCCGTCGAGGATGGTTTCTAAGCAAGTTCTATGGTGATCCAAAAGATTACACAAACCTGGTTTTCTTTTTGACTATCACACAGAGGTGTTAATGCCCGAGTTCCTTCTTTGATCACAGCTAATAAGCCAGGAGCATCGGTAGTTTTCAAAGGCTAAAATTTGTCTTGAAATATCTCGCAGAACCAACAGTAAACAGTACCTTGATGACACCGAGCTGTTGTTGGAGCTCCCTGATAGATGCTCGATACTTGCCTTCGAGATCATCAAATTCGTCGCATAAAATATTCAACCGTTCAATCTGAAAAGCGAAATTTTAATTTATTATTTGAAAGGTAACCTCAGCATTCTTTGCTTCAAGGGCAGCGTCAATGGCTTCAGCTTTTTGTTTAAATTCGTCACAATTTGCAACCAGTTGAAGGTTCAAGGCAGTCAGTGCTTGGATCTGTTTTTGATTTTCCACGAGTTCTTGGTTTCGCAGAGATAGCTAAATCAAAAGATAGTTTCGCCATTGAAAACGATTGACTTCTTGGTCCGTTTCCTCAACAATTTTGCTGCGTGCAGTTGTTGCTTCCTGGTGGAGACGAGCGTTTTCAGTGAGCAGCGTTGCATTTGCACTGCGAAGTTGCTCCAAAAGTTCATGTGACTCGGCTAGCTCTTTGTTGCGGAAATCAATCTAAAATAATATCAACTCATTGGATGAACATTTGACACTCATCTCAAATTATACCTCCATAGCCTTTGCTTCAAGAACAGCGTCAAAGGATTCGGCTTTTTGCTTGAATTCATCGTATTTTGAAGCCAATTGGAGATTGAAGGCTTGTAGCTGTTGTTGGCTTTCCAAAAGTGCCTGATTCCGCAACGACAACTAAAACAAAGATGAATTAATTTCTTGTTCAAAATCGACAACCTCTAACTCTTTTTCCTCAACAACTCTGGTATGTGCAATTGCTTCATCTTGTAGACGAGTATTTTCAGCGGCCAGTGTTGTATTTTCCTCGCGAAGTTGCTCCAAATGTTCTTTTGCCTCAGCCATTTCTTTGTCTCGAAGATTGATCTTAACAATACAAATGAAAATAATGAAATACATTCACATTATACCTCTACAGCCTTTGCTTCAATGGCAGCGTCAAAAGATGCAGCTTTTTGCTTGAGTTCATCACAATTTGCAATTAATTGAAGGTGCAAGGCATTCTGTTCTTGGAGTCGCTGTTGACTTTCAACAAGTTCTTGGTTGCGCAAAGACAGCTAAAGCAAAAGATAGCATTGCAACTCCAAATCGACAACCTCTAACTCTTTTTCCTCAACAACTCTGGTATGTGCAATTGCTTCATCTTGTAGACGAGTATTTTCAGCGGCCAGTGTTGTATTTTCCTTGCGAAGTTGCTCCAAATGTTCTTTTGCCTCAGCCATTTCTTTGTCTCGAAGATTGATCTTAACAATACAAATGAAAATAGTGAAATACATTCACATTATACCTCTATAGCCTTTGCTTCAATGGCAGCGTCAAAAGATGCAGCTTTTTGCTGGAGTTCATCACAATTTGCAATTAATTGAAGGTGTAAGGTGTTCAGTTCTTGAAATTGTTGTTGACTTTCAACAAGTTCTTGGTTGCGCAAAGACAGCTAAAGCAAAAGATGACCTCGCAATTAAAAAAAATAACCTCTAGACCCGTTTCTTCAACAACTCTGGTATGTGCAATTGCTTCATCTTGTAGACGAGTATTTTCAGCGGCCAGTGTTGTATTTTCCTTGCGAAGTTGTTCCAAATGTTCCTTTGCCTCAGCCATTTCTTTGTCTCGAAGATTGATCTTAACAATACAAATGAAAATAATGAAATACATTCACATTATACCTCTACAGCCTTTGCTTCAATGGCAGCGTCAAAAGATGCGGCTTTTTGCTTGAGTTCATCACAATTTGCAATTAATTGAAGGTGTAAGGCATTCTGTTCTTGAAATTGCTGTTGACTTTCAACAAGTTCTTGGTTGCGCAAAGACAGCTAAAACAAAAGATAATATTGCAACCCAAAAATAATAACCTCTAGCTCTCTTTCCTCAACAACTCTGCCGTGTGCAGTTGCTTCCTCGTGAAGACGAGTGTTTTCAGCGGCCAGTGTTGCATACGCATTGCGAAGCTGCTCCAAATCCTCTTGTGCCTTGGTCAAATCCTTGCCGCGGATAGTCAACTGAAAAAAAACATAGCTTAGATTAAAATAATTAATCGACAAACCTCTTCATTTAAAGACATGCACTCCTGTTTCGCACCATCAAGTTCTTTTGCAAGGTCATTGAGTGGCCCGTTAGCTTCTTTTATGGCTTGAACCAGAGACGGCGTCTAAATAAAATTTTCCAATATTGCGTAAGAAAAAGGTTTACCTCATCTTCGACGAGTTTCAATTTGTCAAGACGCAAATCTTGCTCCATCAAGTTTTCTTTCAAGCGATGGTTGTTTGAGCGCAGATCTTCGCTTAGCACTCGCTCCTCCTCAAGCTTCTTCTTTGTATGCTCGAGTTCAACTTTGATAGCGCATAACTGTAAAATTGAAGTAAGGCGCTTATGGAAAGAAACGTTTACCTCCTCTTCCCTGGCTTTAATTGTCGCCTCCAGTTCGTGAACTTGTTCGTCATTGATGGCGTGTTCCTTTTCCATGAACGAAATCCTTAAAAAGTCATAAAAAAAAATTTAAAAACAAGCATACATTGAGTCAGAATACTTGAGATGCTTTTTGCGGCTACCGTCAGCGTCTCCATGTTCAATATCGTCGTCCTCGAGAAGCGTATCACTGCTATCGGTGCTATCAATGCTAAAAGCTCAATATCAATGCTTTTGAAACCATCGAACCCGGCGTTGGATCCATCAGTTTCGCTCACTTTCAGAAGGATTGGAGACCATTGAAACGGCAGACCGACGGGAGCTTTGGCGAAGAGATCGAGAGTTTTGTTCTAAAATAAAAACCATTTGCGAAACAGCAATTACCAATTACGGCAAGTTTAAATTACCGATGGTAATTTAAACTTACCATCGGTTGAAGCGAAATGTCCATATCAGCCCCCTGCGTCTCGTTGACTTGTCGTTCTTCTGCGTCGCCCACCAATGCAGTGGCATCAAGATTGGTGTCGCCAGTCATCTAAAAAAGACAGAATTACACTAGAATTACACCAACAAACCTTCTTTGTTGGCTGCCTAGAGACTGGAGTCGACGGTTCGCTGACAATGCTTGCTTCCGCGGTGACATCGGCCTGGAACTGCGTCTCGTTCATGGTAGTGGCATCCAGATTGTTGTCGCCAGTCATCTAAAAACGGTAAATGGTTTATCATTAAAAACAACTAGCTACCTTTTTGGTTGGTCGCCTAGAAGCCGGAGATGCGGCCGTGAGTGGCGAAACCTCATTGAGTCGCTTCAAAGAGCTATCCATACTAAAATAAAGTTAAAGTTAAATTTTTAACGTTATTTGTTATTATAACTACGAAGAGAGGTTTCAAAAAATGAATAGGCGCCATATGGGACCGTAAGAGTGGTGCTTGTCGGACAGAAACACGGTTGTCTTCAAAAAGCAAAAAAGGTAACGTAAATTAGAGTCTGACAAACGCGAAGCTCACGTAAAATTTCAAACGTTTTGCTTACAGCCATAAAATAAAAAGCGGATTAAAAATCGTGGGAAGAGATTTGTACAAGCGATGTACTCCATTTAGCAAAAATTGAGAGGGGGGGAGTCACCGCGCTGAAATCAGATAAAAATTTGTATAAATTTTTGATACAGTACTCGTATTCTGTCTGGACTGCGGTAGACAGAAAATTCCAACTTTTAGGTAAGAAAGTAGCCTAAATACCTAAGAAAATACAACTCTTTTCGGGAAAATTTGCAAATTAATTTTCTTTCTGAGGTTTTATACAGCGTGACTTAAGTGGATGATTAAACCTGAGTTCTATAACCCAAAACCTTTATAAGATGCGTCATCCACTCTGATGTGTGGCGAGCCTATGCAGATGTCTTGTTGTTTCCCCAAGCGTACCGTCATTTTACTTGTTAACCATCAACTCCGTTACCGTTAGATTTACAGATCACACACACAGAACGTTGAGTCGATGTGGTCAAAAAAATCGGCTCAAAAAAAAATGCTGAAGAACAAGCACGGCATCAACAACGGCATCAGCGACAACGATCGACATGCAGTTTACCTCGATGAGTTTCAATGGCGCCAGCAGATCCTTGATGACCCGTTCTATCACTTCTGGTCACGAATACAACAGTTGTACCCTTGCGAATAAGGATGAAAACCTAAAACCTCCAATCCAACGGCCCTCTTTAGGGACACAAATCAGTTCCAAAACAAAAAATGTTCAGAATCAAAGAAAATGAATTTGAAAACTTTGAAAAAATTGCAGTTTCTCAGTAAAAACGCAAAAATCGAATTTTGGCATGGCGATTTTCGGATTATATGCAAAAAGTCCCCCCCCCCCCCCTCAACTTTATTAGTGCCAAAAGTTGTAGCTTCGGCCAAATTCGAGCATTCGTAGTTTTCTGCTTTTTAATAAACTCTTCTTGATGAAGAGCTTAACACAATATGCAACACACAATTTCGCCCATGAAGAATCCTATAGAAATCTTTATCGATAAAACAAAAAATGCATTCCCTTAACACAAATATCATAACGATGAAAGCGCGTTTAGATTTTTAAGTACGATTAATTCGGAAACATTCCAATTGTCATGTTGAATCACTCATACTCCTCGTCCAGGAACGAAATCGTATTACCCTCGTTATTCTTCAACCATCGACGATAACGCTTGTACCTAGAGAAAACAAGACTCTTTTTCATCGAATGGACCTTACTTTCCGCTTTTCGCCAATTTTTCTCGCTCTTCTTGGTCTTTTTCCTTTTTCCAAACGTTGAACTTTTCTTTTTTCCACAATTCATTCTCGAGCATTTCTTCATGTTCCACATCAGTCAAACACTAAATAATACGGTGATTTTATAGTCCTAACACAACTCACGGCAAACTGTCCTTCACCCATTCCCATATTTTTGCGGATCAAGTATAATTTGGCTTCCGTATCATATTCTTCCAATCGTAGCCAATATTTGAAACACCATTTCGCATACCTTAAATCCAGAGGTTTGAATTGAATTTATATTGAAAAGAATCACCAGATACTGTAGTGGTAGGTTGTGAGTGGAAGTTTAACAATGTGCCAAATAAGAGTGTCGTAAATCGATTCACGTTTGTAACCGCCACTAAAGTTTATTTTTCATCTTTCATCCTCAAAATCTCCTACCGGACATCCATGTTTTCTTCGATTATTTTCCTTATCGCCATTTCGTTATCTCGACCTTTGATCTTCTTGAGCTTTCCATTCTGAAGACAAACAAATTTAAAGAAAAAAAATATGTTAGTGATACCTTTTCTTGGTCTAATTCTCCTCTTTTTATTCCTTCAGCGATAGCTTGATTTCGGAATTTTCCCACAGTTAGTGCATAACCTAGCGCTTCGGCATATTTACTTTTTGCTGACCAGTACTAAAATCGTCTTTCAAAAACTTTTAACTTAAACTCAAACCTGAAAAATCGAAATAGCAACAATTGTGCCGAGAATCACCAAACGAACATCAACTTTTGGAGCCACGCGTCTCCTAAAATAAAACTAATATTTTGCTTACAATTAGTTCATTGACAATTTGAACAAAGAAAATTAATTACCTCTAGTTTGATATTTTAATTAATTTAATTACCTGTAGTATTGATAGTAGTTATAGAAGCGTTCTTCGGGATGATCCAAATAATAATTATATTCTTCTCGAACTTCATCATCTTTTAAAGTTTCATAGGCGGTGGCAATCAAACGAAATTTCGCTTCTGCCTCTTCTTTCAATTTCTAAATTTTTTTAAATTATGCATGATGTAAAATTTTACCGGATCCGTCGTTCTAACACGATCAGGATGGTGCTTTTTCGCAGCTGTTCTGTACAACTTCGATAAAGTGGCTTTGTCGAACTCATCGCGATTAACATTCAATACTAAATAAAGTTTAATTAAATCTTTACCATTAAACGCTTACCATCATAACAATTTTCAAGACCACAATATAATTCTTCAGCAAAGCCAACGCATTTAACTTGAATACTCAGAAATGCGAGAAGGAAGAAAAGCCGTAGCACCAGCCGAAGCATCCAGTCAAACTAAAAGATAAATATTAATCTTGGTAGATCACATTATTTGAGAAACAAAAAAGAATCCAAAAAGTCAAGCTGCCTAAAAATCGAAAAGATTCAGGATGGGGAGTCGGCAGCGTTTCACTTAAAGAAAAAAAAACGGGAAATCGGGGGGACGATCCGCGCCCGATTGAGAGGAGACAGTTACGAAAAGAAAAAAGAGGAAAGAGATGGTGACAGGAAAGACAAGAAAGGAAAGATTCCACCTCACACATAAAAAGGAAGGGGGAAAAGGGAGCAACGATGGTATTAGAGAAAAATAAAGACGACATCAGATCTTCGATTCGCCCCAGCTTCGGTCACCGCGCAGCATGGTTTTAATCAAATCGAGCAATCAAGAGTAGAAATGTAGAGCTTTAATATATTGTTGACTGGCAGAGAGGCAAAAAAAACACCGTACACAAGAAAGGAGAAAATGCGGGTTATAAAAAAATTTAATTAAATGTTAAATGTTAAAGTTTAAATGGAAGTTTAGTTTTTAAATCCAAGTTAGCACAAATCCTACGGATTTTGCAACATTCTCATCATGGGATTTTACATTTTCGTGCAAGTTTTCGTCTGTTTGGGTAAGATTTTTGCAACTACCTAACACGCACCAAAATTTTCCCCGAATCGTTCAAATTTCCTGTGCTAATTTCCCCTCTCTGCATTGGTGCCCTCTCTTTTGCCCCCCGGTTTCTCGTCTATTTTGTTTGATGGATGCCACGTTCTGCGCCCCCGCCCGGTGTCTCTTGAAGCCACGTGTACAACAAAAGAAGACAAGCATCGGCCCTTTTTCCTCATATTTATAATCCTAGACAATTTATCGAATGTTGTTAAATGAATTAGTAAAATTCCTCGTTGTTTTAACAAGATAAAAATTTAAACATTAAGACTTTACATAATTTTTTTTCTTTTTTGCGTACTTTTGTTTCAAAGCAAAGCTGAATTAATTTCAAAAACAGTAATTTAGGGAGGCTTTTCTCGACATGAAGGCTTTGATTCTCGTCGGCGGCTATGGGACAAGATTGAGGCCACTCACCATCACGCAGCCAAAGCCTCTTGTACAATTTGCCAACAAGCCGATGATGTTGCATCAGGCATTTTTTTATTTTTTTTTGCTCAACATTATGTTAAATTTTTAGATGGTAGCCCTTGCCAAGGTTGGAGTCACAACGCTGGTGTTAGCTGTCAGGTTATACTTTTATTTTTAGCTAAAAAAAATTTTTTTAGTTATCGAGCCGATGACTTGGAGAGAGAAATTAGCGGATATGCGGAAAATCTCGGAATGAAGATTCACTTTTCTTTGGAAGAAGAGCCTTTGGGCACAGCCGGCCCTCTCGCACTTGCTCGGTCAGTTCATTGTTTTAATGAATTCATCAAATATTTAGGAAGAACAAGTTTCTGGATGGAGATGAGCCATTTTTCGTGTTGAACTCGGACGTGATCTGCGATTTTCCTTTCCGACAGATGATTGAATTCCATCACAAACACGGAGGCGAAGGAACGATTGCCGTTACGGAAGTTTGTAATTTTGTTAATAACATGAAAGATAATATTTTCTCTTTAAGGTTAGCGAGCCTTCAAAGTATGGAGTTGTTGTGTTCGATGATGAAACTGGCAGCATAAGAGCTTTTGTCGAGAAGCCTCAAGGTTCCTATTTATTCTGTATTTAAAAATTCGTAAATTTAGAATATGTTTCAAACAAAATTAACGCTGGACTCTATTTCTTCAACCCAGCGATCCTCAATCGTATCCCATTGAAGCCGACAAGTATCGAGAAAGAGGTAGTTTTGATTTTCTTATTGAGGCATTTAACTTTCTCAATAGGTTTTCCCAAACATGGCCAGTGAGAAAAAGCTTTTCGCTTATGTTCTTCCAGGATTTTGGATGGACGTGGGACAACCCAAGGACTTCTTGATTGGTAGACTATTCCTGTGGGCTCATTTTACAAACTTTTAGGGACAACGTTGTTCCTGAAGCACAAGCGTGAAACTGCATCCGACGAGCTTGCATCTGGAGAATATATTCAGGTTTTTTTCGTAAAAAAATCAATAAATTATTTGTTTATTTAGGGAGACGTTTTGATAGATGAAACGGCGACAATTGGCGCAAATTGTAAAATCGGGCCAAACGTTGTAAGTTATTTTTTTCTTTAGTGTAATTATACTTTGAATTGTGCAATACATCTATGCTTTTCATTCCTTAATTAATTGTTATTTTTTTTTCTAGGTTATCGGCTCGAATGTGAAAGTTGAAGATGGTGTTTGTTTGAGGGAGTGCACAATTCTGACCGGCTCCGTTGTGAAAACGCATTCGTGGATAAACAAAAGCATTATTGGACGAAAGTGCTCAATTGGTAGGGTTTTGTGTTTGGGGATTTTTTTCAAATTGAATATTTCAGGTAGATGGGTGCGAATCGAAAACAATAGTGTCCTTGGAGAAGATGTTGTTGTGAACGATGAACTTTACCTCAACGGAGCACAAGTTCTTCCACATAAAGCCATCTCGGTTAACGTTTCACAGCCTGACATTATTATGTAAATTATTGTTACACTAATTGATCCTTTTTAGAAACTTATATAGATTTCACTCTGGTTTTAGCTTTATTTTTGATGCAATTTAACGATCCTCTAGCTCTCAAATCACCAAAAATTGTTGGTTGATTTATTTTGAATTTTCCCGATCTATTTCACTTTACTATTTTGCCATGGTCACCCTCTTTTGTGATTTCCTGCCGCCTTTATTTGCCTGTGATTGTTCCACCCATCATTGTGTAATTTAATAATTTATTTGATTGCAACATTAATAAACAATTTGAACACTGACAGATACTTGAAAGAGAACTATCTGATGCGTCGTACAATGGTAAGAATTGCATCGAGAAAATTTTTGCAAACAATGGCTTGCCTTTTCGATATTTATTGCAGCAGATCGAAACCACACCATAAACTACAAGAAATTACCACATATAATCCCAACTCATTCAACAGTCGAGTGTTGTGTTTATTTTTAGTTCTTAATTTAATTTTAAAGTTTGCTTCTGTAAGATGAGCGACGAGGAATTGAATGTGGAAAGCCCTCTACCAGAAAATAAAGAGAACTGGCTTGATATTGATGATTCGACGTCACTACCGTCCATTTCACTTGATGAAGCTCTATTGCAGGTGAGTATAATCAAGAAACAACACAAAATTCCCTATTAGCTTGATCAACTCGACGACACATTGATCCTCGGATTGCCGGGAACAGCTGAAGAAGAATCAATCTTGGATGGAGGAGCAGCTTCATTTAGTGGCCATTCACATCAACACCATAAAGAACCATCGACACCGATCAGATATACGATAAATTGTCCGATCGCCTGGAGGAAAGTCGGTAGGCAACTTTGGGAGTTGTTGATTGGATCTTGAAGTAGAATTATATTTGTTATAATAAATCGTTTCAAAAAATATCAAAGCTATTTAGAATCAATCTCCCATCAAATCACGAATTCCGAGCAAAAAATCGGACGTCCAAAAGCGGTGGCTTCCAACGGCAATCGTTTAGCGGTGATCACATCGAAAGGAGCATTGCTCATTTTCGAGGAATCGGTGAGTGCAAAGAATTTGAGATACCGTAAATACTCTAATAGAACGCCACCTCCATAATGACGGGTGTACAGTCGCGTAGTCTAACTTTGAACGTCCCATTCTCCGCGCTGCTTTATGCTACAGTGTGCGCTTGGGTGTCAAATGATAGCTCTTGAAATCTTGTATTTTTTGGTACCAAAAGTGTAGTTGGGAAAAACCTAGGAGCTGAAAAAAGAAAGATTTTCTAAAAAGAAGTAGACTACGCAACTGTACGAGCGGGTGGCATTCTATTAGAGTATCTACGGTAGCTCTAGTATGACAAGTTTTCAGACAGAACGATTGCTCCGTTTGACATTTGGTAATTCTGAACTTGGTGCAGCGGCTTGTGTCACATTCTCGGATGATGGGAGCCATATAGCGATTGGCTACAGTAAAGGAGGTGTTAAGGTGGGAGGAGAAGGGAGAAAGTTTTGACTAGTCTAAAATAATCTCCTCCTTTTCATGTAATTTTTACCCAATCCAGATTGTTAACGCAAGTTCCGGTTCAACGATTGCCACAATTCACGAGGCAGGCCAAGGAGGCAAAGGGGTTCTGCAGATCATCTTTCTGACTAGGTTTTGTGAAGATACTCTCTTAATTCACTCAAGAATATATCATAGTTTAAATTTTCAGACAAAAAACGATTCTCGTTTTGGACAGTGGTGGATCAGTTTTCGAGATTCGAGTCCGAAAAAATCTCACCGGAAAATCAAAAGAACAAGTAAGGGGAGCTAGAAAAAATCCCAACAATTTCCCAGGTGGTTTGTGTGTTCTCGGGTTGCAACGGGGAAGTGGTGTTGATGCGCTATGTTCGGCCACATCAAATCCTCATCTTGGTCACTCTCACAAAAGTATGCAAGGAGATTTACATAAAAAAATTCTTTCACTTTCAGATTCTAATCGTTTCGACGAATCATGGTGGCTCGGTGATGAACTCGATTCCCCTACAAGGTCCACCGAATGTTCCACCGTTGTGCGACTTTTTCGTGAGTCAAGTAAGTTCCTCTGTTTTCATTTTTTTTTCAAAAAGGTATCTGTTTTCAAAAAACTACCGTAATCAGGCTACCAATTTGCATTCAATCAGCCCGATTTTGATGCGATTCGATGAGGAATCGATGAAACCAGTTTGGCTTGAATGTAAATAAACTACCGTATTTCTTCGAATAGAAGACCGGGTAAAGAGTATCATCGCGTACTCCTGCGTAGCAGCCCTTTTTAAAATTTCTTTTCTGCATAAAAGCTTTCAATCAAGTGCTATAGAGCTGGAAAATGGCTCAAAAATACCACATGAGCTAACAGATTTTTGAGCCATTTTTCAGCTCTATAGCACTTCATTGAAAGCTTTTATGCAGAAAAGAAATTTTAAAAAGGGCTGCTACGCAGGAGTACGCGATGATACTCTCTTTACCCGGTCTTCTATTCGAAGAAATACGGTAAATAAACTATTTACGGTAGTTTCCACAAATAGATGCCTTTTAGAGGGGAAACTCTTATGAAATCTATGAATTAAATCCTAAAATAAATATTTCAGGATTCAAAAATCGTGAAACTTTGTGCAATTCGGGGTCGCCATTTATCTCTCTACCATTTGTTTCCGCGACGTTTCCAGCAAAAACGCGGTCGTTTCGCGGAACTCATTTCAACCATTGAGGTGAAATTAAATGACTACAAAATAGGTTTCATCTCCATTTAGCCATTGTATTTTGATCTGCAATTGAGATAAGCAACTCCGCTCAAAAAAAAACATCAAAAGATTTAGGTGCCGCTGGACTTGTTGGGATTGTCGTTTTTGAGCGAGGCTTTCATTTGGGGTGTCGATTCGAAAGAACAAGTTGGAGTGATCGATTTGAACAACAAAGGATGGTTACCACTCTCATCTACACAAACGCCTCTACAACTCGTTTATGCAACATCGGATTTTAAGGTACGCAGAAGGAATAGGCAGAGATGAGTGAATTCTTCGGGAACTGAAGCAATGCTTAGTACATTTAATATCCAAGAATGGAGCAAAATTTTCGTTCAGAGCAAGTAAATTGTCCAAAGTTGGTTACACAAAAAACAGGGCTTACAGATATCTAGAATCTAAACCCAGTTCAATGCAACTTCCAGGGTCTTGCCACTGGGGCTAATGTCTCAGCAGCTCTTTGTTGTCTAGCTGAAACTGTCTGCTATCCGGCCATCACAGCACAGAATGGGATCGTTTTCGTTTTGGGTGAATTTTCTTGAAGATTTCTTCTGATTTCTAGACTTTTAGGCGTCTTCTTGTATCGTTTCAAAATCTTGAATGAACTCGAGATTATCGAGAGTTTTCAAGAAAGGTTTGAGGATAGCATAGAAATTGAAATCTATTCGAATTCAGGAAAGATTTCGGTTCGGCCGCTTTGTATTCCCTCGATTTGGCAAAGGGGAAATTTCATTCACAAATGCAGAATGTCCAGTAAGAAAGTAAAATATGGATAGAATAAATGCAAATTTTTTTAAAGGGCTAAAGTGAAGGGGAGAATGGCGGGCATTTTGAGTAATCTCCTCGATTGGACTCTCGATGGGATGCCGAATGGAAAAGTCTCGGATCTCGTTGTTCATTATAAGGTTGGTGAAAAAGGATTGAAATATCTGTAAATCATTAATTGAATTCAGAAAAACATTGAAATTTTGTTGCGAGTGTGTCATCAAGGAGATTATATGCCATTTTTCTATACAAGGGCATATCCAAGGTTTGTGAGTTGAAAAGAGTTTCGATCTAAAGCCAAATTTGTTGCCAAGTTCAAATTTAAGGCTACAGTAGGCTTGGAAATAAAAGTCACAAGTTGGATTGTTCAAAAAAAGAATTCTGTTTACAAGGACGCGCCCTGACGTCCTGAGGTCGCGTCCGGACGGAATATCGTACCCTAGATCATTTAAAATGCAAATTTTATTGTGTTTAGACAATAGAAGAGTCACAAAATGCGGTATTTCAAAAGGATTCAGACTCGAGGCCGATTCCCTCGCAAGAGCCGTAATGTTCGATCTTTTGGATGAAGCCGTCCTCGACGGAGCTCTCGTCGATCCCCCGCCAACGCTTGTCGCCGATTATCTCATAAATCTTCTCCATGAAGGTAGCCATCATCAACGAAAATAGTTTCACCAGTACTCAGGTCACTTCTCACAACTTCAAGCTGCCACCATGAGACTACCAATCTATTCAATTGATATACACTGGGTAACAATGATTTCTGAATATCTCTCGATCATTCCCCAATTAGGTGATGTCGACATGTCGTCAAAATCAACTATACGATGGAATAATTCACATTTCGAATAAAGCGCTTTTTGATTTTATTGGACCATTGGAGGTATACAGCAACCACAATAAACCAATTTAATCAATTGGAATTTAGGAAATGTTTGCAAACATTGCAGAGTTCTCTGATCGAGATCTTCGATCCGATAGTGAAATTGAAGTAAGTTCGAATTGAAATCCAAACTTAAGAATATTCAGATTGGAAACAAATTGTTGTTGTATTTGCACTGTTGTCTAGCTGGTCGAGCGTATCCATTTGGCGAGCTACCATCTCATTTAGTCGACACAGTGCCTATCGAGGTTAGTTTTTCACTTTACTGTATATCATACAATGTGCACGCGTTAAATGTGTTTATTCAATCAGCCATACATCTCACAATGAGATCGAGTTATTAATTTCGGTAGCATTCACTCGTTGCTGGAGCGAGCAGTACGGACATCACTGCACACGGCGGCAGCTGCACTAAAATCATAGCTTTTCTATTGCGTAAAGAAAAACGAATCCAAACCGCTTATCAGAAGAGGGAGTGCGCACAAGTTGAGATGGATTCACGATCTCGTGGACACTATCCTCACCCTGTCTAAAGACACAAAATATTGTCTGTTTCCACATACAAAATACTTACACAGGAAGAAGAATCACATTTGTCGGAGCCACGATTTGATCGTTGGCAGGGGCCGTCGATGCATCAGGAATTGAAGATGGGCTAAACGTAGAAATTTAAAACAAAGCATTCAAATAAAAATTACCGTCCAGTGTGAACCGAGCTGTTGGAACGAGTGCGGGCAGTGTTGGCGGGAGTGGAGGCAGGTGAACAGGCAGTATTGATTGATGGAGAACGGCTTGCGAGACGAGCAGTCTTCACTGAAGAATCCGATGAGAGACGTCCACGAGCATTCTGAGATGGAGATTGGCTGATGGGGCGTGAAGGACGAGAAGCAGACAGCGATGCATTTGAAGAAGTACGAGCGGTCCGCATAGATGGAGAAGTTGCCGGGGCGAAGGAGAGCTTGCGGAAATCACTAAAGAATCAAAGAGTTTACAAAAGCATAATCTAATTTACCTGTTCGATCGAGCGGTGTTAATTGGCGTACGATAGGCAGAACGGGCGGTTCGGAGATTGCTTAAAAGTACAACCATTAGAATCCGGAGAATCATTGCCATTTACTTAGTTTTTCTATTCAAAAGTTACCTGTTAGATCGAGCCGTATTGACTGGAGTACGACTTACAGAACGAGCAGTCCTAACCGAGGGTTGGCTAGGCATACGAGGAGCCGACCCGATTTCACCACGTTCTCTAGTGCGAACATCACTAAACTCAAAATTAGAGTAAAAAGCATGGTACGACAATACCTGCGTGAACGGGCAGTATTAAATGGGCCAAGTTCTGCGGTGCAAAGCGAATTGGAACTAAATAATTTGTACATAGGTAGCGACAAAGATAAACCTGCCACTTCGACCAGCACGAGCGGAATTTCCACGATTTGAGCTAAACAAAGTACAAATTATTAAAAATGAGTCAATCTAACTGGGCAGTATGAACAGATGAACTACGAGCAGCAGAGGGATGAGCGCGAAGATTGACGTCACGAGTACGGCTTGCACAACGGGCGATATGGAGATTGCTGGCATTGCTTAAAAAATAAGATATCATAAAACAATTGGAACCATTTCAATGACCAAACATAACTCTTCTATTCTAGTCTCTCAAAACTTACCTGTTAGATCGGGTCGTATTGATGAGAGTACGACTTGCAGAACGAGCAGTCATGACCGAGCGTTGATTGGGTGTACGAGGAGCGGACCGGATTTTACCGCGACCATCTGTGCGAGAACCACTAAGGCAAAATTGAATTACGCAAAGTTTTAAACTGTAATGTACCTGCGTCGGCGAGCCGTGTGAACCGATGAACTTCGAGCAGCAGAATGAGCCGTATGAATATCACTAAAGTTAAAATTAAACACCCAATCAATGCAATAAAATTAAACCAAAGAGTTCGAGCAGTGTGCAGAGCAGCGTCCGAATCGTACGCGGCCGTTTGAAGCCATGTAGCTGAAGGATTTTCGGCTGTTATGAGGCTCAATTCGGAAAAAAATGGAGCAGCAGTTGTAGTATATTGTGATGGACCTATTCTACATTTGCCAAGTTTAAGGAATTGTTTCTAACCTGTTCCTTCGACAAGACAAGCCAGAGCAAAAGCTTCCTGTTCTCCAAGAGTAAAACGACCATTCAAAACTTCAGTCTAAAATATAGAAACAGTATGAAGAACAGTCAAAAACATTTACCATAAGTCCTCTAGCCAGAGATTTTATCATTTCTTGGGGCAAAAGTCGCTCCAAAATGTCCATTGGCACCGAGAAACCGAGGGGCTTTGTGAAAATCTAAAATGAATCCACTGACAAAACAAATATCGATAAAAACACAACTCTGCTTCCGATTGTTCGACAAGTATTGACTCCTTCTTCGGGTTGATCAGAGGAGTTAACGCTTCGTGCAGTTTTCAAAGCAGCCTCTTCCTAAAATGTCAAAGTTATGTCAAAGTTGCAAATATATACATTGTCCACATAGTAAAGGTGACCATCGATGAGAGTTGGAGTGTAGATGTGATTTCCGAGAGAAGCGGCCAATCCCCTCAACTGAGCACCGCGGACAGGCAAGCCAGATACGCGACGGCGAGCAATGATCTGAATGCAAACGTCATGAGAAGCATTGATGTCATTTATAAAAATGTCTCCCCTCGAAAAACTTAACGCAACTAACCTCGGGTTCGTTGGCCTTATTGAGATCATCACGGAAATAAGAGGATGGAGTTCGACGAAGACGATTCTCGATAATTTGGCGTTCCTGTTCGATTTCAGCCTGATTGAGGCCCGTGTTCAGCAAGTAGTCGCTCGGCACACGGGGAATCTGTTCTAAAATAAAAAGATTGGTAAATTGATCACAAAAGCTAAAGCCTACACTTGCAAAGATTCCGCGTAAATTTAAATTGAGCTTAAGATTTAGCTATAAACGGTTACAAAACAATGAATGACCTTGAAAAGTCGGGTTCTCCTCGAAGCAATAAGTTGAGATGACGGGCCGAATATTTGATGAAGTCATTGTTATGGACTAAATGTATTAAAATTAACAATAGGAATTTAAAAAATAGAAAAAATGGAAAATTAAAAGAAAATTACCTGTTGAAAAGTGAGAGACATCGCAACGGCAAACAATAACAATGAGAAATTTAAAGCCGTCGCTTTATACGAAAAGGTTAAGTGCAAATTATCGACGAATAAATGGTAATTTATGTGAAGATTCAAATTATTGGGAATAGCTAGCCTAGTTTTGAATGAATATTTTAAAGGAATGCATAAAAATGATCAAGATCAACGTTTGCTTTAAAGGTGTTTCGCTGTGTGACATCACTTCATGGGAAAGATGGGCTCACTTCACAAGAAAGATATCCATATCTACGTCAACTACTCAAATTCGATGCACAACAGGTTTTTTAACAAACTTTATCAATCAAGAGAGAATCTATTTTCCATTTTCAGTTTTTCCATGTGATTTGTACTTGTGCTGATGCGAAGATTTTCACAACAGAGTGTCGATTACAACGGCTGCTTGATGTATGCCAGAAAATATAACCTCAAGCTTTCAAACTTTCTCAGATCCTTTGCACGATTTGTGTGGAAACATCGAATGAGCGAACCTTGTCTCAACTCGTCCAATGTGTCTCTCATTTGGCCATTCACGTGCGTCTCCTACCGCAAGGACCACTTCTAGAAGATGTAACCTATTTGTTTTTGTGCTCTCAAACGCACCCTATCTGGCGCACTCAATTCTTCAAATTTCTCCATCATTCCGCAAGGAATTTGAAGAATCAAGTACGCTAGAAGGGATGTGTTTCCAAGCAAATGGAAATCAATTGAAATTTAGGTGATCAACACCCTTCTGTTGACTCCAAATCTCTCAGAAAACTCGGAAATGAGTGTCGTCGAATTGTTCAGATCAATGCCCGATCTATCACTTCAAAGACCCCTTCAATTGGCTCAAAGAAATCCAATCAAGTATGAAGTGTTGGACTTTGTTAAAAATACATGAACCTTATGGTTCTCGGTAAACTTTCGGTACCTGGTGCACTGAATTCCAGTTGGAAATTGGGTACCAGACCGGAACTTTGACAACAAACTCTTGATATCTGGCACACTAGATCCAATAAAGTTGTCTGGTAATTATGAATTCAATGCACCAGATAGTGAAAGTTTACATGTACGTTTACGCCAGCAAAGTTCTAGTTCAAGTGAATCCTTTTTTTATCTGAAATTGTTTGCAGGACTAAGATCTGTACATACATCTTGATCACAGAACGTCGTTTTATTGAACTCATCAAATGTTTCTTCGAGAATGCGATTGCTGCGGTAGACTATACAGTAACCTATACGATTTCTAAACTGTATTAGAGAAAACATACAGTACTCATCTAGTCTCTAGCTTTTTATCTAATCAATTAACTTTTTGTTTACCTTGTTTTCATTCTGTGAAAGAAGATATACAAAATTAGGTGGATTTCATTTAAACCAAGGCAAAATTACGGTAGCTTTTAGAAGTTATTCAGTGGGATAACTATTCAGTTGGATTACTGTACTTTCGAATATTGACGCAAAAACTCTTTTCAGCGTGAAGTCTTCTCATTGATTTCTCAAATTCTTCAACTAAATCTTTCACCGATAGAATTCAAAGAAGTGAATGAATATCTGAAAGAAAACATTATGGTAACATATAGAATGAATCGTTGATATTAATTCTTCTAGGCCTTAACCCTTCTTTCCCCAAAAGAGACGTCCCTCCTCGTGATCGATCATTTCCCTTCATATCTCTCCTCGATTCGTCCGATTCCCGGTTTTTCCATTGACGATTCTCTCAAACATTTCCCGTTACTCAGAGAATCTTTTGGGATACGGTAAGTGGCTCAACGAAGAGAAAAATTACCGTAATCTTTGCAGAACTGATCTAGAATTAATTTTAAGTTATTTTTAATTTTTTGAAAGCACAAAAAATAGCCTTTCAGAAAAGATCGAAATGAGCATTTCTTGACAGGCGATGATGAGCTAGATGAAGAGCTTTTCACAATAACTTTTCACGGTTTTGTTCATTTTTCAAAAAGCGAAGCAGACAAGAAAGATCTTGATGAAATATTGACGGTAATTAAATGAATTACTCAACTTATAGAAAAGGAACGATTTCAGGAATTCCTCCAATATTGGTTGCCATTTGGATCAAAAACGGATCGCTGTCTGAATATCGCCTCGTCAGCGGTCAGAGAATTGTTAAAAGTTGAAATTATTGTTTAAATCTATAAATAATATGAAATTTTTGAATTTAAAATTCCAGGAACTGACAGAAACCTGTGTTCTACTTTTGGAAAGTCGCGGTTTTCACGAAAGAGCCTTTCATTTATTGAAAGAAAAATTGATTGATGAGACATCAAAAGGAGAATTTGATGAAGAAAAGCTTTGTGGGTTTTATGAATATCTTCAATTCTTTAAGCTTTAAGTTCAGTTTTCGAAAAAATTAGTCTAGAGGAGTCTAGAGGTACTTCTAGTCCTTTTAAGCAGATGAGTATTGTCGTTTAAAGCCGACTTTTTTTATTTTTTTGGCTACGGCTAGCTAGCTCATCTTTTAGAAAATAGTTTAAAGTAGAGTTAAGTGAATTTCCCACAAAAAGTAACTGGTTTACGGTAGCTTTCCTCAAGGATTATGGTAGCTTTTCTCAAGGTTTACGGTAGGCTTTCTCAAGGTTTACGATAGCTTTTCTCAAGGTTTACAGTAGCTCTTCCCCAAGCAACCTTTTAGAAACTCTTTACTTATTTCCACTTGCAGTATCATCAATCGATCGTTGCGTTCAATTCAGCGTCTCACATCGAGACGAGGCACAAAATGGCGGATGGATGAGCTCTCTTTTTGAGCATGTCATCACCTTGAATCAAAATGTCAACAACAATACCAATCTTGGTAATATTTTCAATAGGGTTTTTATTTCCAATAGGGTCCATTCGCAGGCATCCGTTCCCGTCTTCTCTCGATCACTCACAAACTATTGGAATCAGACACCACATTGGCTTATCAGCTACTCTCGGCTCTTTATGAAGCTCCATTCTTCGCTCAAGCAAAACTAGAGTGGGTTGAGAAAATTGAAATTTAATTGCTGGACTTTTCAGAGAACACACCGACTTGCTGAAATCAATCTTGATGGCTTGTAGCTATGAGGAATCGATTCTCACTTCGATTCATCATTGCCAAAATGAAGAAATTGGCGAATCACTATTTGTAAGCCTTTTACTGAAATGTTTATCTTGAAACTCTCGTAATCGAGCCTCTAACTTTTATCAAATCTATCTACTTTTAGTCTGATTCTATACCAGAAAATTTTATATAGATTAGAGCCAAGATTACGATAGTTTTCGAAAGTTGACATATTTTAGAAAACTATCGTAATCTTGGCAAAAAGAACGCTCTCCCAAAAAGAATGGGAAATTTTCAGAAACTCTCAAAACTCGGCACAAAGCGATCAACAAGAGTGGCTGGTGGTGGATGTGTGAGATGTAAAGGAATCATTGATAAAGCAGCTTATGTATTTCAGTCAGTTTATATAAAGGATAATTTGTTTTGTTCGTTTTGTTTGTTCGGATTTGTTCGAAAGTACTGTGTGCCAAATAATGTCAATTTGGTCGGTCTAATCAAGTCTATCTTCTCATTTGAGCAATCAACAGATTGTCAAACAAAAAGCATTCCGAATTTTCAGTTGTGGTCACGTGATGCATATGGAATGCGATTTGAATGGAACAAGGACATGTCAATGTGAAAACCCTGGAGTATCCACGTATCCAAGCGTTCGTTTAGTCAATTAGTTTATCTAGAGTTGTTCTTTGTGTCAAAAATGGCTAAACGCACCCTGGCACAGATTTCTGTTCACGGGAAAAGCTAAGAATTGAGTGCTTCAGAAAGGGTGCGTTTAGCAAAGTTCGCGAGGAGAATTTCTACAATTTTTTTTGTTAGGAAAGTAAGTGTTAGCCAATTATTAGGTTGGTGAATTGAAAACTGCGGGACTTTGAACTAAAATTTATTCAACATAAAACCATAAATTCATTCCAAATAATTTCCATTATTATTGATGACTTCTGCCCATTTTACAAGCAATTTGCGGATTCCTCTTTCGTAGTAGGATTTTGGTTTGTGTGTGAGACAAGTGTGAGACTCAAAAATGGAGGAGATATCCCAGTTTGAGCACTTTCTTCAAAAGAAACCCATTTTGGTGTGAATAGAAAAGTTGTAGAGAATCAAAAATTAGGCTTATAGCCAAATTTCCAAAAAGATACACTTCGTAGTTTCGCTTAAAATGCAAGTTTTGTGAAAATTCGTAAATTTGGCATTTCTTGAAAACCAGTTTTTGAAACGTTCTGAAAACTTGGATATAAGCTTGATTTTTGATACTCTACAACTTTTCCATTGACACCAAAATGGGTTTCTTTTGAAGAAAGTGCTCAAACTGTCACATATGGCAATAGCCGGCAGTTTTCAATTCACCAACCCAATAGATGCTTTTAAAGAAAGCACAATGATCTTACAATATTCCCGTCACATCATTTTGTCTTTCATCAACCTCAACAGTCTGTCGTTTTTCAATTTTCTTTACCAACAAAGATTTTGAACGTTTATTTATACTATAAAAAATAAGCACAAAGGGGTGGCGATATGGGAAGAAATTGAAGAAAAACCTAGAAATATTTAACGGAGGAAGAGAAATAAATATGTTAGTGTATAAGTGAAATAAGTAAGTGTTAGCCAATTATTTAGACCCCACGCTCAAGCTCTCATTCAAATTCGAAGCGAATCGTTAAAAGGGACATTTTCTCGAAATGGGACGACACGACTCTTGATTGTAGTCCAAGACGAAAAAATTGACATTTCATTTCATTTACCTTTACATTTATGTAAATTTTTATCCAAATGCATATTTATTTTATTTCTTTCGGTGCTGTTCTTTTCAGAGCACTTTGAAAAGAACTCAACTCTCTCAAACTTATTCTGTGCCTATTCACTGTGATTTCTTTCCAATAACGAGTGTTTTATAAATGATAAAGAAGTAAATATCTATTAATTGTACAATGACTGTTATTCTTTATAACAATAACAGATTCAAATTACACGTTATAATTTGCATTTTTCTTTTGAAATGATCCTTCACTCATTCTTCGTCCCTCCGGTGCAACTTGATTTGTGTTGGCTGAGAATGGAGCCGAGTATTGACGAGTCTGAAATTGTTCATCAGTAAATTACATGTTCATCTGTAAATTACAAATATTATACAATACTATCGAAGTCTATTTACAGTATTCCAGTCTAAGTAGACTGTACTGGACGTGTTCTTTGCGATGTACTTTGCGCTCAAAGGATGTAAACCTGCCCTTTCTGGCGCGCTCGTTTCTGTCTATTTTCGATCATCGATTATGTCAGAAAGAGTGCTTTTCGATCTCAAAGTGAACACAAAAAGTAGACTGACCTGTTGATTGGTGGAGGAACTCGCTGGGGCTGCTTGCAGTGATCTCAAATTCTAAAATTTCCATATGAATTTCTTGATTTCTCGTTATTTTCACAAACCGATACAGTCATCTGTGCCATATAATCATCCTGTAATTCCTCGGGTTCCGTGATTTTCTTCTGTTTTGTAACATCATGCAATTTCCGATCAAGAAGATCCGAGAACAGGGAATACAACATTTCGACTGAGGCTGGATCTTCCACTAACTGGAATTCTAATTTGTTATTGGATTTGATATTCGTTCACAAAAACAGATCCAAAACAAAAACGATGAAATCTAGGGTATTTGGTTTTTTTATTCCGATACATAGATTTTGTTAAAACTTTTCAAAATTCAAAAGGCTAAGTCAAGAAAATGAGAAAAGTTTCGCTTGGCTCGCTTGGCTTTTTAGAATAGTTCTGTCTATACTACTATAATATTACAAATATACTCTCAGTACTCTCAATTACTGTAGTCTCAGTTAACAGTCTCAGTCTCTCAATTACTGTAGTCTCAGTTAACAGTCTCAGCTCCATTCTGTGTCTCAGAACAGTCCAGTCTCCATCTGTAGTCCAGTAACGTCTCGTCTTCAATCTGTAGTCTCAGTTAACAGTCTCAGTCTCCAATACTGTGTCTCAGTTACGTCCAGTCCTCATTACTGTAGTCTCAGTTAACAGTCTCAGTACTCTCAATTACCGATAGTACTCTCAATTACTCTATTCATTGTTGCTTTTGTTTTACCTGATGTATCGTATCCCTTCTTTTATACGGAAGTTCGGGACTTGGATCACCCGTGGATGTTGATGAATCAAAGCTGATTGAAGAGAGATTTCTCTTGTCACTTTGGAGAGCATTCCTAGGGAAATCAAAGCCTTCTTTCTTTTTCATAACCTAACTACAACACTCAGAATTTTCAAAAAGATAAAAATTAGATGAAAACGAATTTACAGTCAGTTAATTTCAGTTAACAGTCAAATTTCAAAACGATAAGCTCACTTTTTGTCGATTTTCTTCTTTTTGGGTAAATGCTCTTTTAGAGCAAGGGCTTCTTCGAGGGTAATCTTTGCATAAGCACGAACGATCACTCAAATCAACATTTTCATTTCAAAAACGTCAATTTTCCCTTACCCGATGCATCGAAATCTTTCTTTTCCTCATTTCTCATCAGAATCGGCCTCAAGATCTTTGCATTGATTCGCTCATATCTGAAAATTCCTTTGACTGCTTTTTTTTCCCAATGAAACTCACGTGTCTCTTATGTAATGCTCTCCGCGAATTCCGAAGATTTCTTCGACACCCGACATCGTGTAATCGATATACTAAATTTGTATTTAAAAATACTATCGTATTCCGTAAAATAGTTGAGCATTTAACCACTAATTTTTTTAGATTTCTCAAATAACAGATTGAAAATCTGAAATAAGAACATTTTGAACTTCCTAAAGACTTCAAAAAACTTCAAAAGGCTTTAAATAATAGCTATAAAGTTTTGAAAGCTTGGATTTACTGTCGAATTCTAGCGTTACCTTCATGAAGACACTCTCAGTCATCGTTTTTTGTCGTCCATCGGATCGTTCGACCTTCAACCAATTGACGATTGGACGAATGGTGATTCCCTGAATTCAATTGAACTGTATTCGGAAATTTAAACAGATAAGAGGATCAAAAATTATAGACTTACTATCATTTAATTGAGAAGAAAAAAAAATTAGACTAGATTACAGATTAACGAGATAGAGATTGACGAAGAAGTTAGAGCCTTTCTATTTATTTCATATCCAACTTTCAAACCTGCAGAAGAACAGTGAAATAAATGACGGCAATCGTCGTCGTGACAAACATCGGTTTAGCGGCCATTGAATCTGGCAGAGAAACTGAGAGACCGAAAGCGATCGCGCCACGCAGACCACCATAGGAAAGGATGAATTGATCCACCTGCAGAAGGCATTTTTCGATAAGAAAAACCAATTTCAATTAGTAATTTTCCCTACAGTAATTGGATGACTCACCAGCGAGAATTTCTTCTTCCGGAATTTGTTCAGAATGGCACACTGAACCATCACGCCTAAACGGTTGAGATTTAATTGAGATTGAGATTGAGATTATACTCTTGAATTTCTTAAATAATCTATCGTAATCTTATTCAGTGCAAAAATCTCACCAATTGACCGGAAGATCAAACAGAAAGCGACAGTGATCGAAATGAATGCCCAATCAAAATGATGTGGAGTCACGATGGCCGAGACACCCAAAAACATGAATAATAACTGAAATGAGTTCTTTTTTTCAAATATTTCAAAATCTTTACCGTTTCAGCGCCAACAGCCAACATTTTCGTGAAATATTTGACGGAATTCGTGGCAGCTGGTGTTAGATTTCCCTTCACATATTGTTTCATTACCATTCCGCAAACCGAGATCCTGAAATCTTCGTTTTTATCAATTAGATTTTGCTGGATTAATTTCGGAATTGATTTCAGGGAAAACTCACGCCAGAATGGATGACATTCCCATCGAATCGGCCAACAAATACGCCATATAGGGGACAACGAAGACGAAGATTGGGGCAAGGATGCGGATGTGATCCGAGAATCTGAAATTCGAGACATTTGTGCTGATTTGATGATATTCAACTTTCTTCACTGAATATCTTTCTTTATTTAGTTACCGTATTTTCTCTAATAGTAATGCACCCTGAGCGTCGCCTAAATTGCTCGAAATCTCGAGAACCACTTATCAGAACCTATCGATGTGGGGTCGGAAAATGTAGCTGACGATGAGATCTAGTGGGGGATGAGAGTGCTGAGCTTCTGCAAAAGCTTGGAAACCGTAAAATCGTCACCAACTCGGCTCGCCGGGGTGCACTACTATTAGAGAAAATACGGTATATAGTTAGCTAGAAGTAACAAGATAAACCCGAAGCCTTACTTTGTGACGATTGCGACAACAAACGCAAAAATGATCCCAACGGCTGTCCCCCCAACAGCGATCGCGAAAAAGGAGACAACGCCTTTACCGTAATCGGCAATCTGGAAGAGAAATGGTTGTATTGCACGGCTACTGTATGTTTCATTTAGACATGTGCACTATTGACTACAAATGTAAACTAAAAACGCTTCTAACTTGCTTCAAATCTACCGGATTAACATGATCGATAGTTCAAAAAATACAGAATCTCAAGAGCTTTCAAATGGACGAAAGCACACCCAAAAATATCAATCAAAGTTACAGTGGTTTGTAGCCTGACTCGATAGCTTCGACTACGCGCGAGTACGGTCCGTTCCTACTAAAACCACTGCAACTTTCTTTAGCTTTGATGCTTTTGAGTGTGCTTTTGTCCATTCGAAAGCTCTTGAGATTCTCTATTTTTTTGAGCTATAGCTCATGGTAGATTTGAAGCAAGTTAGAAGCGTTTGTAGTTTGTAGTGCCTATGTCTGGTTTCATTGACCCTTAAATCTTCATATTTGTTAGTTCAGTAAGTCAGGTCGGAAGCAAGGTCTAGGTCTGGCTTCTGGTACTTTTGTGGGCAATGACTGGCTTTTAGCCTGACCCTGGGAAATCAGTTTTGGCTCTTAATCCCAGAATAGTGACTTTGGAAGTATTCAATTTCTTCTTTTCAGAAATATTATTTGACAATTAGTAGGCAGTTATTTGACAATTAGTAGGCAATTAGTAGGCACTCCGAATAATTTTTCTCACCTCGACCCGTTCCGGCCCGATATCATAGAAATTCTTGAACATTTTATAGAGTACAACCGATACAGCATCGTTGAAGAGAGCCTCACCAAAGACGTTGATAAAAAGGAACTCGTTTACATGCACTTCCTCGAATACTAGAATTGAGGCATAGAAAGAATGATGAAGGAACGAGGTACCTGCAATGACAGCCACTGGGTCAACGGCTGAGATGAGTGAAGTGAAGGTGAGCACTTCGAATGCATCAAATGGAATGCTGAAGAGACCGTATAGGGATAACAAATAGAGGCCACCACCTGAAAAGATTTATGAAATAGATAAATCAATGGTTTACCGTAATCCCTGTAATAAATTTGGTAACCTATGGACTGTGTTTGGACTCAATCTGTACTCTTTTCGTTCACTTTTGAAAGCCACCTAGCCAATCCTGTCTCTAGTTTTATCCACCGCCATCCTGCCTCGATCTTTGATTTTTGATTCAATTCTGTGAGAGTTCACGAAGGATATGCTAGAGACAAGATTACGATCGTTTTCCACAGTTCACACATTTTAGAAAACACTAAAATGAGTGGGCTGAAATTTACCGATGGCTATCGTATTCCAGACAGTTCCAATCACCGCAAAAAGCATGACCGAGCCGAAATTCTCGAAGAGAGCCCTGTTCGGCATGAAATATCCTGAATACTTTATTCTATAATGATATTTTCTTTTCAATACCTGCATCAAAAATGATTGGCGGTAGAAGGAAATGGAAGAAGTAAACGGACTCTAGTTGGTAGTATTCGGCTTTGATCGATTCGATTCCTGAATGGATCTTTTAGATTAAGTACGAAGTACTGTAGTAATATCCTGTTCTAATTGTACTACAGTAAGTCTTCTCGTGAAATTTACCATAGTGCAGAATCCATCCCAGCGCAAAACCGACGAAAACGAGCAAAGAACTGTCGGGGAAATATTTCGAGAGTGGACGAATGAAGTGAAATACTGAAATGTCAAGGGAAAGCATTTCAATCTCTTAAATCTCTTATCTCTTATCTCTTATCATTATCTCTTAAACCTAGAAAACTCACAAATTTTCACTCCACTTGCAATTGCCAGCCATGACGCGACAACGAATGGAGTCTCGATCGCCGAGAAATCAAAGGTTAAAATCTAAAGGAGAGTTTTTAAGTAACAAGCGATAAACCAAATAAACTGTGATCAGGAACAGATCAAGTCAGAAACCAGATCTCACCCTGACTTCTGGTCTGGCTTACATTTCGATTGGAACCTAGGGTCACCCCTAAAACATTCCAGGGTTCCAGTTTTCCGAACCAGACCATAACAGGGTAGGCCATGCCGGAAAAGAGCTTCTGGACTTCGGCCTTACCTCGCTTGAATTCTAGAAGCAAGTGCTAGGCCTAGATCTAGTCTGATCAAACCTGGCTACAGGCTGCTACAGCCCCTGAGACTCTGGCAGGCTATCTCTGGCAGGCTAGCCAAGGGAACCCAAAATTCGCCAGGATAAGCTAGACCAGAGTTCAAAATTGGACAAACCCTTTGATATGACCCTAATATTGAATTGTATCCATGAACGAACCTCATAAGAAGGCAAAGTTTTGGTGACATTCTGCGTATCGACACAACATACACATAACGCTAACAGTAGACCGAATTGGAGACAATTCGGCATTGATTGAAGAATTACCGAAGGAATGGGGATGATCGAGTATGGCAAATCTCTAAATAATTGAAATTGAAGAGGTTTTAGAGAAATGAAAGGAATTGGCGAGATCTCAAGAAAGCGGGGAAAGAGGGGTCAGGCCTTGATCTGAATAAGGGATTTACAAAAAAATTTAGGGGAAACGGAAAAACGGTTGTGTGAAAAGGGGAAAGACACAAGTTTCTCGGGGATTTTCTCGAGAATGGAGAGGATGCGGTTTGCTCAAACGATGAGCGGTCACTCTCAACTCTCAACCCCCAACTGTCCATTCAGGAAGACAAGGATTCGCTCCATGAGGCTCAGAGTTCACCTTGTTGAACGAGTCTGTTTTTTCAAATAAAAAAGAGCATCACTCCCCACCCACTCAACCGTTTTTTTTTGAACTTTTGAGTAATCCGATGATTTGGTGATTCTAAATTTAGATCTAAATTCGAAATTTTTAGTGAGAAGCTTCAATTTCCAATTCCGATTCTTTTTTTAAAACAACAGAAATTCGGTTTTTGTTCGGTTTGAACCAGAGAGTCGACTTCAAAAATTGAAAAAAGTTTTGACTTATGATTGTGATTTGAAATTTCAAACAATGAAAAACAATGAAATTTCCTCATTTTAGTTGGACTCCAAATGGAACACTGGGATTGAAAAACTTGAATTTGTTTCAGAGAAAAAAACGAAATGAAAGTCTTTTCTGAATGGTGAGGATCTCCTCCCTTTCCCCTCCCATCCCCACTTCAGACAGGATTCAGATTTGAGATTCAGTGTGAAGTATGTGCGGTCAACACCACCTAATTTTGTAGTTCAATCGAATCTTATCCATTCATTTTCTTGTTTCTATCTTTTTTTTTCTTGAGCTTACCTGAAATTATAAAAAAAAAACGTGAGTTGAGGAATTACAAAAGAGTCACCGACTAGCAGCTGGCGTTTTTTCTGGAATTTTAAGATTTTGATAATAATGAATGAGTAGATATAATGGAATTTGTTGAAATTGTCTCAAGAATGTTTTTCCTACGGTAACTGAACAAAAATAGACATTCGACAAGAAGGACAGGGCGAAAATGAACTGTTGTGCAAATTGGAGCTGAACTTATAAAAAGTGCAAATGTTGAAAGTCTGATCAATATTAATCATGAAATATTAATCTTTTACCAGTTTATTATTTGATGATCTAAATGTATCAAGAGATTTTTCAAGAAAAAATCTTTTTGTTTTGTTTTACGAACTTTAATTTTTGACTTAAACCAGATTTTGTTCTTGAAAAGATTTGCATAGTATAGTTTGTTTTTCAAATGGTCTAAAATACGAGCTTTTGGATAATCTACAGTAAACACTGTCAGTTAACATTAAAATATTCGCGACAACATATTCCTTTTTGCGTGTTTCGGCTTCTGCAAGCAAATCGTCTTTGCAGAGAATTTTTATCCCGGGTTTTTAAATCCGGAGAAGTACTAATTCCAATCCCGGGGTACTTTAGTAAGAAAAATAAACTCGATTCGGATTCCGTAAACCGCGGAGTTTGTTAAGCAAGTCCTATATAGGGTTTACAAAGGAGTGACTCGAGTAGAAAAACAAAAGTTTTCAAAAAAGACTTAATCCTATGTACAACAAGGGTCTATACAATCAATCTCAACTGGAAAATGAGCAAAAGTTGAGAAATCATTTACCAATTCAAGATGAGTTGGAGCAGAAAAAATGAAGAGAGAAAACGAGACCGAGGTCGTTTAAGCAAATTTTCGAGAGGGAGGGAAATGGAAGGAGTGGTTAGCCATTTCATCGAGAAAATTTGGATAAAAAGGGAAATAGAGAGAATTTCTCCTTTTTTTTTTTTTTTTTCCTGCTCCATCGAGACACCAATAAAATCGTTTCCACCTGTTACTGTAAGCCGGAAAAGAGACAAGGGAAAACAGGGGAAAAACAGAAAACGATCACTCGTGTAAATGGGAAAATGACGTGATTTTAAGGGGATTTTTGGAGAGGATTTTGCAGAGATATTCTCGACATTGATGAGAGCGATGATGAGGAAATTTGGATGGGATAAAGAAAATAAGGAGATCAATCTTTGGATAGACTTTGATCTCTTGATGAGGTTGGGCAAAACAATTGCAAAAGGAAAGGGTGAGAGCTTTGAAAGATGAAAGTTTGCTAAAAAAAAATCACATATGGAATTTTGTGATTCCATTCAATTTACAGTTTAAGTTCTCATAGAATAAGAAAATACTGTATTACTTACTTTTAATACGGTAGTTCTAGATCATGCAAAATCTAAATGAAGACGAAGGTAGTTTTTCGGAATTCGAACTGTTACCAGTCTGTTGTAAATAAATTTACCACTCTTAGTATCATAATACCTACCCTCACCAAAGGCGAAATAAATTGATATACTGTAAGGATTTGGAAAAGAAGAACAGTTTGTCTGAAGAAGTTTTAAGAAATGGAGCTCTGAGTGTGAACAAAAAAAATCTTATAGCACTATTTGAAAGTGGAAAGCGGACTAAGGATGAAAATTGAGAGCCAAGATTGAAAGTGAGTTTTCTGTTACAGATCTCCTGTTGCAATAATGAACAGTAAGTGCACTTTGTGCTCTCAAAGGATGGAAACCGTTTCTGGCGGAGCGGATTCCCAGGTGTCACAAGAAAAAGGACAAATCTAGTGCTCCAGAAAGGGTGCGTTTCCCCTTTTCGAAGCGCAAATAGAGTAATCGATAAGCGGTTCATTAGTCAAGGATGAAAATACTGCGAAATGGGCAATAAAGAGCTATTTTGCGAACTCCCGAAATGGTATCCCGAGAGATTGGGTATCACTTTCAGGAGTCCTCCCCTGTCCCAGATCTATCTCTTCTCTCATTCTCCTCTCTGATTTACGACTTCGGCTCTTTTAATTTCAAACGGGAGATACATATGCTCGAGACATTTTGAATAGGACAAGGCACACTGACATCATACCAACACACACAAATCCCCATTCGATCAAACAACTCTTCAATTTTATGGGTCAACTGCATGAAAATCAAAGTGCACAAAAAAGATTTTGTTCGAAAGACACAAGTGAAGCTGTTCTCGAGATGCACAAAGAAAATGAGAAAGTTTCATTGATATCGGCCAAATCTGAATACGGGAAATGGTTGATGAGGAAAGAAAGGAAAAGAAAGAGAATTGATCAATCGGTTGAGAAGTTTGAAAGAGAAAAAGAGAGGGATTCGATGAGAGGACGAGCAAATCACTCTCCCCTTCTTCATTAATTCTCATCCCTTCCCCGCACTCACTCTCCTCTCTACCGTCTGTCAGAAAAAGAAAAGCAGCTCTCGAGGCGTGACAGAAACGAAAATTGAGGCTTTGGCTTTGTGACAACGAATTGCGAAAGAGAGGATCACGCAAATCATCTTTAAAGAAAGCTGTTAGACACCACGAATACTTGGATAGAAAACTTTTCGTTGCGCAAACTTCATTTATTAATCAAACCCATTTATTACACCGAAAAAGAACCATTTATTGCATGCGAGTTAAAATATCAGACTTCGTTAATTTTCGTTGATTGACCTTTCAGGCGGCGTTTGTCCAGGGTGTCCAGTGGTGACGGGCACAGCTCTTTCCGAATTTTCCTGTGTCTCTTCAAATTTGTCGGCTTTAGCCTCGGCACGGGAAACGACCTAAAGATGAGCAATTTATACATAAGGCACTTGTGTGCAAGAGCTCACCATGATGGCTTTGATATCCTGTTCGGCTTGAGTGGCGTCGAGATCGATGGCGATGGCCGGAGCGGGACGAGCACGTTGACTTGCCGGCAATGGTATCACCATCTGTTGAATAGTCACCTAAATATACAGACATATAATTATTTTAAAACTCGCCTTTAGAATAAAAATATGTTACAAACCTTTAAATCGGCGTCAAGGCAAACAACGGCGGCAGTGTTGCTGAACTGGTTGCAGTAGTTTGGGGCTGAGAATACGGTGATCAACCTAAGAAAACAGAAATATGCATCGGATAAACTAAAGAAATGTTACTTTCTGCCTGTCATAATTTCGTATCCATCCTGGATGACTTGATGTGCTCGAATGATGAGATCGACGCCGAGAATTTGACAGCCTTGCTCCACGACCCCTTTTCCGAACATGTAGGAGATGCCTAAAAAAGTGGTTAGAAATTATAATTCAAAACCGACCTCTAATCGAGTGGAACCATCCGTCTCCTTGATTGGTGGGATCAGCCCAGAGGAGATCGATGAGAAGCCCTCGATCAAGTGGTTCACATGGACGGACGATGTTGCGAAGAACGTCGAGATGAGTGAGATCAGGTGAGAGCCCTCCGTGCATGCACAAGACCTGCATATAAAAAGTTAGTAAAGTCGTTTAAAAATAAGCTACCTTCTTTGCGATGAGGCCAGCCATGGGCATTCGATTGAAGCAGCTCTGAAAATCCCACCAAAGACCGATTCTGAATAGATCACAGATTACACAAATGTTCCAACTCTTACCCAGGATATTGATATTTCATCAAACACTCATTGTAGAAACCGTAGATTTTGTTGACGGCTGGAGTTTCGTGGTTTCCACGCAGCAGCATCACTCGTTCGGGATAACGAATCTTCCAAGCGAACAAGAAAAACACAACCTAAACGTCATAAATCAAATAAACGAAACTAAGCACCTCAAGCTCAATTTTAAAAAACAACCTCAAGACTTTGTGGTCCACGATCAATGTAATCGCCGAGAAAAACAAGGCGCTCTTTTGGGACACGGCCGATGATATCGAATAACTTGTGCATGTCCTAAAACATTAAATTAGGGGGAAATAATCTCCATAAACAGTACCTGAAATTGTCCGTGAATATCGCCAATCACTTTGCATGGAGCTACAATCTCGGCCAAGCAACTCTCCGACATGAAACATTTCTTTGCCTCATCGATGATCTGAAGAAATCAATTTACTATCTAGCGTATACAATCTAAAAAGGTTCAGCTCAGTATGCGTAGTGAAGTTTCTGGAGTACTTAATAGCTCAAACCAGTTTAAAGGCAACTCACTCGGACAGCATCACCAAGTGAGATGACTTGCGCTAAATTGGCCTGAGCCGGGGAGACGCCGTAGAGTTCTACAATGAAAATAGTTTGGCAATGCAATAAAACGACGACTCACTTTGGAGACGCTCGATCACGATGTCAATCCAAGGAATTGGCGGTTTGTACTAAAATTTTAAATTCAGGCTCAGGTAAACAAAATAAAGAGTATCAAAACTATGACCTACATTAACATAACGCTAACAGTAAACCTAATGCAAACGACCCGAGAAACGCGTAAACAAAAACCATAAAACATTCAAAAACAGATCTGTGTTTCACTCATAGCAGAAATCAAAGTAGACGTCTATTTTAGTCGAATTTGAAAGATGAATTTTGAGAGAAACTCTGTTAAATTTATTGCACCTTTAAAATGTAAAGCTATCGATCCTTATGCAAACTTTTAAGGATACAAGAAATCGCACCTCGTAATCGTGATCTCAATTGATCAGCCTGAGCGAGCCAAAACGAATTGGGACCACACTCACTTCCAGTGTTTTTAGAGGTTAAGGGAATTGTGGCCCTAAAGAGGGCCGTTGGGTTGGGTTTTCGTTGAGACGTTTCAGCATTTAGGCACGTTCTCCACGGATGCGCCGAGCGAGTTGAATGTCCTTGGGCATGATGGTGACGCGCTTAGCATGAATTGCACACAAGTTGGTGTCCTCAAAGAGGCCAACGAGGTAGGATTCGGAAGCTTCTTGGAGCGCCATCACAGCCGATGATTGGAAGCGGAGGTCGGTCTTGAAATCCTGAGCGATTTCTCTGACGAGCCTTTGGAAAGGAAGCTTGCGGATGAGAAGCTCCGTCGATTTTTGGTATCGACGGATTTCCCGGAGTGCGACTGTTCCCGGCCGGAAGCGATGTGGCTTCTTGATTCCTCCGGTCGCTGGGGCCGATTTGCGAGCCGCTTTCGTGGCGAGGTCTTTGCGAGGCGCTTTGCCGCCAGCGGATCCTTTGCGGGCAGTTTGCTTGGTACGTGCCATCTACTTGAATTTTCAAACGATGAAAGGTGCGAATATGGGGAAAGGTGGCTGGTTATAAGCGTCTTCCAAAAAGGGGCGGGGCTTGCCATCGGCAAGGGGAGTTGACGTAAAGGGGCGGGACTTATCTTGCCACTGGCAATCTGCCCCGGCATCCATATAAATAGCCGCGTCTCTTCCACTTTTTCATCTCATTCGTGAGCGACAAGCAATTCGAAATGTCTGGACGTGGAAAAGGAGGCAAAGGACTCGGCAAGGGAGGAGCGAAGCGTCATCGCAAAGTGCTTCGCGACAATATCCAAGGAATCACGAAGCCAGCGATCCGCCGGCTCGCTCGTCGTGGTGGTGTGAAGCGCATTTCTGGACTCATTTACGAGGAAACTCGTGGCGTCCTGAAAGTGTTCTTGGAGAACGTCATCCGTGATGCGGTCACCTACTGCGAGCACGCCAAGCGAAAGACCGTCACCGCAATGGATGTCGTCTACGCCCTGAAACGCCAAGGCCGCACCCTCTACGGATTCGGTGGATAATTCCTTCAAACGATGAGAACAAGTAAAACCCCAACCCAACGGCCCTCTTTAGGGCCACAAATGATCTTGTTAAAATATTCTCTTCAATGTTAGAATAATAATGTTCTAACGGACTCGAGGTCTGATCTCTTTCTAAACGAAAACTGGGAATTGTGCTTTGTTCAATCCATGGAATCAAAGCCTGTTGAAAGTTCGGGACTATAACAATACCGCACCGCCATTTGCGCACACGTGGAAAAACGTCTTTTGCGCACAACAGGCTTCGCCCACTAACTTCAAGCGCTGAAAGTTGCACCAAATGGCCTACATTGTTTCGATTGAGCCCAAATTTTTACAGCATGTTGCGCTCGCCTATGCCCATCTACTGGATAAATTTCAGCTTGATAGTTTCACTACAAAAAATAGGAAGCCATTGTTTGCTTTGTGCGCTTTTTGCCTTTTGCCCACAAAAAATTCAATTCACTCTAAAAATTTTTGCGCACACAGACTCTGCCCGTGTGCACAAAAGACGTTTTTTCACGTCTGCGCAAACGGAAAACGCAAACGCAACAAACGGATTAGAATAGAAGTTTTTTTTCGGGACTATAACAATACAGTTATAGTCCCGAAAGTTTTATCACCTTGGAAGAATTGGTCGGTTTCATCGGTTCTGATAAGGTTAAGTTCACCATGTACAACGCAATATTAAAATTTCTCTACTCAAGCTAATGGTAAGTTCCGTTCTTGCAAAAGCGTACAGTTGAGCCGTTTTATCGGCTGAATGAAGGCAAGTCTGCTATGTATGCAATGAGGTTTTTATGGCATTCCACAATTCATAAAAATTATCAAAAGTACGTCAAAAAAACCATTCACTAGTTTTATTCACAACGTTTAGCGAGAAAGGGAAAACTTCAAAACTTCAAAACACGTTTTATAATCTTTCACAAGTTCGTTGGTCGGTCAGAGAGTGGATGATGGTGAGGACGATCGGCATGACGATTGAAACCGGGGCAATCACTGAAATGCAAAGATTATGATGAGCAAATTTTATCTAAAATAAACGGTTTACCAGCTTATCGCTACTTAGCCAATGCCTTTTATTTGGCTACTACCAACAAATAGGTAGGCATTTAAAGCGAAAACAAACTCACACACCCCAAAGAACCAAAATCGCCGAAATACGCGATGAGCACCCAGAAAGTGATTTCGCATGCTCTAAACAATTCATGGAGTTTTAATAAAGAGTGTGTCACAAAAATCAATTGATAAAATGCCTCACTTAGTCCATTGGAGTGCCGCAATAACTGGATTGGATAAATTGGTTGGTGAATTGGGGCTCGCACTCGCTTTGCTTCGACCATGTTTCGACTAAACGAGAAATGAATTGTCCATCCAGGCAGTTTAATTTAATGAATGTTAAAAAACGCACACCGATGGCTTCTTTGGCTTGATGTTGCTATTTCGTGGTGGAGCAGAGTTAAGCGACAAGTCCCATGCCACATCATTCCTAAACAAAGAATGTAATTCATTTTAAAAACACCAACTAACTCTTTAAATAAGATTTTAAGTTACAAATACAACTCTGACTTCTAGAAACTTTAACAGCTAAAAAAGTTACCTCAACATCCTTGTTTTCTATCTTTTTTGTAAGAAAACAAATAAACTAACGCTGGTGGTGGTGGTGGGGGTGAAGGAAGAGGCGGCTCGGCGTTGGGTGCAGTGGTGGTGATTGCCCTACGAACTCGTACATCGCTCGTGTCTCCTAAACAAAAGAATGTAAATCGTTCTAGAAAGATTGTATTGCAGTTTGAAAGTAAAAAATTTCAATGCTGTTTACACCACAAAAAGATGCATGCTCCTTCAAGATATCAACAAACGTATTGACGACTTTCCTACGTCGTGACCAATTCAAAATGAAGCTGATTCTAAGTCTAGTCACCTTAGAACGACATGAACTCGAAATAGATAATAATCGAACAAGCAGATAACAATTTTATGTTGATAAAGAAGATGCAAACGTTTTAAATTAAATTAGTTACCGATTATTAGAAGAGCAGATGTAAAAACTTACAATTCGGAAGAAATCTCAAAGAACGGGCGATTGTCGAACAAAATAGATGAAGGATGCGCCGCATTTCGAAAGATTTCGGGGCTAAAAATAAAAAATATTTACGAGTTTAAATTGTAAAAGAAGTAGAAATGAAAGGACTTTTTAACGGAGCCGTAATTCAGAAGAAAACTTGAAGCGAAGTTCAGTCCAATTTCCGAACTTTTAATTTGACTCCACGAGTTTTGCAATTTTAAAGAAATCATTTGTGGCCCTAAAGAGGGCCGTTGGGTTGGGGGTTTTGTTGAAAGCTCGACTAGCGTTTACTCATCTTTTTCACCGCTGGTTTTCTTGGGAAGAAGAACGGCTTGGATGCTGGGCAGGACGCCTCCCTGAGAGATGGTGACTCCTGACAGGAGTTTGTTCAGCTCTTCATCGTTGCGGACGGCCAATTGGAGATGACGGGGGTTGATCCTCGACTTCTTGTTGTCTCGGGCAGCGTTTCCGGCCAACTCCAGCACTTCGGCCGTGAGGTATTCGAGCACAGCAGCCAGATAGACTGGTGCTCCGGCGCCGATACGTTGAGCGTAGTTCCCTTTCCGGAGGATGCGATGGAGGCGTCCGACGGGGAACACGAGTCCAGCCCGAGTGGAGCGCGCCGATCCTTTGTTCTCCTTGCCTTTTCCGGATTTTCCTTTCCCAGACATGGTCGCTTCGTTGCTTGTTGAGAGTGATGACGATAAACTATCGATACGGTGACCGAGTATGAAGCCCTTTATATAGTCCTTGGGGTGAGGGGGCGGGGCTTGCCGTTGGCAGTCTTCTTAGCCCCGCCCCCACACCCCAGATCCCATATAAAGCCCCCAGGCAAGGAAAAGCTCACCTTGTGTTCGACAACGCAAACTCAACAATGCCACCAAAGCCATCCACAAAGGGAGCAATGAAAGCAGCGAAATCGCCGAAGATCGTCGCTAAGGGGGATAAGAAACGCAAGAAGTCGAGAAAGGAATCCTTCTCGGTCTACATCTACCGGATCCTCAAGCAAGTCCACCCGGACACCGGCGTCTCCTCGAAAGCCATGTCAATCATGTGCTCCTTCGTTAACGACGTCTTCGAACGAATTGCTGCTGAGGCTTCACGTCTTTCCCACTACAACAAACGATCGACGATCTCATCTCGTGAAATCCAGACGGCGGTCCGATTGATCCTCCCAGGAGAGCTCGCCAAGCATGCCGTCTCTGAAGGCACCAAAGCTGTCACCAAGTACACATCATCTCAGTAGATCTTCGGATTTAAAGGAGAAAACAAAACCCCAACCCAACGGCCCTCTTTAGGGCCACAAACTATCTTCGCATGAATGTTGAGCCTAGGAAAAGTTAAATGTGTATGCGGGAGCTGTTGTGCGGAAAAGAGCCTTTTCCAAATGTTGGGGTATTCGCCCTTCGGACTTATGAACTACAGGATTCGGCTCAAATGTTCCGGTTTCTATTCTTTATAAGTTCACGGGGGAAAATGAAGTTTACAACCGATTTCTCATCATTGATTTCACAGTTCCCGGACCTCAGATAACGGATCAAAACTGTATTTAAGTGGTACTTTCAAAGTTTTGTATTGGAAACATTACTCTTCCAAATCAAATGCGTGAAGTATGCCCTTCCATAAATCTTTAATCAAATTTCCCTTTATTTTACGTGACGTTTGGGGACTAAACATCAGCATTCTTTGCCCTCTTATAGACCCCGCTCTTCTTTTTTCACCCTTTCTCCCACTTCTCATTTTTATTTTCTTATCAACAGTTTCCCATCTCAGCAAAGCTTTATATCAAGCCTCCCGAAAACTCGTAGCACTCACTCACTCCAAATTTCGGCGAATTTACTATCAAACTTTTACCCTTCTAGAAACGTTTTCCTTTTCTCTATTGAAACTTATAACTCTGAAATCTTTAGCCAATTGACAAAACATTAAATTTTCAGGGTAGTCTACATCCAACTTTCATTTAAAGATGACGGTGAGCTGTGTGAACATCTAAAGCATAAATAAAAGCAAATTTCAGTTCGAGGAAGCCGCCGAGAAAGTGAAACACTTGAAGGGAAGTCCCTCAAATGATGAACTCTTGGAGACATACGCGCTTTACAAACAAGCCACCGTAAGACCAAAGAGAACATATCATATAGAGATTTCCTATAGACTGGCGATAACACCACATCGAAGCCAGGCATGCTCGACCCCAAGGGAAAGGCTAAGTGGGACGCCTGGACCAGCAAGAAGGGTGAGTAGGCACAATTGATAATCGTATCTAACTACTCATTTCCTCAACCAGGATCATTCAGGCACTTCCTCAGATGATGCCAAGACCAAGTATGTTGCCCATGTCAACGCACTGGTCTCAAAGTATGGATCGAAATAAAAAACCCAAGACTATTTATTAACGTTTACTTTAATTGCTTAGAAGATCTGGAAAATATATTTCGCAGCAAACATCTTAATCACATTCAAATAACGTACAAGTATAACAAAACATTGACTCATCCTATTTACCATAAGCAAGATCACAAATTCGTAGAAGGGCGTGCTTTTTCGTCTTCTTTGGTTTCTTTCCGAGAACCGTCATCAAGTCTGGATCAGCTGCATCGTAACCACTGAAAATAAAAATTGATATGCATGACTGAAGGCCATAATTATCATTTCACTAAAAAACCCACGTATATCTGGTAAGGAAGTAAGTGCCACTCCTAGCCGAATAATAGCTACCGATCACATAAAAGAAGCCGGGCATCACAAAGATCCATCCAACAACTAAAATAGCTTATAAAAAAATTTTGGAAAAAAAAGCAACCTTCCCAAACAAATCCTTCAAAGATAACCAAATGTATAAAAGTGCTCAAGACGGCTCTGAATTAAACGCGGTTCAAGGTTAAATCGATTAAGTAAACTTACAAAATAGCCAGGAAAAAGCTGCGAATCGAGCACATAGATAAAAGGAGGTAATTTTCGGCCAAAATCCCCATCGGCCCCAAACACCACGTGAGAAAGCACAACGATCCAAATATTGTTGGCCAAATCAAAAAACTCTAGATACACTGTGGTGCAAAAGTCCTGACCGGTCGCACTGTCCTATCAAGTCTGAACCATTTCGTCAGAAAAAGAACGTTAAAATTTTATGGTAAAAACGTTTTTGGATAGCTTAAACCTTCTACTTTTATAGTCCAAAGAATGAAAGCAATAACATTTTATTTAACAAAAAATTTTGACAATATTCCGAAACGACTCAAAAAAACATGGTGCAAAAGTCTTGACCGGTACAAGAAAACACAAGAAAATTCAATACTTCGTAGGTCCTCCTTTTGCGACAATGACTGCCTTGATGCGTCTAGGTATCGAGTCGACCAAATCACGTAGAATTCCCAAAGAAAGTTGTCTCCAAACATTTCTGATAAAGAAATAAGCATCGACCTTTGAGTTGAACCGGCGTCCCTTGAGTTTGGCTTTTAAATGGGCCCAAAGATGCTCTATAACGTTCAGATTCGGCGAATAGGGAGGTGCTTTGATCAATTCCACACGATGAGCAGCAAAAAGCCGGGTAGGCGAGCTCTTCCTCCATTTGCAAGCCGGACAACTCGGCCCATCATTAGCTGACTTTTGTGGCTGGGCGTTGTCTTGATATAAGGCCCATCCTTGTGGCATGCTCTGTTTGCAAATGGAAGTAAGTTGTTCTCTATGATTGACTTGTACCTTTGAGCGTCGAGATTTCCATCGATAAACACTGCGGTCCCGATACACTTCGATTCATCGAGCCTAAAAAGACAAATCGTAAGTAAAAAATAGGGCGAACACTTACCCCACAACATAATGCTCCCACCGCCGAATTTGACCGTTGGTTTAACGTATTTGAGCTTATAACGTTGTCCAATTGGCCTTCTGATTAAATGGTTGCCGTCCGGGTAGTACAAATTAATTTTAGTCTCATCGGTGAAAATGACTCGGGCCCAATCATCGGAAGTCCAAAACTCGTAGTTCTTTGCAAAAGCATATCTTGGCTTCCGAGTTCTTGCATTCGTCAAGGGTCGTTTCGCTGGTCTTCTCGCATGTAATTCAGCTCGAATCAATCGCCTATTGAGACTCCATCGGGAAATATCCTTGCCAGAAACAGCCTTCAACTTCTTGATCCCATGGCTCGACGTTGATTAGGGTTTATTCGGTGCTCCCTGATGATCGAACGATCCTCATTTGGTGTTGTAATTGATGGTCGACCTCTTTTTGGGCTCTATGAACGTTTCATTTTGATTTGAATTGCGCCACGAGACGTCTCACTGTTTTTTCAGAACACTTGAACGTTTCCATCACATTCTTCACGCGAACGCCTTTTGTTCGATTCTCGACAATTTTCTCTTTGTCAGGCGTTGATAGATATCGTCCTGGCATCTAAAAAAAAATAAAATTAGAACCAAAAAGTTTATGCAGAAAGACAAGAAATACCAAAAAAAATCAAGAAATAAAAAACCGGTCAAGACTTTTGCACCATGTTTTTTTGAGTCGTTTCGGAATATTGTCAAAAATTTTTGTTAAATAAAATGTTATTGCTTTCATTCTTTGGATTATAAAAGTAGAAGGTTTAAGCTATCCAAAAACCTTTTTACCATAAAATTTTAACGTTCTTTTTCTGGCGAAAATGGTTCAGAGTTGATAGGACAGTGCGACCGGTCAGGACTTTTGCACCACAGTGTATAAGTTTTGGCACTTGATAAAAATCATATCCAAAATAGGAATTAAAGTCAAACGCACCGTATCATCGACCCATTTTCCGGTATTCCATGAGACAATTAAGAAGACAACCAATAGAATCAACTCGTATATCTAAAAAGCTGGTGGTTGGGTTTTAGTTGAAGTTGAAGGCTAACCATGTGAAGAAGAAAAATTGCAACAACGTGACATCCAAAAGAAGCGTAATTTTCACAACCATCCTAAAAGAGCAGTTAGCATATTTGGGCTGAACTTATGATTGACTTGTCCTAGCTCATAAAACAATCGACCACCCATTGAAGGCTTTTGTGCAAATAAGATAAAAAAACAAAAAGGCGATTCGTCGATATTTTAAAACCCATGTTCATGCAAATTTTATAAGATTACAAAGCTAAAATCGGAAATCGATAAATCAATGAATGTTTGTTTTTGTTTTGCGGTAAAAATTTATTTATAAACATGAAAAACAAGAAACAATAAATACAACAAAAACAACAAAATCTCAACAGGACTTCAAAGATTCAAATCATTTGTTTCTTGGTCGTCCGTCTCTTCTGGATATCGGTCTTTAACCTAAACATTAATTGAATACAAATAAAAGTATCTAGCTTTCCATTACCTCGAGATCTTCACCATATTGAATTGTGTTATCGATAACCATCAGGGCCTCGGTAATACTATCTTCATCATTGCTATCCAAAGGAAGAAATTTAACCAGAGAATATTCTTCTAATATCTAAAGCTTTAACAATAGTCAGTTAAATTTTATCTTTAAAAAGTACTTGTGCTATGCTTCTTGTCAATGCTCGGTGTCTTTCATTCCATAAGTGGTTGTCCAATTCTACCAAAGCAGAAGGATCAGTCTCCAAAAATTCCTCGACAAGTTGCTAAATAGCTATATTATATTAAAACAAAAACTAAAACTTGTTACCCGATTTTCGTCTGAAAGCATATCCATCTTCGTTAGTACATTGACGTGCGGAGTTTCAAGCGAAACCATCGCTGATAGAGCAGTTAAAGCTCCCGAGACAAACCTAAATGAGAAAATATCTTACTTATTATCAGACGCAAAGTTTGTATGTGTGCGTGTCCGTTCACCTCATAACTCGAGTCCCAGTGGGAATTTCGGTCGGTTTGGTTTTTTGGGACAATATGCAATCGACTACGGCGGTTTGGCCTGTCAAATCAGAATGGAAAAATCTTTAACCGTTTTTGAGTAACGTTGAAAAAACGGAATTTGGCGGCGAGATCAAAGGCCGTCTAGGGGTACTCCATGAATGTTGGGGGAAATATACTTAGCTTTTGGTGCTAATAACATTTTTAAAAGATTCAGTGTTTTGAGAAAACGGTGAAGGCGGAGAATTTCAGAGGGTCGGCGGCGAAGATCAAAGGGTGTTGAGCAACGGGGAAATATTAAATTTCAGACTCAATGTACCTGTTTTAATCCAACTATTGTAGAGTACAATTGTGCACAAATCTCAAGTTTATAAATAATGTCAACAGATTGCGCTCATTTCAGATATTTCAGAAATTTGGCCGGTCAAACCATCCAGAAGTTAACCCCCGGCTCTACCGGGGGTTAACTGTTGGTAGGACTTAATTAAAATAATTCAATCGGTAAGGCTTACTTTTCGGAATCGAGAACAAATTGGGTGTCGATAAGAAAGACGGAACAAACATTAAAATCCCAACCTCGCAAAGCATCAGCAAGCTATAATAGTTAGAAGTGTTCAATGTTATTGGTTCAACAAAAAACCTGTCGCATTACTGGTAGATGCGTATAAAGTTCTATCTGACCCGGCAAATCAAATATAAAATAGTCGTCCTCGCCTTCATTTAAATGCTCGTGAAGCCAATCAAAGTTTTGAGTTAAATATCTAAAAGCAAAACAATAGGTATTTTTAAAAAAGACACTTACTCCATACAAAATACGAGTGCACCATTGGGGCCGAAGGTTAATTCCTCATCTTCCAATACATCATCCAGACTTATCAAGTCGCGTATATCTAAAAATCTTTGTATTACAAACGTCAAATCAAGACCAACCGACAGACGCTGGATAGTTAAAGTGCTCGCAGGCTGGATCTAAGTTCACACACATAACGTGGCGACCGACATTTAAACAATGGTTGTAGATGGTGTTGCAATAGGTAGACTAAAAAGTACTCGGTATGTCAACTGTGAAACCCACAAACCTTCCCACTTCCCGCGGGGCCCATCACCAGTTGCGCGTATTTCATGGTCAGAGCTTTATTTCCTAAAATGTCATTAAACTTTCGAGTGATTGAAAGGAGTAAAATAAGACATGTGTAGCAATTGCAAACTCGTAAAACAGAGTAGAAAGTTGACAAACCTTTTATTAAAACGCAAACCGGAATCAAAAACGATACCCATATCACGTTTACATAAAAACAAACGTGATTACTCAAAAAACGTGCATAGCCCTAAATTTGCTGGCAAAGATCGTTATGATTAATCACAATATGCTAATTATCACAAACAAGACTAGAGACCCATCACCAAGTTTTTTAGAAAGTTTTTTAAATATTTCTAACCGAGATCTTGAACTTAATACTTGGCATGACATACGCTATAGACAATAAAAACAGAAACAAATCTTATTAAAACAAAAAAAATTAATGTTGACGCAAGAAAAACTAGTTACGTAGGTAGGTCTTATCAAGACATGCAAGGGTTATATACTTGGAATGTGTAAAAAAAACAACAATTGGTCTTTGTCTATGCCGGAGAGGTGCTCTCTTTCTCATTGGAGGTGTCTAAATGCGTTGTTCCTTTTGTTTGATGCAACAAATTACCGGCATCCTGATTCGTCAATTGTGTTTGAATAGCTTCATCTTTTGGCTCGTTTTCTGCTTGCTCGCAGCAATCCTAAGACCAATATTAGAAAAAAGGTCAGTTCATTGAACAGCAAATTACCTGTAATGCAGCGCAGTAGTGAAGCATGAGAACTGCTAATGCTTGAAGGCGTTCGTCTAACCCTTCGAAACTCTCGGCACTTAACGATATATTTTGTCAAATCGAACACAAAATACTTACTTCTCATTTCGATTCTCGTTGCTTTGAAGCCCACTCATTGCCTCGAGTCTTCCAGTTTTTGTCTCATGAATCGCCTTTTGGATACGATCAATCTGAAATCGCATAAATGTACATAAACAAATCAATAAGACCAACCTGCTCATTTATAAGTTGTTGACGTTCTGGCATTGGTACATTGGAAAATATCTCTTTTCCCAGCCGCTTTGCATTAGCAATTGTTTCTTCATTGTAGGCATTCCCGGGTTGAAAGTAAATTGATGCGAGAAATGGTGATCCTTCTAGTTGCGGTAAGAGGTCGTATAAGCAAGACTAAATCAAATTAAATCATTGACATTATAGATGTTTTTTCAAACATTTAAATTTTGTGGAAACTCACGGTAATGCTAGCCATTGGGCTAGGAAGATCTTCGCCTTTGACAGCTTCACCTTGCTTTTTAGTTGAGTCTAAATCAAAATTGTTCCAGTGGAGGCTTTTCAAATTATTACCGTCGGGTTGTTCTTTTCTTCTTCGCCAAGGTAGCTGACCAATTTTCTCACTCATTTTTGCTTTAAATCTAGTGCGTCGAGAGACGGTTTCAGTTTCCGCTGAATACAATAACGAGTTAAAATAGAATAAACTAACCTTGGTAAGGCTTCTTTGTTTGATCTAACGACGGTATCTTCGATTCTCTTGAAGTCGGTGTCACAATGTTTTCATGCTTTTCATTCTCTTCTTCGACAAAGGCTTCATCCAGGTTAGATGAACTCGGAAGAACAATGTTGGAAATCTAAACGTTTATATAATAGTTAAAGGAAAACCCAACTCACATCTTCAAAATTATCGTCATTTTTAGTGAACATATTCGGCTGACACGAAATCGTTTCGCGCCCCTAAATTTGCAAATTTGTCTTTGTTTTGACATCTAAAATAAAACCTGGCATTTCTGGTGACAAACAATGAAACAACGAGAACAACAACGACCTGTTTTGAGCCAGATTTTCCCCTTACAGATTGAACAAATTGTGCCTAAAAGTTGTCAATGTTAAATAGCGCAAAAGAATCACTTTGTTTTGCACTCCACGGTTTCCAATCATGATCATTTCGAAGTGTGTTTGGCAAAGATTGCTCGACTTTGGGCGAAGATAGAAGAGAGACTCCTGACACAACGTGTTGCTCGTCTTCGCTTTAAATATTTCTGTCATTTACATAGAACTAACTCAATACCTGGAATCGTCAAGTCCCACTCTAGCTTCTTTTGGCAATCCATCAGGAAAATAACGAAAATTTAACGTTACATCACCAAACATGAGCCTTGGATCAAAACCGGGGTGTTTCGAGAATTCATTGGAACTAAAGCATGTAGAACTTTAAGTAAGTATAAGTAACTCACGCTGGAGAATCGGGTTGTCCGTTTGGAGATTTGAGTTGGAAAACTTCTCGGTGACAATTGGACAATGTTAAACGACAGTCTTCAAGGATTTGTGGCAAATAGAGTGATGTCTAAAGGAAGTTAATATGTATGATTAAAGTTCTACTTACATAACCCAGTAAAATTGGCTTCGCGGGATCCCTCTGATTCACTTCGGATGGTACATTATCAAGTTTTTCTCTAGCATGAACAGTTAGGTTTAAGTATCGTTGTTGATGCGATCCTTTTTCATTTAACTCAAAATGTAGTGATTGAGCCCAAAGCACGTTCTAAACAAAATTTAGAATAGCCATTAAAAAGTGTTATTCGAACCGGTTCTAATCGAATGGGGCGAGTGCTTCTTGTGTGAACAACAGAAGGTTGTCTTTCAATGGCAGGATTGAGAAGAGCCGAAACTGTCGATAGCTTGTGGGACGATCTAAAATAGCAAAGTAATCAAAAAGGTATACAGTTCAAAAGACCCCTTCTTTCGCCGCCCAAGGATTCCAAGTTTTGGTTTTTCGGCTGTTTCGCTTTCATTTTCCTAAAACAAACATTATGGCCTAGTAGTCAAAAAGTACCTGATCTTTTACAGTGCATTCAGCAGGAAGTTTTGATCCAGTTGGGGTTGGACTATTTGTTCGAGATACCTGGATGTGGAAATTATCCTCGTTCAAGATAAATTCAATACCTTTTCACCATCAGAAAGCATTTGAAGTTCTCCGGCCTCCAGTCCCAATTCCACACTTTCCCCGTTATCAATTACCATAGACGATGGTCGTTTCTTCTGTGGGATTAAATCAAAGACGCGCTTTTTTCCAGCGGCTAGCGCGGTCTAAAAAATATCATTTATTGCAACTAAAAATATAAACAAACGTGGATTCTCGCTCTACGGCTTTGTGTTTTCTCTGTTTCTGATCTTGTTGTACTTCCCATATCTAAACAAAAAAGATATTTAGTCGTATGATTATTAATTACGCGTTGAATCTTCAAAGTTAGATGAATGGAGCGAAATTGATGAGGCTAAGGAGCTATGACTAGTTGCCTAAAACATTTCCACTTGTTTATAAAAACTTTCTCAAACCATCGGAAGAGTCCCCGCTTTGAGTGTACTGCCCTTTTCACCCTCTTCTCTTGAAACATTCAACGATTCGGCACCCTCAAGTGATGATTGAGAAAGTTGTGGTTGATAGAGAGACTGATCAGACTAAATAGTTTCAGGTTTTTTTGTATAAAATGAAGAACAAACCGAATCAAACATTTCTTCGATACTACATGGTTCCAGGCTACGAAACGCCTTAGCAATTTGTTTGTTATCAATTTGTGACTCCGATCTAAAAGCATACAAATGGTTTTTAATCATAAAAGATCAAAACCTTGTTCGTCGCAAATCTATAGAGGGTGTGCTTACAAGAACGTGTGGTACACGAGCACTTTCTGTTCGGCTAACATTCGCTAGCGAGTTCATCGGTTTCTAAAGTTAGTGGGCACATAATAGTTTTTGATTGTAAACTCACGTCTTGCAAAACTGAGTCGAATTTAGATAGATCATTCGTGGAAGACCCAGCAGATTGCGACAACGATGTGTTATCTTGGTTGAATGTCGTCGATGTTGATGCAGGCAAAATGGACATGCTGTGCCGACGGGTAGCTAAAGATTCAAAGCTTTTCTGCTACTTCTACTGGACTTACAGCATGTGCTGGCTGAGTTACTGCGACTTCGAAGATCCTTTAAAGGAATATTGTATACGTCCTGCAAAATCAAGCGATGTAAACGTTTAGCAAAAACAGAAAACCTGGTCATTGGCAGAAGATGGCTTTCCTAATTTGTTTCGTTTTATCAACGACCTGCCATTATCCCCGATCAATTCTTCTCCATCTATATGATTACTAAGATATATTGACAGTTTTAAACTACCCTTACCTAGTAGTTCGTTTTCGCTGTTTTCTTCTAGGTTTCGTTCTACAAGAACAGCGAGGTCACCCTTCATGCGCAGCAAACTTTCGACCTAAAAATAAACGTATTATATTATTAATCTCATGAAACTATTCACTTGTCTTTCGTTTCGAACCGGCAAACTGTTAATCGCCACAATAACATCACCTAAAACGAGTTTTTAACAGAACAAAGTGTCTTTAACCTTTTTTGAAATGGGCTTTATCAGCCAAGGAGCCAGCTTCAACTGCGGAGATTTGTATTGCATTTGGACTGGTACGGCTGGCCTTAATAACAATAACAAATCAAGAAAATGATTTTGAGAAAACCTTCGCAAACAAAATGCCGCTCTCTCCGCTTGTATCAAATCTGGTAAATGTTAGCAGCACAGAAATCGAATGTGAAGTCGCAGCATGACCATTTTGCAAAAATGGTTTATGATCTAAATGAAGTTGTATTCTTTTTGCGCTTGTAAAAAATTAAATTACCAAGAGTGACTGTGCAGTAGACGTCAAAGTTAAGGTTTTTGTCTGTCAAGCTCGTCTTCAAACGGGAACATTGTAGAACGGTTACTTCCAAGCCTCCTACAAGTTTGACGTGAGAGTATGCACCTAAACAAAAAAAATAAACGAATAAATACGAATAAATACTTGAGGGTGGTGAAGGCTGCAATAATGGATTTGGGAAAAGTGGTCGGTATCGAATTTTGTAGTTTGGCCAAACATGTTTTCTTTGTAGTGCTCGACGGATCTAAATAGCAAAATCAACCAATCAAGGGAGGTTTCTGCATACTTGATCACGGATTAGTGGAACAATATGTCTCAATCTGTGTCCTTGTATTTGTGAAATGACCTATAAAGAATTTACTTATAGTTAGAAAACAGAAATGTTGAACCTCAAAATCAAAATCGGGTGTGCTTTCAAACGAAAAAGCCCAATGAGTAAAAGGTTTTCTAGAAATAATGAGACGAAGACTGCCAGCAAGGCGCGAAACCTTAAAAAGAAGTAGATCGTTCATTCGTAAAGAATTACCTTTAATGATAAACTCCCATAGCCACCCAACATCGCTTGAACATCGATGGAAGTTTCGAAACCACCCGGATAGTCAAGGTCGATTAAAAAGATTGCGTTCTAAAATTTTATAATAAACTACAGTGCGCGAAAAAATTATACGACACCCCAGAAAATAGTGATAAGTTGAGATTAGAGATGAATGTTCTTTTATGATATTTAAAGAATTTTAAGTAGAAAAGTGCAAAAAACGTATTTTAAACCACAAAAAAATTATACGACCCCCACTACAAAGGGCCCAATTTCAACATTCCCAATAATCTAAAACGGTGGATCTAGCAAGTAAATTATGCTGAAAACGATGGTGAAAAAAGTTGAATGGAAAAATTTTAGAGGAGTTTGAAGTTATTATGGAATTGCGGTTTTCGAGCATAACTGACCGGAACGACTGATTTTGGCCTCTTTCTATGTAAAATGGCTTATTTTCACCTAACTTTTCTTCTCCTTTACTTTCTAGCTCGATCGTTCACTCAAATTTCGCACCTTTGAAATGGGGTGTCGTATAATTTTTTCGCGGTTCAAAATGCGCTTTTTGCACTTTTCTACTTAAAATTCTCACTTTTCGGCGGTGGGACAAATGCGACCTTTTTTTTGTGCACCTTTTTTCCCTGGAAAAGGCCTTAGGAAAGGCAACGCAACTTAACGCTTTTCCGCAGTTTTTGCCTTTTAGCCCAAATTTAACATATCAGCGAGGTCTGATTTATCGAAATTCGAAATCTACGCATACGATTCCCTTACATGACACATTCTTGAAGCTCTACGGCCTTTCCCAAGGCCTTTTCCAGCGAAAAAAAGGTCACATTTGTCCCATCGCCCACTTTCAATGAAAGCCCAATTGTGATCAGTAATGACTTTTTTGTCCTTTAAATATCATAAAAGAACATCTCTAATCTCAACATAGACCGAGATACCACTATCTTCTGGGGGTATCGTATAATTTTTCGAGCACTGTTTTTATCCCAAATAGGCAGTCTGAAATAACCTCAAATATTGAGTCATCATTTGACATTTCCACTTTCTCGACACGAATTTTATTGATGATTGGTACTTTAGCGCCAAGTGACAAGTCGCGAATTCGAATATCTTGAATCAACCGTCCAGCCGCAGATCTCGTTATGATATCATTCAACTCGAGTTGTAAACGTTTATGAAGCCATCTAAAAATAAAACGTGTAAAAAAACAAAAAAACAAGACATACCTTCTCAGAAGCCGGGAATCTTTATGTTCTTGATAGAGCAAATGTAGAAGGACTGTAATCGCAAAAGTTGATTCCCAGCTAGATGATGTGACACCATCGTCTCCAGTTTTCAGGAAATGGCGAAGTTGCTACAATAAGCATAAAATAAAGCGATGAGAAAGAACTAAGTACCTCAGGCATCTCAATTGGCTTGAATTGATCTACAAATGGAGGAGCATCAACCTTGGGCCCAAAAGGATCGCAGACGATGATGTAGATGACGAGAAGAACGGTCGCCACCCCAATTAGAAATCCGATAAAAAGTGCCCAAAACATCTATTCGAACATAGCACTTCTAAATCAAAAATTCACAACTCCAAACTGCCTAAAATATGCTTGGAAACAAATTATTCATTTGGAAAAGAAAAGATTGAGCATGTAAATAATTGGTTTGCACAAACAAATTCTCGGAGAATATTGACTTCACTAGAACTATTTATTCAAAAAATATAAAAACAAGTTACACATAATTATATGCAAGATCTGCTTCAGATTCGACAAATTGCATTTCCAATTTTACTGGTTGTTTCAACAGATTTGATAAAAATTCCTCGACAAACCCATACATCCAATATATCCTAAATTAATTACATTATTTTAAAAAAAGATTTTTGTGATATGGAATTTTTCTTTGAAATCTTTAGACCAATAAATAATTTTATAAAATTGGATTAATTACCTGCGAATATCAAATCTTTGTGAATACTGAAGAAATCCAGCAATAATGATCACGTTACCACGACGCTTTATCACGATCTAGAGCTAAAAGTTGCAAATGAGATGCCAATATAAACCTCCTCTCCTTGGATTACAACATTGTTGGGAAAAAAGCCGCGCATGAATCGTCGAATTATTTGATCTTGAGCTACCATTAGCGGTTGTTGATTGCGAAATTCTAAATAATCGTATTTATGCTGAAAGGTATGAAAACTTGGATCATTAATACCACCAATAATAATAAGGAAATAATCTTTACCTTCCAAATTTTGAGTGTGCCATGTCAGCCAACTTTTCTTGACCCCGATATGATGTGGGCGGGCGGCCATCTCGTAGGTCAGGAGTTGAGTCCGATTTGGAGTCGACTAAAATAAAAAGTTAGATTTTTGCTATTTGGTGGGATGGACGGAAAACACTTTCATAAAAGGCTTATAAAGCAAGGTAGCTATTTCCATCCCCAACAAGCCTAAGAGTCAATAACGTAAATCAAAAACCTTACCCGATATTTTCCTGCTTGATTTTTTGCTAGGACTTGTGTGGTTGAAATCGACCTTCTATCGAGCCGTAGCAATCGCGCGTTCATTGTTCTAAAGAAAGGGTTGATTTTTGTAAGATCTTTGGTACGAGCATGAAAGAGTAAAAAAAATCCTGTACGTAGGTACAAGTGCAAGTTCAATTTATACCATTAACATTAAGTAGTTGAATATCTTTTTCGGAGGCTTTCGAAGAGGTTCAAAAGCAGTAAACCCTGCAGTTGCAACTTTAGCCGGACCAAAAACAACCCACTGGACTACCCTTAGCGATAACTTGAGTATACTAACGACAGCTGAGAGAATCACTCTATTCAACTTCAAAGCAACTAACAAACGCTATGTAAAACGACGATTTTAAAACCTCATTTTCTTTTTCCTAGAAACCTTTAATTGCGAAGAAATTTGTCTCATATCTTTTTTCTGCTTTTTGTGCCTGATTTTATTTGTTTTTGCATAATGAAATATTTTTTCAGAGGCTGAAGTCAATGTGTGCAAAATGCTATCGATAGACGTCAAATCGGAAACTACCGAGACAGCGTAAGTTTTTTTGCGCTTGACTTATTTATATAATTTTAGGGCATCTAGTGCAAAATGTGGAACATGTGGTTACACGGAAGAAAAAATAGAAAACGATTTGATGCTGGCATGTAATGCATGCAATAAATGGTTTCATGCAAGGTGGGATCTCAAAGACCTTTCTCTTCTATTTGATTCTTACAGTTGTGTTGACTTCGATGAAATGACTGCCTTTTCTACGGATACATTTCACTGTTCTACATGCTCAGTTGAACATGGCCCTTCAACATGTTGGTTGCACGTTTTTTTTGTAGAAAAACGAATATTAATTCATTTTAGTGTATGAAATTCGAGTGCCACATCGCCACAATTATTTTGATTTGGGAGAAAGCTCTTTGCCCATTCAAGTAAACTTTTCAATGATCTATTTTGCTTTACTTACTGCTTAAACATTTGTTAAACTGGATTTGTTCAGGTTGGCTCAAAACAGTGGGTTGAGAATTTCGCAAAAAATGAACATACAATTCCACCGCCGCCACCAAAAAATGAAAAACGGTTGGTGTGCATATGTATTAAATAGTTAACAGTAACAATTTTAGGGACTATCAAGTCTTGGTTCTTAACTCTGGTCACGAGTTATACAAGAATTTCGACGGTGAGCGCGAATGGAAAAATATCTTGATGATCAAAGTAATTTAGCTACCCAATTCTGCATAGACATTCAACTAATTTAGGATCCCGATGGCTTAGAGATGACCATACCGACTCGAGACTTCAAAATTGAAGATGCTCTGAATGTAATGGGTATCTTTTTAACTATCAAAAATTAGACTATTTTAAATCATTTTTGATTATTCTATCCAATTTTTAAATTTAGGACCTTTAACTTACGTCGACACAATTGATGTGTATAGACAGGCCTCAAAAAATATGCGTCTCGATCGCTTTGCTGCTGCTTGGGTAGGACTTGAAAACTTTCATTTAAATTTAGCACTTAATTGTTGTAGAACCTATTTTGTTTTTAGAAAGATCCAAAGCGTCCTCGTCTATACAACATCCTCAGCATGGAATTTTCAAAGACACAGTCTGGAAAACTTTTTTATTGATATTCTGCTTAATTTAGCTTGCGACATTATTTCAAGCCTCCACATCTTGTTCAAGAATTATCTTGGGCTTCACTTTATTGGCCGAACATAGCCAACAATGGGGTTTGTTATTTCACACATACCTTATTTCTGTTAGTTTTAGGATATTGAAAGAGAAGATCTTCCGCAAGAGTTGAATACTCCAAAATCAGAGCCGGTGGATGTTTCTAATTTTCCACCAGTGCCGCACATAGAAGAATCAGCAAAAACTGAAGGTAAGCTATAACGTAAAGCTACCATTTTTAAACTTGAGATGATGGCGCTTATAAAGTGGACGAGGAAGATTATGCCAAGAAGCCGGAGGTGAGTTAAATTTTTATAAACTTACTTTATAAACTTTTAGGTTGAACTGTTTTGTCTTATTGGCATGGCTGGATCGTACACAGATTTTCATATTGACTTTGGGGGAAGCTCAGTTTACTATCACATTTTTCGAGTTTGTTAACCACAAACTTTAAAGCTACTCTTTCATTAGGGCAAGAAGATCTTCTACGTTTCTCCTCCAACAGATAAAGCGCTAGCACTATATCATACCTATCTGAAAGACTATCAAAACCACGAAATATGGCTTGGAGATGCTTTGTTAAAGGAATCATCACTCTTTCGGGTTTGTTTTTATCGTTTGTGTGCAATAAAGTATTGTGTTTAGATAGAAGTTGAAGAAGGTTACACATTACTGATTCCGGCTGGCTGGATTCATGCCGTCTTTACCCCTGTCGATTCTATAGTTTTTGGCGGAAACTTTTTACATCGATGTAACATTTCAATGCAATTGCGGTATTTCTTTACAAGTTACAATTAAACTAAAGTTTTTAGGATAAATGATATCGAAGAGGACGCAAACGTTGAAGAGAAGTTTACCTACCCTCATTTTCGTCTTTGCAATTGGTATGCGGCCAAGACTGTCGCACAGGAAATTTGTGGTAACTTTGATTTACTAATAGAGGGCATTTATAGAACATTTCCTAGACGTAAACAATGAAGAAGACATATGTCCTGAACATCTGTATCAAGGAGCAATAAAACTTCATGGAACACTTGAAAGATGGTTCCAAGAAGAAAAGCTTGATTTGGACAAGTTTGCACCCCCCATTTTGAAAAAACTTTCGAAGGAAATTGATCGGCAAACGGTTAGCATTTTCGAACCACGATTCATAGGTATATTCCAGAAATTACGCAAACCGAAAGTCAATACAAATGGATCTAAAAAACGAGAAACGAAGAAAGGCAAAGGTGATTATTTTTCTTGAACTGAATTGACTTCAGAAAATTTTAGATAAAAAGCGTAAATCTCCAGCGGATATCTCCTTGGCTAGCGGCGAAACGAAGCCCGGAGAAACAATGAACCAGATGAATAAAGACGAGAAAAAACCAAAAATTGAAAACCTTGAGCCAGGTTAGGTTAAATTTTATTTTCATGAAATTTTGCTGCTTGTAGGCTCTTTAAAATTTGTAATTCGACGCGACACGATTCCGGAAAGAGCAACGACACCTAAAGATGACACCTTCGGCACTCCTTTGCAAGTTGAAAGAGTTACTGAGGTAAGTCGAAAATAATTTGTATCTTTACCCTATAATACTTTAGAAAGATTTAATGACGAGTATGTTTGCTTCACCGAGCACAAGTGGACGCCAAAGGAAACCATCAGCGCTCATAAAAGATATTTGTGGCCGAAGTCTACCTGTTATTCAACGTTTGCTTTATGAGTAAAACTATTACTGATTTGAGTTTAGAGACAGGTAACTCCGATGACGAACCAAAAATTGATTTGGATTTGATCGCAAAACAAGAGGACAAGGAGTTTGAAATCGAGAACAGAAAGAAAAAGAATAACACCAAATCGAAGCAACAAAAACTTCGTGGTGTAAATCAAGCTATTGCAAGTTCAGATTCTAAAACTAAGGTGAGCTTTAATTTAAAATGTTACTAAGAAGTCGCCTACTTTTATTTAGACTGTGGTGAAAGTGACGAAACCGACTTCAGCCAGAAACCAATTGGCGAAGAAATTAAGTAAATATTTATAGATAGGAAATTCAAATCCTGTAGTATATTTTCTTGTGCCTTTTGATGATTAACTTTGCTCAAAAATCACGGGTCCGTTGTTAATAATTCTTTATTTCATGGTGTGTGTCGCAATAGTGTACCGTTTGAATAAAAATGTTTGTCCTCACTTAAAAACTTAAAAACACATTGCGTTTACGACATTTCTATATTTTGCCATAACTCACTTCCTCTTTTGAAAGTTTTAGATGCCCGACGATCAAATAGCAGCATCGATTTTGGGGACAAAAGATTTGTGAGCACATTTTTAAAGGCTAAAGTTCTTCAAATACACAACAGACAGCGATGTCATTTTTTTTTCGTCTAGCGATCAGTGCGAATTTTAATACGGGAAAATCCACAATGAATTTTTTTAAGCTGGGACAATCACTATAATCAGGAGTTAAAGAATTTCAAAGAACATCATGATAATCAAGGAGAGGTCAGTTTATTCAATCTTTTTTTAAACTTGTTTATTTAGATTTGGTTTGGAAAATCGGCGGAAAATCGAATTCTGAAATATTTTGACGCAAAAAATATCCCCAAAACCCAACAAATAATAGATTTTGGTTGCGGAAATGGTAGCTTGCTTAGACGATTGGTTTGTAACTTCAGTTTTTTTTGACGCCAAAAATTTTAGTTTTCGAAAGGGTATGGCAACTTGTTTGGCGTTGATTATTCTTTAGCATCAATAGAACTTTCAAAAAAGATTGCTGAAGATGTGAAAGCAAAAGTCGATTTCCAGGCACTATTACATTTTTGTAGTTAACAACACAATGTTTTAGGTATTAGATTTGTTAGCGCCTTCTCAGGAGCAATTCAGGGGGCAATTCGACATTGTTCTTGATAAAGGTAGGATTATAGACCTGTTTTGGCCGAATACCGTAACATTGATCCGTTTTTGGTAATTTGAAAAGTTTATTTGAAATTTCTAACTTCATTAGGCACGCTCGATGCGTTACTTCTCTGTGAACTCGATGAACGACAGAACAGACTCAAAGCCTATGTTAGCTCTGTGATACGTGCTCTAGAATCTTCAGGCAAATTTATCGTAGTCAGCTGCAACTTCACGAGGTCTTGTATATTTGTTGAATATATCAAATTGTATGGCTTTAGAGACGAATTGGTCGATATGTTGACTCCTCTAGGATTACAATTCGAAGAGGAATTACCCAATCAATCGACTTTTACTTTTGGCGGGAAAGTTGGAAACACGACCACGGCAGCTGTATTCTCAAGAACTTGTCTGTGATGATGGCTAATATGTTTTGTTTTGTTTCGCAATTATCAAACTGGCTAGAAAACTATAGTACGTCATTTTGAAACAAGCCGCACTTTACCCATTATCAGCTCATTGTTATGTTTTCTTTTTGCCTTTTCGTATCTATTTTGCTAATCGAATTGTTTTTTCGATTCTGCTTATTGATTAAGTATTTCTAGACTTTTTGTTTTTTTTTGTGCCTATTTACTTTTGGAGTTTGTGTAAAATGAAGTTTGTGTAATTGGAGTCATGTACATGTGGATACAGTTCACTCATTTTTCTGGGTTCTAGAACCTCTAGCACATACCTACCTATATTTAAACTTCCATTTTCCCCGCGCAAAGTTGCGTTTAGTCTTATTTATTTTTCTACGTATTTTACCACCTACTTACGTACTGATACTCAGGTAATTTATGATCATTTTTCAGACAGTTGTTTGACATGGCTGAACTACTGGACGGCGTCGAGCTTATCAATCAAGAAGGAAAAAGGGTGAAAGCCGAAGAGCATCTGAAAGGAAAGGTTAGATTTTTAAAAAAATTAATTGTATCTTTTATTTTTAGCTTGTCGGTCTCTACTTCAGTGCCGGATGGTAAGTTTACTCGCAGCGGTTTCATAAATTGCTGACTTTATTTTTACAACTGTTTAAAATTTATTAAGGTGTGGACCATGTCGAATGTTCACGCCAAAATTGAAGAGATTTTATGAAAAAATTGTTGGTGAAGACAATAAGGACTTCGAGGTTTTATTTATAATATATTTTGAGTTGTGCAAATTGAACATTTAGGTCGTGTTTGTCTCTCGTGATCGTGAAGAGGAAGATCTACTGGAATACTTCAATGAAAAGCAGGGGGTAATATTTACTTTTTGTCGTTTTTTTAACAGTAAACTTTTCAGGAGTGGGTGACTATTCCTTTTGGAGATCAAAAGATTAAGTTAGTTTCTAAACATAATACATAGAATACGAGCTTGTTCTTGGTACTACTTGGTCTTTGTTTTTAGGGAGTTGCTAGACAAATACGAAGTGCAAACAATCCCAGCTTTGCGAGTCATCAAATCCAATGGGGAAATCGTTGTCAACGATGCACGCACTGAAGTTCAGGTAGTTTTTAATTTTTTTAATGAACTATATATTCTTTAGGAAAAGGGACAAGAGGATCCAGAAGCGCTTTTTGAAGAGTGGGAAGCGTTCAGCATGTAGATTAAATGCCAATTTTTTTTTATTGGTGACTCTGCGATTTCTATTGCGAGTAATTATTGGTTGGGTCAATTTGTTCACTTTTTATTGTTGCAATAAATATTTACAATTTATTTACAACTTTCTTTTGCGTAACATCGACACATTATATCGTTATTGGTCAAGTGTTCTAATTGTGACCGTTCTTTGTACTCTCATCGACTACAAATTTTTGCTTTTTTCGTAGTCTAAGTTCTCTTCTATCTAATAACTGGGGCAAAGTACACAACAGGAACGCAGATACGCTTATCAAATGCAATACATTAATCCTGTTTTCCAAAGTTCGATTCAAAATTTACGTAATTCGTACCATAATTTACTTGATTTAGGTGCAACATGTCCGATGTGATCCAGAATTTCCTGGCTGGCGGTGTTGGAGGTTGGAAAAATCTTACATCTATCGTCAATTTTGTATTTTTAGGAGCATGCACTGTGGTAGTAGGACATCCTTTCGATACAATCAAAGTAAGAACGTTCTTTATTGTACAAAAGTTTACTCTTTTAGGTTCGCCTTCAAACGATGCCAAGACCGGCACCTGGACAAAAACCCTTGTTTGCTGGGGCGTTCGATTGTGCTCGGCAGACGGTCGTGAAGGTACGATGCATGATAATTTTAAATTGATATTTTAATGCGATTTTAATTGAATATTTTTTTTACAATGAGTCTACATTTATTTTAGGAAGGAGTATTTGCACTCTACAAGGGTATGGCGGCGCCACTGGTTGGAGTGACGCCTTTGTTTGCTGTTTTCTTTGGAGGTTGCGCAGTTGGCAAATGGTTGCAGCAAAAGAATCCAGGTGTTTATTTTTGCGAAGTTGAATTTTTGGCACCCTAAAACTAGAAGTGCTTATCTAGCCATTTGATAAAGAAAAAAAGTTAGTTTTGTTTAGAAGACGAGTTGACATTTGTTCAAAACATGAACAGTGGTGCTTTGGCTGGAGTCTTCACGACAATCATTATGGTCCCAGGAGAGCGAATCAAGTGTCTTTTGCAGGTGTTGATTTTATTCCTATCAAAATCGGTAAAATATACAGTAGTTAACTCTTTCAATATTTAGGTCCAACAATCTGGGCACAGCCCATCGGGGGTTCAATATAAAGGACCTCTCGATGTTGTCAAGAAGCTTTGGAAGCAAGGAGGAATTGCTTCGATCTACAGAGGAACGGGCGCCACTTTGCTTCGAGGTACAAGTTGAAACTATTGTAATGTATAAATTGATCTTTTAAGATATCCCTGCCTCGGCTGCTTACTTATCCGTTTACGAATATTTGAAAAAAGCGTTCAGTGGGGAGCATGGAGAAGGAAAAAATAAAAAGCTTTCTCCGGGAGCTACACTGATGGCTGGTGGACTTGCTGGAATTGCTAATTGGTAGGTTACATATATGGCGTGCAGCACAAGATTTGTTTTAATACGATTTGTTTAGGTCAGTATGCATTCCTGCTGACGTATTGAAGTCGAGATTGCAAACAGCGCCGGAAGGGAAATATCCTGATGGAATTCGTGGTGTTTTGAGAGAAGTGTTGCGAGAAGAAGGACCCAAAGGACTTTTCAAGGTGAGTATTTTCTAGGTCACATTGCTACAATGATTGTAAAATCTTTGGAGCTTTGTCTAAAGTTGAGCTAAATTATTGAAATCATTGTAAGTTACATGTATGTAAATGTATATGCCTAATTTGGTCTCAAAATTTGAACTAAAATTGGAAAGATTAATCGCGAGAATTACAATATTCAACAATTAAATTTTTTAGGGACTTACACCGATCCTGCTTCGAGCTTTCCCAGCCAACGCAGCCTGCTTCTTCGGGCTTGAACTGACGCTCTCCCTTTTCAGACTTTTTGGTTAAGCGTATGTAAGTTGTTTTTCAGATTTTGTGATTTGAACTTGCTCAGTATTTTTTCGTAAGTTGTATTGATAGGCCAGTTTTGTTAACTACGTATAGGTACATATTATTTTCTTGGGCATGGGATCCCAGGGTGTTTTATCTGCTTTTTGATTATACGCCTTTTTAATTTGTGATTTTGAATCTTTGTGATTTTTGAGTCTGTATATATAGCAATTCAATTATAAGTTTTATATAAAACGATAAATATGCAAAGATGATCCGAGTATCATAGTGGATGAGATTCTTCATAGCTGAGATGGTGGATATTTAGCCCAAGAGACCTACACTTTTGTTAATTGTGGGATTTTCGTGGAAAATTCTCACCTCCAACAACGCCGGTTGCAATTCCTGTGGGAACTCCAAGTCCGACATTCGCAGCAGTTCCTAATCCACGTCCTGGAATTTTATTTGCTTTTCAAGTTTTAACCTCTTGGCTCATTTTGTTGTTGCTTTAAGACTCACCAGCCCAATAACCTCCTTGTTGAGCGCCACCGTATGCCTGGACTCCATAGGGCGAACCTCTGCCATAATATCCGGGTTGACCTCCTCCATAATACCCCGATTGTCCACCGTAATATCCCGATTGCCCGCCCCATCCACCTGTTCTGGCTCCAAAGCCGGCATTAACTCTTTGCCCGGCAAGTCCCAATCCAAGATTTGATCCAACTAAAAGTCCGTTTTTCCTTGTTTACAGACATGGTTTTGCAACTCACGTCCAAGCTGGGCAACGATGCAGGACACAAAGGCGGCGAAAACAAAGAGCTTTAGCATGATGTTTGAGTCAAGGTTGTTGAAATGATCGCTGGTTGGGGATACCGTTTTCCGCCAGGCTTTTATATAGTTTGCTCCTTTTTGGTGGTCAATAGGTCACGCCTGATCGCGTTCCTCTTACATTTCAGAAAAATTCCTGTCTAGTCTTTTTCCTTGGCGGTTTCTGATCGGAGTTCTTAATTTCTTTGTCAACTTCGCTCTCCCCTCTCTCTCGCTCTTATTTTGGGTTTTGTTTTTAGCGAAGAACATTCGAGTGTCTCTCTTTGCTCTCTGATTGCTCGATTAGCGAATGATGTGACGTCGTTTATCGTAATTGTTTACGATGAATTGACGAACTTTGTGTAAAAGGCAACTCAAGAAACCAAGTGATCACCTTCTCTTTTTCAAGAGATTCGTCGAATTTAGCATCTGATAGTGAGTCGATTATTTTTAGCGCATTTTTGGTCTAAAGGCCAGAGGGACGATTCCTGCTATCGTAGGCTTACAGTAGATATTTGCATGTCTCTAGATACGGTATTATCATCTAGCTCCTAGTGGTAACCTTTTTTGGATTTATTGTGCAGTTTTTCCTTTTTATTAGTTGACTGCTTTGATTTGGCGATTCTCATTACTCTCAGGGAAAAAACTTCACGTAACCGCTGGTTAGGGTCACCGAGAGAAACACGTGGATCGTTTAACCCAGTGACCTTGAAATAGTTTCTTCCGAGATCATCCAGTAAACAACATCACAAAAAAAATAAGTGAACGAGATCTAGATACCTAATATCGTTGTGTGAGACCGAACTCTTCAATTGTGGACTTGAACTGTTGAAATTTGTAAATTAGCATTAGTCCTTTTGAAATTAACATTTAAACTTGATTTGAAAAAGAAAAATTTTCTAGATATGCGTCAGATATGGGGTAGGCTAATTTCCGCATTTTTTTTGCGCGAGTTGCGTAAAAAAAATTGCGGAAATTAGCCTACCCCGTTGATTGATCACATTGGAGATGTTTGGCAAGCTCTCGTGTTGTTTGCATTGGATCGGCTTCAATAAGTTGTTCCAATTCATTATTATCGATTGCTGCCGAGCGATGCCCATGTACTTCCTCCTCAAGAGATTCAATACCTTCTTGGAATTGAGCAAACCAAAACTGGCAGGATCTTTCGGTCGTAACTTGTTCTCCAAAAGCGGAACAGAGATCACGATGTGATTCAGCAGCTTGCCTTTGCCCATCTTGAAATCGTAGAGAAGACACGCGCGCACAACATGCTTTTGATCCACCATGATCTAAAGCAAATATCAATTAAAAAGTGGAAGCTCGGATTTTAAAAAAGTGTAAAAATGAAGTAAATATCCAAGAGTACAAATACGCAAAAGAAAAACAAATAGGCTTTCCAAATAAAAAAATAGAACATTCTATACCGATCGAAATTTCATTTGCATCAACCTAGTAGGTCCATCACAATCTACTGCAACTGCTATTCCATTTTCTTCCGAATTGGCCTTCATAAAAGCCGAAAATCCTTTAGCTACATGGCTTCAAACGGCTGCTTACGCAAGTTCATCGGTTCACACGGCTCACTCACGCAGCTATATTATAGTTTTAAACTTTGCGTAACTCAATTTTGCTTTAGTGGTTCTTGCACAGATGGTCGCGGTGAAATCAGGCTGGCTCCTCGTATGCCCAGCCGACCCGTGGTCATGACTGCTCGTTCTGCAAGTCGTACTCTCATCAATACGGCCCGATCTAACAGGCAGGTTTTGAGAGACTAGAATAGACGAGTTATTTTTGGTCATTGAAATGGTTCCAATTGTTTTATGAAATTTTATTTTTAAAGCAATGCCAGCAATCTCCATACCGCCCGTTCTGCAAGCCGTACTCGTGGCATCAACCTTCGCGCTCACCCCTCTGCTGCTCGTAGTTCATCTGTTCATACTGCCCGGTTAGATTGACTCATTTTTAATAATTTGTACTTTGTTTAGCTCAAATCGTGAAAATTCCGCTCGTGCTGGTCGAAGTGGCAGGTTTATCTTTGTCACTACCTATGTACAAATTATTTAGTTCCAATTCGCTTTGCACTGCAGAACTTGGCCCATTTAATACTGCCCGTTCACGCAGGTATTGTCGTACCATGCTTTTTACTCTAATTTTGAGTTTAGTGATGTTCGCACTAGAGAACGTGGTGAAATCAGGTCAGCTCCTCCTACGCCCAGGCAACCCTCGGTTAGGACTGCTCGTTCTGTAAGTCGTACTCCAGTCAATACGGCTCGATCTAACATATAACTTTTGAATAGAAAAACTAAGTAAATGGCAATGATTCGCCGGATTCTAATGGTTGTACTTTTAAGTAATCTCCGAACTGCCCGTTCTGTAAGTCTGTAAGTCTGTAAGTAAGTGTTTGATCGAGCCGTATTGCCGGGAGTACTCCCGTCAATACGGCTCGATCAAACAGGTAAATTAGATTATGCTCTTGTAAACTCTTTGATTCTTTAGCGATTTCCGCAAGATCTCATTTGCCCCGGCAACTTCTCCATCTATGCGAGCGGCTCGTACTTCTTCAAATGCATCACTGTCTGCTTCTCGTCCTTCACGCCCCATCAGCCAATCTCCATCTCAGAATGCTCGTGGACGTCTCTCATCGGATTCTTCAGTGAAGACTGCTCGTCTCGCAAGCCGTTCTCCATCAATCAATACTGCCTGTTCACCTGCTTCCACTCCCGCCAACACTGCCCACACTCGTTCCGACAGCTCGGTTCACACCGGACGGTAATTTTTATTTGAATGCTTTGTTTTAAATTTCTACGTTTAGCCCATCTTCAATTCCTGATGCATCGACGGCCCCTGCCAACGGTCAAATCGTGGCTCCGACAAATGTGATTCTCCTCCCTGTGTAAGTACATATTTTGTATGTGGAAACAGACAATATTTTGTGTCTTTAGACAGGGTGAGGATAGTGTCCACGAGATCGTGAATCCATCTCAACTTGTGCGCACTCCCTCTTCTGATAAGCGTTTTGGATTCGTTTTTCTTTAAGCACTAGAAAAGTTATTATTTTAGTGCAGTGAGGTCCGTACTGCTCGCTCCAGCAACGAATGAAGACTACAAAAAGATGACTCGAATCAAATTAAAGCCCTATTCTTGATCTCTTGTAAAATGCTCGTCGAATAAAATATTTTGTAAACGTTTTTCTGAAGTCACAAAGTGGTCGATTGTTATTTCTTGAGGGTAGATTTCGGCGTTAAAAATGTGAATTGATCGGGGGTGGGACAAATGCGACCTTTTTTTGCGCACCTGGACATTTGCGCACCTTTTTTTTTTGCTGGAAAAGGCCTTAGGAAAGGTCGTAGAGCTTCAAAAATGTTTTCATAGAAGGGAATCGTATGCGTAGATTCCGAATTTCGACAAATCAGACCTCGCTGACACGTCAAATTTGGGCTAAAAGGCAAAAACTACGCAACTTAACGCTTTTCCGCAGTTTTTGCCTTTTAGCCCAAATTTGACGTATCAGCGAGGTCTGATTTGTCGAAATTCGGAATCTACGCATACGATTCCCTTATATGGAAAAATTTTCGAAATATTTTCGAAGCTCTACGGTCTTTCCTAAGGCCTTTTCCAGCAAAAAAAAGGTGCGCAAATGTCCAGGTGCGCAAAAAAAAGGTCGCATTTGTCCCACCCCCAATTGATCAGTTTTCAAAAGCATTTGTTGGCTTAATTAGGAATTTTTCTTTGTTTGATTATGGCTGCACGGTATACTGTATTCTCTTAGCCCCACTTGTGCTATGTGTAAAAGCTCTTCACATGCAATAGGCCATAGTCATTTGTATTTGCTCGTAACCTCAAGAATTTTTTTACATCAGTCTGATTCAATCGAGTCTTATCAATTTATTTATGTAATTTTTACCTATATAAACCGGGAATTTGTTTTGCAAAATGAGTATTCATTTAGGGATGACAGCTGAAGTCGATTTGACTCTACTTGGGCTCTCCGAGCAGAAGATTAAGGGTGAGTGTGGGTCGTTTTGTTACTTTTAGCGCTTATTTTTAGAGACGTTGAAAAATGGAGTATTGACGATACAACTGGGCAATATCATCAATGAGACGAAGACACAGTTAAAAGCTGAGAAGATCAAAGAGGAGAATTTCTCGAAACAGCAGGTGCCATTTACCCTTTTTGCTCTTATTAACATAGTTTAGGGGACATTGTTGTACCATGTCGGTACAAGAATCAAAAGTCAGTGCGTACAGCATATTCCGTTGCTTGTCAAGTATATTGTAAATGGAGGGCTCAAAACTGAACAACAGGTAAGGAGTTTATTCGATTTAGTGAACCTTTTGATTTTAGATCCTTGCTGCACTCGAGTATTTACTCACGACCGCTGTTTCTGGGGTCGATATCAAAAAATTTGAAGAAGCTTCTGGTGTTGGAATTGTTGTTACGAATGATCAGATTGAAGAAATTGTGTGTTTTTAGCGCATAGTATAATTTATTTACTATTTCAGGTTACGAAAGTGTTCAACAAATACAAAGAGCAAATTTCCGTGGATCGTTATTCTTTTCCAGTGGGGAAATTATTGGGTAACGCATCAATACAAATTTTTTTTATTAGTATCGTTTTAGGTGAAGTTCGAGCTTTGTTGCCATGGGGCGATGGCGGTTACATGAAGAAGGAATGTGATCTTCGAATTATTGGTAGCATTTTATGATTTTTAAGCAATTCAAGTGCTTTCAGAGTTTCTTGGTGCGAAAACCGAAGAAGATCTTGCTCCGAAGAAAAAGCTTAAAAAGGTACATATCTTCAAGGTTACATTTAATCAAAGCTTTTCATAGGAAGAGAAACCGAAAGAAAAGGAGAATGGCAAACCTGCAAAGCCATCAAAGGAAGATGCTGTAAACGGTGAAAACAAAACCGACGGTAATTAGCATGTTGATTTACTTGATAACATGACTTTAGGTTTCCCAGAAGGCGCATCTACGATTGAAGAACTCATGCGCACGAGGGCAAATTTCCACAAAGTAAAGTGGCAAAAGATTATCGTGACTGTAAAAATAATTTATAGCCTGGTGAGAACTACAAGACTGATGGTTATGTGGTAACTCCGAAAACAGAAGAAATCCTAAAAAAACATTTGAAAAAGACTGGTGGAAAGGTACGTTTATCGATTTTTTAAAACATGTTTATGTTTGTTTCAGGTAATCACTCGATTCCCTCCCGAGCCTAACGGAATTCTTCACATTGGCCACGCTAAAGCGATCAATATCAATTTCGGATATGCAAAGGTTCATTTTTATTGGTTTGGGAGTTTAAGAATCATTTAGGCGCACAACGGCGAGTGTAATCTTCGCTTTGATGATACAAATCCAGAAAAAGAGGAAGAGAAATTCTTTACTGCAATTGAAGATATTGTTCGATGGCTTGGTATGAATAGACTTTTTGATAGAAGCACTCTTTTCTTTTAGGATACACACCTGCTCGAATTACACATGCCTCGGATAATTTTGATCAGTTGTATGAGGTATGTAAATGCTTTTTATTAAAATAACTACCAGCGACATTTAGTGGGCAAAAGTCTTGATCAAGAATGGATTGGCGTATGTGTGTCATCAGAAAGTTGAAGAAATGCGCGGATTTGAAGTCAAGCTATCTCCCTGGAGAGATCGTCCGATTGATGAAAGTTTGCAACTATTTGAAGTAAATTCTTTTTTTTACATAAAGATTGTAATGATTGAATGAACAGGACATGAAAAATGGTAAATTTGAAGAAGGAGAAGCAACCTTGAGAATGAAAACGATTTTGGAAGAAGGAAAGGTATTTGAGAGGTTGAATGGTTTGAGAACTATTCGAGCATTGTTTAGGTTGACCCTGTGGCATACCGGATCAAGTATTGCACTCATCACCGTAGCAAGGATAAATGGTTCGGCGTTTATTTTGAAAATTAGATAGAAGTTTTTAGGTGTATCTACCCAACATATGATTACACGCATTGTTTGTGTGACTCGATCGAACACATCACGCATTCATTGTGCACAAAAGAATTTCAGAGCAGGTAGAGACTAAAGTTAAGCGTTTCAACACGTATTTCATTTTAGGCGTTCCTCATATTATTGGCTGTGCAACTCTCTTGACATTTATTGTCCCGTTCAATGGGAGTACGGTCGTCTCAATGTCAACTATACAGTGGTTTCAAAGAGAAAGATCTTAAAGCTAATTCAGACGAAAACTGTCAAGTAATTAAACTACCAATGATTTATTATTATTATTTACTTTAGCGATTGGGATGATCCTCGTCTCTTCACCCTAACAGCTCTACGACGTCGGGGAATACCTGCCGAGGCAATCAATGCTTTTGTTGCCAAACTAGGTATATATTTAAAATTTGGTTTAAACAACATTGGAAGGATTGGGGAATTAACGCTTAATTTAGGTTTAACCATGTCTCAGATGGTGATCGACCCACATATGCTTGATGCAACGGTTCGCGATTATTTGAACACCAATGCTCCTAGGTAAAACTTTTGTCGAAGGAGTGAATAATATTATAAAATTTAGAACTATGGCCGTGTTGGATAGTTTGCGCGTGACCGTTCGCAATTTTGACGAACTTGGACTATCATCCACTTTGAGTGTTCCCGATTTTCCAGGAGATCCTTCAAGCAAGAACCACTCGGTAATTTAGGTTTTAAGCAATATGCCAGTATGTTTTTATTTGTTTGGAAAAATTAAAGTTTTCACTGTTTTAGGTAGCCGTGGACAAGATTTTATACATCGAGCAAACGGACTACAAGACGGTAATATTTTTTACGAAGCTTATTATAATTTTTGATTCTTTAGACACTTGCATCTGATAAGTCATTCCGACGACTCACTAAAGAGCAGCCGGTTGGTCTGAAACACGTTGGGCTTGTTCTATTTGTCGAAGAGGAAATTAAGGCAAGTATTGCTAGAAAATAATAAATAACGTTTTGTTCGTTTAGCATGGTGATAAGGTGGCCGAATTGATTGTACGTGCCGAACGCCTGACGGAGGAGAACAAGCCTAAAGCTTTTATTCATTGGGTTTGCAAACCCGTTTCCGTCGAGTGTCGTCTCTACGAGAAATTGTCAATAATTTACATTTCAACGATTGTCATAGATTTGTTTTAGGTTCAAGAGCAAGAACCCCGAAGATCCAAATACCGTTCCTGGAGGATTCTTAACAGATTGCAATCCTGTAAGTTTAAATTTGTTGATGTTTGTTGTTTACTGGTTAAATTTGTTAGATGTTTCTTTCCAGACTTATTATATTCTTACTAAACTTGCTCATTATTTTTTTAGAATTCAATCACCCTCCTGCACAATGTGCTTGTGGATCATTCTGTTGCCAGCTCAAAGGTTATTCGATAATTTGTAAATTTTGGGTTATCTACCTAAATGTTTAGGTCTACGATCGTTATCAGTTTGAACGGATTGGTTACTTTTCAGTCGACCCGGATAGTACTCCTGAAAGGGTTGGTGTAAATTTGCATTTTCATTTTACTATTGCTCTTTTAGCTGGTCTTCAACCGAACCGTCTTGCTGAAAGAAGATAAGGAAAAATAAAATATCTTTCAAAATGTGCCTTTTTGTTAGATTTGTTTCTGTTTTTCAAAATATTAGGCATTATTTTGTGGACGAGTCAATGTACCATTTTGTGCAACTATTTATTGCTGGATTGTTTTAGCATAAATACTTTTTATGACATTTTGATAAATTTTCTACCTAAATTAGAACTTAGTGAATGGTCCCTTTCACTTAAAGGAGGTCAAGTTAGGCCAAAAGGGAGTTGGTTATCGTGATATGCAATCTACGAGTGAGAGCCGATTGAATGGTTGGATAGGTCGAGGGGGTCACTCCCGACACTCAATGATCCCAACCCGATCTCTTCATTGAGAGAAAAGACTTCAAAGGAATCCCTTGCCACTTGCATAACTTGATTGAAGCATCACTCCTCATCAATGAACAATGAGGTGAACCGATCATTTCGATCATTTCAGGACACCGCTCATCTATTTGGCCGATCTTTCTTTTATCCCTTATCCGTTGATCAGTTATGAGCGGAAGTGGTGATCAATGAACTCTGAAGATTGACGGTGATAGGTAATTGGAACCGCTTTTGAGCCTACAATGCAGCCTCAGGGTTCACTGGAGTAGTCATAGCATCGAAACATAGCCACAGAATTGTATATTGGACTAGAAACAGCAGATGTACAGTACTTTAGCATCATGAATTGTTATTATTAATTGGAAAAACGGTATCATCTACTGACCGTTTTGACCTATCAGATCTATTACAGACAAGTAAAACTCTCGAGAATTTCAGTGTAACCGTAAATTTTGTGCAATTCATTACTTTCAAAACTCCCAATCTCCTGCAAAATTGTTTTCGTTCGTTTTTTTGTTGCTGAACTCTTTTTGTAAAGACACATGATTGGCAAGCTTTTGTTTTGGAAAGCCGAATTTTTTTTAGACGCAAAATCTGTCCCTCTATCTCGCGAACATTGTTTATGTTTTTTCAAGGGATCACTCACCGATGACTAACAACAGATTTTAATGTTGTGTGCCCATTTTTGGAGCTGTCATTGAAATCAGCTCAAGACCACATAGAGATCGAAATCTTTTGAAATAGTTGGCAAAAAGATCAATAGAGATTGGTTTGGTGATTTTGATTTGGGGTCAAGATCTGTCAATGAATGAATGTCAATGACTTGAATTGACTTTCAAGGATAGTCTAGCTTTGAACGTCCCATTCTCCGCGCTGCTTTATGCTACAGTGTGCGCTTGGGTGTCAAATGATAGCCCTTGAAATCTAGTTATTTTTGGTACTAAAGGTGTAGTTGAGAAAAATCTAGAGGCTGAGGAATCTAGAGGCTGAGGAATCTAGAGGCTGAGTGATTTCTTAAAAAGAAGTTAGACTACGCGACTCTACAAGGGGGTGGCATTCTATTAGAGTATTCACGGTATCAGCTTGTCTCAACCTCAGAGTTCATTGAACGCCTTAACAAGTCTTTTAAGCTTAAGTTGCTCAAGTTTCATGTTCCAAGAATAGCATTCATTTGTTTCCCGATCACTCGAGTAACTTTGAAATGAAAAATTAGGGATAAAAAGGAAAAGTTTCTTAAGTGAACTTTAGAAAAGTCGAAGAAGCTGTGAAAACACTAAACGTGCATTAACGCTTCTGAAAATACGAGTTTTGTTCACCCGAAGAGCTAAATTATCCGTCAAAAAACATTATTCATTTGTTTCCCGGTCCCCCAATTACCATTGAAATGAAAAATCGGGGATTCCCCTCGTCATCTCCCTTCCCCAATCAGCTGACTGAGATCACTTTCCCTCTCTTTCATCTCCACCAATATTTGTCCTCTTTTTCTTTTTCTGTTTGTCGGTTTCCTTTTCCTCCAAACCGTCCCTCATCCCCATTTACACACAAATACAAGCACTCACATGTCTCGACGAGAATCGCAACAATTCAGCGATATTCCCCCAATTAATTTGTTCAGGTGCCCCTCTATTTTTCGGTCTCATCAATGAAGCGATTTGTTTGATGAGAATGAATGGGATCTCTCAGTCAATGCAAATAATGTAAACTAGAGAATTTTTCGATTTGCTGAATCTTGATGGGGTTTAGGGCAAGCCTTAGAAAGGACAGTTTGGCTAGAAGCTGGACTGTTGTAGATTTTGTATTTATAAGGCACAAAGTATGTTTAGGGAAATCACTCTAAAGTATTTTGAACCATTCTGACTCAAGAATAAGAGGAAGCGAACCTAGCTGACCCTCGCTTTGTGCAAGATTTCCACGGTTAAACCTGGGCAAAACTTAAAAACGCCAAAAGCCGGATCAGGCCTAGATCCAACTAAATGAGCCGAAAGTTAAAAATGGAAAATTGAGACCTAAGTGTCGACTTAAAACGATAGAAGCTTGACTGGCATAGACCTGGCTGGCTTGACCCCGGGATTTTGTTTTCGAACTTCATAGACTTGCAGGCCGATTAGACTTGTGCACACAAAAACTGTACACGAACTCAAGTACTTTAGTTTTATGAACTGGAGCTGGGAATGCAAAGATCGTCAACCCTTCGTACAAATTCGCATCCAAATTTGAGCACAATTCTTTTTAGGCCATCCCCTCCTTTCCCAAAAAAGCTCAATTTCAAATGGCACACACGAGATTAATTTTGGGTGAAAGGGCAGATGAAAGTAGCCCCATCGAAATGGTAATGGATGCGGGAGCCGTTTATCGCCTTTTTCACCCCTTCAATCCTCACTTTATTTCATTTTTCTTTTTTCTTTTTTTGAGTAGAAGGACCAAATTGGCGCCGAGCCACGAGTTTGTAAAAAGAGAGAATGGAAATGAAATCATGTCAATAGAAAGGAGAAACCCAAAAATGGAGAGGATGAGAGGGAAGGAAAAGAATGGGAGAACCACTTCCGCATTAGGGGAATTGTGTGAAGAAAGGGCAAATGAGTAACAGCTTTCAAGAGAGCGATCAGCTTTCACAGCTCTTCTCCATGAGAAATCCTGTTGTGAATGTGATATTGTTACACCCCATTGGCAACATGTGATTCACTCTTGAGACTTGGAATTGAACGCCTTAAAAGCATACATTTATTGAACATGAATAATGTGACACAAATAAATACACAACTCAACCCCTACTGCCTAATACCGCTAAAGATATTGCAGAGAAAAAAACCCATTTATATGGAAAGAGTTTTTGGTTTGTTCCACTTTAAAATATCATATAAAAACTATTCTTGTTGAATGAAGCTTAAATTCCCCATCCTGATTATTATGTTACCTCCCCATAAGTTTGAGATTTCATCCTTCCAGATCTTTGACATATTCAAATGCGTTGTCGAATGAACAAGATGAGCTGGCTTTGGATCCTTTTTCTCTTTTCCATAAGACAAGTCTAAACTTGAGTCTATCTTTGGAGAGAGATCTCTCAAGGGAAAAGCATTGTGAAGCTTGAGGGTTACATCGTGAAATTTCTCTTTTGATCCGATCTCCCAATCTCCCACGTGACATCTTCCACCCACTCAAAATTCCGCAAATCCATAAAGTTGAAAAGAGGCTAAAAGAAAAGAATAACATATTGTGTATATCAAAATATAATCGTCAATGATTGACATCATCGTCAATGACTGAATAAAGAATTCAGAAGATAAATCTCAAGGAATCATTGATTTTCTTCGTTTCAAAAATATCGAGAAAATAATCGGAATTTTTGACCATAAATCTTTCTCACAAATAAACACAACTATCAATGGTGAATATAATTGGTATTCTTTAATGTTATCTAGAATTTTATTCCATCATTATCCCCTCAAAACTCAACTCATGCCAACATAAAAATTGCCTACTTGACTTTCCCTGCATTGTCAAGCGCAAAAAATAAAATTCGCATTACTTTCCTTACAACCTAATATCAAAGCCCTTTCTTGAAAAGAAGCCGTTCATGAGCATCTCTCTATCACTTCCATCTCTCTATCACTTCCATCTCTCTATCACTTCCATCTCTCTATCACTTCCATCTCTCTATCACTTCATTTAAATTTTAAAATCTCCACCCCTTCACTTATTTTTCATAAAAACGGGCCTTTTCATAATTCTGTCTCAATGTTTTGTCTTCTATGGGAGTAGGTGTCATCGCTTTTTTCTTCTTTTCACGTGCTCGTGATATCGTCATTTCCATCCGAGCCATTTCACTCTCCCTCTTCTTTTTTTTTGTTTTTTTTTTTCACCAATTTGTGCAGTTTTTATTTGTTTAAGCAATAAAATGCAAACGATTCCAAATCCTCCCCTTTTCACCCACGCAAGAATATAAAAAAGATATGAGCTCGCAAATCACGAGGGGAAATTTTATTTTGATTTTATTTCTTTGCGATATTTTGATCAGGGATTTCAGAAAATGACATTAAAACGAGTTAGCGTTAGCGTCACTTTTAGCGTCACGTTAGCGTCCCTTCCGAAAAAAATGAATCCCTTGAATTGAATTCTTATACAATGTGGACTAGTTACCGTAGCTCTGTAGGAACTACAATAATTGCCCTATAATTGCAGTACTCTTGTAAGAGTTACAGTACCCTATATTGGCTACAGTATTTTGCCTTGTATCTTGTCCTTGTCCAGTACCTTGTCTATAGCTACAGTACTCTTGCAGCCGTATTTGTGTATCTTAAAATTAAAAAAATGATTGTGCATCTTTTAATGCAAAGCCCATGGCTCTTGTCTTTTATATTTTTGAGTGTCTTAAACTTTTTGAGTCTTTAATAGAAAAGATATTTTTGGGGAAACCCCCAGAACAATTTCCCCTCAATCCACCCATCTGAGCGCTTCAAAAATCATGATGCAACGAGATGAAAGAGAGATGGAGAAATAGAGGGTAAAATTGCGCAACGTCGAGCAAACCTCGTGAAATTCTCTGTTATTGAGGAGAAAAACGAGGACACACACGTTTGAACGAAAAAGAGAAAAAGAAAAGAAAAAGAAGTCAGCTGATCGCTTTTGAGAAAGGAAAAGTGGAGAAATGGAAAAAAGAAAGAGATCTTTTTGTTTT